CTAAACCTATATATATATATATATATATTTGTTTTTCTCATATATATATATAATATATATATATAATATATATATATATATATATATAATATATGCGGTGGCTCAGAGGCTAAGACGCTGAGCTTGTCGATTGAAAGGTCAGCAGTTTGGAGGTTCGAATCCCTAGTGTTGCGTAACGGGGTGAGCTCCTGATACTTGTCCCAGCTTCTGCCAACCCAGCAGTTCAAAAGCACGTAAAAAATGCAAGTAGAAAAATAGGGACTACAAACTATTTTGGTGTGTATGTGTGTGTATACACACATATCCCAGGTTATTTTCATCAATTAGCATGTAAAATGTTTAGAGGGTTTTTTTTAAAGTAGCATCTGTTTATTTTTCAGAATAAAGACAAAATTGTCTCTGTGATTTTTAAGGATTCTCCTAGGCAGCATTATTCTCAGATCATGTGTCATCCTTGTGTTGTTTGCCTGTAAGATTTGTGGTACCCAAACTTTCTGCCGACTGGGGTCCAGTTAAAATGGGGGCACACATTCCAAATACTCTCCCTTAACAAGATTGCCACTGGACAATGAAACCAAACTTTCTCATCCTGAGATTATCTTATACGTTACAAAAATGCAAGCTTAGACATACGTAGCTACCAGCTTTAGGCCTATAGTCATCAAAAGAAAAAAAAAATTGGGGTGTAATTATACTTTGAGTTTTGGTTTTGGCGTCAATGCTTAAACTAGCATTGGAGAAATTTCCTGAGCTATTAAGAAGTGGAACAGCTGGTCTCCCAGAATTATGGATGCTCCATCATTGGAGGCTTAAAAAAAAAAAGGTCAACTAACCTTCATACCAAGATGAGATGAAGACTTCACACCAAGGTGAGATGAAGACTTTTTTTTTAAAAAAAATTGATTTATATGCTGCCCTTCTCCGGAGACTCAGGGCGGCTTACAATGCGCTAAGCAATAGCCTTCATCCTTTTGTATATTTATACAAAGTCAGCTTATTGCCCCCACAACTGGGTCCTCAATTTACCTACCTTAGAAAGGATGGAAGGCTGAGTCAACCTTGAGCCTGGCGAGATTCGAACCTGCAGTAATTGCAGGCAGTTGGTCTTAATAACAGGGTGCTTTAGACCACTGTACTACCAAGGCTCCACACCAAGGTGAGATGAAGACTTCACACCAAGGTGAGATGAAGACTTCACACCAAGGTGAGATGAAGACTTCACACCAAGGTGAGATGAAGACTTCACAACAAGATGAGATGAAGACTTCATAACAAGATGAGATGAAGACTTGGGTAGGGAGTTGGACTACTAGAAGACCTCCAAAGTCCCTTCCAATGCTGTGATTATATAACTAAGTTGTGACAATGATTTGTTGCATCGTCTCTAAAATATGCTAAACTACCATGCAGATTAGAGATTTGGTTTAGGATTGTGCGTAAATCCATCCTCTATAGATTGTAAATCAAAACTTCTATTTCACTATGCTGTATGCCGTATTCGTGTGCTAGCTAACTGTGCTTGTGATTTGCTGGTCAACGACAGAAAAACCTGACTATGGTTTATGAAATAAACTACAGTTCAGCGATTCTGTGTGAGCCTCCCTAATTAGGACTAGGTCTGGAGCCAACACAATGAGTCTGAAAATTGTATTTTCTCCCTTGTTATGTTTCCTGAAAAGGAAACCATTATGCTGATGAGGAAGCACCCATAACAAACCGCAAGGAAATCAAAATGATGACACCAGGGCAATGATACAACCCACAAATATGGCAATTACATCTTGCATCATGGGGCCTGGTGATGATCCCATGCAGGTGTTATCCCTTGACACCCTGCCTGCCTGCACAAGAGTTCATGGCTAATTACGCTGAAATGTGCCAAAAGGAAGGTGAATATGCCATATACATTGTGATTCATCATACCATCACACACATAATGACATAATTCGCACAATTTGTGTGACGAGTCCTGATTCGTGAAATATCAGTCTGCCGTACCCCAGATATACAATGGCCAATCTTTCATGTTTTACCTAGGGTGGTGCTAAATCCTTCAGCTAATACAGCGTTTAGGTGAAGTTTCCACAAATAAGAGCCTTGATAGTACAGTGGTCTAAGCACCCTGTTATTAAGACCAGCTGCCTGCAATTACTGCTGGTTCGAATCTCTCCAAGGCTCAAGGTCGACTCAGCCTTCCATCCTTTCTAAGGTAGGTAAATTGAGGACCCAGTTTGTGGGGCAATAAGCTGACTTTGTATAAATATACAAAAGGATGAAGGCTATTGCTTAACGCATTGTAAGCCACCCTGAGTCTCCGGAGAAGGGCGGCATATAAATCAAATTAAAAAAATAAATAAATATTTTTAATATATACCTGAATGAAGGATTAAATGTTAGGAGTTTAGCTTCAAGGTATTGGTTACCATCTTTAGAGCGCTCCATGTCTTAGGACCTGAGTATCTACGAGACCGCCTTCTGCCACCGGTAGCCTCCCACCGGCCAGTACGCTCCCACAGAGAGGGGCTCCTCAGGGTGCCGTCGGTCAAACAATGTCGACTGGCGGCCCCCAGGGGGAGAGCCTTCTCTGTGGGGCACCTGCCCTTTGGAACGAACTGCCCCCGGAGATACGAAGGATCCCGATCTATGCACCTTCTGCCGTGCCCACAAAATTTTTCTATTCCAGCAAGCCGGGCTGGCATAGTTCTTTTAATTGTTTTTAATTCGTCTTTTAAAAAAGGTTTTTTTTTAATTAAATATGGGCCAAATTTGTTTAATTTACTTTTAAATTGTTTTAAATTTTTATATTTTTATGATTTTATCTTTGGCTGTACACCGCCCTGAGTCCTTCGGGAGAAGGGCGATATATAAATTTAAATAAATGAAAAATGAAAAGGAGTAATCCTTGACTTGCAACCATTTCTACAGTGACCGTTGGAAGTTACAAAGGCACTGGTAAAAAGGTGACTTGTGACAGTTTTTCACGCAATCGTTGCAGAATCCCCATAGTCACATCAATGGTGGGTTGCCCCTGGTTCGCACCAGTTCTATCGAACCGGTAGTAAAACCAGTGGGAGGCTCCGCCCACCGACCCCAATGTTATCAGAACGCTTCTGCGCATGCACAGAAGAGCCTGCGCACGTGCGCAAGCAAAGCAACCACACACGCGGCCCCATTGCAAACCGGTAGTGAAGGTAAGTAGAACCCACCTCTGAGTCACATGATCAAAATTCGGAAACTTGACAACTGGCATGTATCTATGACAGTTGCAGCATCCCAGGGTCATGCAATCACCTTTTGAAACCTTCTGACAAACAATCTCCGGCAGATTCACTTAACAACCATGTTATTAACTCAACAATTGCAGTGATTGGCTAAACAACACTTAGACTTATATGCCACTTCACAGTGCTTTACAGCCTGCTCTGAGCAGTTTTATAGAGCCAGAATCTTGCCCCCAACAATCTGGGTCCTCGTTTTACAGACCTCGGAAGGATGGAAGGCTGAGTCAACTGTGAGCTGGTGAGACACGAACTGCCAAATTGCTGGCAGCCGGCAGCCAGCAAAAGTAGCCTGTCGTGCTGCATTCTAACCACTGTGCCACCACGGCCAGTGGTGGGATTCAAATAATTTAACAACCGGTTCTCTGCTCTAATGATTTCTTCCAACAACTAGTTCACCAAGCTGCTCAGAAAGTTAACAACCGGTTCTCCCAAAGTGGTGCGAACCGGCTGAATCCCACCACTGACCATGGCTCATACTATGGAAAGAAAGATCACAAAATGGAGGAAAACTCACTTAACAACTGTCTTGCTTAGCAAGAAAAATTGGGCGCTCAATTGTGTTTGTACGTCGAGGACTACCTGTATACAAACCCTACTGTTTGTCGACCTCTGGTAGTGCCAAGAATTAGTAGGTAGTGCCACCTGTGTCAAAAAGAACAGAGGAGCTATCTGTTAGGACCTCCAGTGTTGGTGTGCTGTCCCACTCACTCACACTCACATGTCAGTGGTGGTTTATGGAAAGTTTTATTTGTCTTCCCCCAGCAGTTCTTGTCATCCAGCCTTAGAGCTGCCCCAGCTGAAGCCAGCCACAAGCAAGTCCAGATTAATTCCCCATGCAATAGCCAATTAGACCATAACACAAAGAACAAGCTGCTCAAACAATAAATCCAATAAACAAACATAAAGCCCCCAGACAAAACTTAAAAGTACATCCACTCAAGGGTTATAGAAGTTCAGAGTCTTGGGAAACACAAATGAGCACATGGCCACAACCCACCCACATGCATTGTTCCCAGCAATGGGAACAATGTTGTGCTAAATAGGTCCTGGTGCAGCTCATCAAGAGAAGCGGGACCTATTCCTGAGCAATCTTGCAGACCTCCATTTCAATGCCCTGCGTGTGCTGAGATCTACCACAGCAGGCAGTTCCTCCCTCCCCTTCCTCTTCTCTGGCCTGCAAGCTCTCTCCAGCTGAAGCCTGTTCTGCTGGCAGTTCAGGGTCAGTAATTCCTGACGTGCCAGGAAAGATCTCGTTTTCCCTCGAGCCAGCCTCTGAGGAAGAGTCGGAGGTGTCATCCAAAGGAGACATCACAGTCGGCCTGGAGCCTTGCTGGGTTCCTGCCATCAAAGGAAGTCACTTTGGGCAATCCACACTTGTATATCGAATGGTGGATGGGGGAAGAACATCAGATCACGAAACCGGCTTGTACCAGGATCTTCAAGGCCATTTGCCCTGAGAATGGAATGTTACAAGTATCACACCTCAGAGTTTCTCAAAACATCTTACCGGCATCACATTGGATGGCCGGGGATTGGTTATGGGGGTAGGGATTGTGAATTGGAAAGAATAGCTTTGTAATTTGCATGGGAACACCAGATTCGGCCTTACTTTGCTGCAACCAGTTGCTTTCAGGAAAAGTTCCTTTGCTTCAACTACACAGAGTCACGAGTTCAATTTTCCTGAGAGAGCAAACCGGGACAGGCCTGACACTATCATACCTGCAAAAATATCTGGGCGGCCATTAGGTGGCGGGAACGAGATGTAGAAGACGACTCTCGATGCTTTGCCGCCATCTAATGGCGGCCTGAATTCTGCGTCCCTGATGCGCTGTCCCAAAATAGAAGCTTCAATAAAGTAGCTTGTAATTCTATACAGATACGTCGTTCTCTGATTGCCAGCTGTGCGAGCAAGCACATTCAAAGAGAAGACAGGAACAAGCTTTTGCGACGCTGGCTTGAAAGATCACAATAACAAAGCACAAAGGGCACCGCCAATGGGGTCATTGGAGTATGCATGTCACCTTTAAGGAAAATTGTAGGTCAACAGAAGTTAAGCTGTCACTCAGAAGCCCATCTCTCAATATTCTCTCAACTGAAAAGACGCTTCATGCTATTTTAAACAACAGCAAACCTTTATTTTATTTTATTTGCCTCCCCCTCATTCTTTCTGAGTTTTATTTTACTAGCAGGGATTATAATTAAGGGAAGATCTAGCGCGCTTCATTTCAGGTCTTTGCAAAATGCAATTTTTTTAAAAAAAACCACATTCTCTGAAATTCAATACAATAAGGGGACAATGGTGGTTTTCAACAGGCAACTTCTTTCCTTATTTCAGGTTTCACATTTTCAAAAGACAGTATGTGTGTGTGTGTGTGATTTCTCTCCAAAAGGGAAGCTCTTTATATATGAAAAATTGTATTGAGAACATTTGTGCTAAATTGTTAGGCTGCAAACTAGACTGCCAATGTCTAAAATGCAGATTGAAAGACAACCCGCTGATCTCATTAGGGGCATTATTAAAAGACAACCTTCTCCAATGTCCAGATACACTCCTACAGATTAAGCCACCTGAACTGTACTTGAGTTTGCATCTTAAGATCTTGGAATCCGGTTAGCTTGAGAGTCGTTAAAACAATGAAGGAATTGAGTCATTCAATTACAGAGGGGATTCTTGGATGCATTTCAGAGGTGGGTTTCAGCAGGTTCTGACCAGTTCTGGAGAACTGGTAGAGGAAATTTTGAGTAGTTCGGAGAACCGGTAGTAAAAATTCTGACTGGCCCCACCCCCATCTATTCTCTGCCTCCCAAGTCCCAGCTGATTGGGAGGGAATCTGGCTTTTCCCCCTTGACTTGGCTTGTGAGAAGGTGTTGTGGCTCTGTTGCCTGAGCCTGGGCTATCGACAGATGCAGACTCTGAGAGTGAGGGAGAGGAGTTAACAAGGCCTCCCTCTCCAGGACCCTCCTCTCTGGCAATGCCTCCGGAGGACACCGAAGGCCAAACGATAGGCTCAGAGACAAGCACGTCCCTGCAGCCACAGGTGGACAGCGATGAAGAAGATAAGTGCTGGCTGGATCCTCGGCAGAGGCGCAGGGAGAAGCGTGCGCAGCAGAGGGGAAGGCGTGCCAGAGATTAGCTGAGTCACTGGACCACACCCCACAGGGTATAAATGTGGGTGTGGTGGCCGGTTCAGTTTGTGACAAGCAAAAACTGGAAATACTCCATGATCTCTGCGTTACTGGACTTTGCCTGCTTTATCGGACTGCATTTGGATTAATCCTTGTATTGTTGAAACTCTGCCTGTTTTATCGGAATGCTTGCAGTCTAATCTTTGTTTTGTGTGAGTAAAGTCTGAATTGGCAGCTAGCCACTGGGTTGCTGCCAGCTTTATCTTCAAAGAGTTTTGTCGTGTGGCTTATTAACTCCGGGGCACGTGGTACAACGAAATTAAATGCCCTCTTCAGTGTACATTATAACTATAAAAATAAAAACACAAACATATATCCTTTACATTCTATAGAATTGAAATTGAAAACTCGATATTGCACTATACTATAAAATTCAATATGGTTATTGCCCTGGGATCATAGAAGCTGTTTTTCAGCCTATTTGTCCTTGTTTTTATTGCCCTGTACCGTCTGCCAGATGGTAATAGTTCAAAAAAAAAAAAAAGAGACCGGGATGAGATGGATCTTTAAGAATGTTTTGAACTTTCTTAAGGCAGCAGGAGCTATAAAGCTCTTCCAAAGAGGGGAGGGGGCAAGCAATGATCCTCTGGGCAATGATGTTGACCCTCTGGAGCGTTGTCCTATCTGCCACTGTGCAATTGGCAAACCAGACACAGGTGCAGAGTGGATAAAAATCAATGATTTTTTAAAAAATAAAAAATAAAAAAAAATGGATTTTTTTATTTAAATCGGATTTTTTTTATTTTTATGGAATTTATTTTAATAAAAAACTTTTGGGGTAAAAATCTATCGTAAGATCGTTTTCTATTTAAGATACATAAATAATTTAGTTTATTCAGCATGAAATGGAGCTTAGTTATCTAGCATGAGGCTGTATATTCTGCAACACTGGGACTATCGGTGAGTCAACAGTGGGTCAAAGGAGTAGCAGAGGTGACAGCTGCTCTTTAAAAATTATGATTTAAATCAAGTTGATTTAAATCAAGCCTTTTTACTAGTGATTTAAATCATGATTTAAATTGTGATTTAAATCAACTCGATTTAAATCAAATCCACCCTGCACAGGTGCAATAAGTTAAAAGTTAAAAATCCAAGTTATACCTGGATTCAGAAAAGAACTCTTTGAACTCTGTTCAAAGAACACACAAGGGAGAAATACCTAGAATTGAATAGCCAAGAAGCAGACACAGACAGAGATAAAGATCCAAGAGAGGAATTTGGGAGGCAAGTCAAAAAAAAAGCATAGCAATTAAAGTATTGAAGCGGGCAAGAGACGATGGATAGATAATTTTTCTTTCTTGTTGTTGATCTGATTTGCTTCTCCTTTATTCTGTTTTTCTTTTCTTTTTTTTTAGGTAGGTGACATGACTAGAAGTTAGGTAGGATAGAAAGAGAATGCTTTTTAGTAAAGGGTGACATGATTAAAAGTTAGAATAAGTGATAGAAATAAGAGAAGGGGGAATAGTAGTGTATATACTTTTATATAATAAAATAAAAGTAGTAAGAGAAAATATGGAATAATTGAATAATGACAGATTGTAACTTAATATAACTGTGCATTATTATTAGAAATATATAAGTATATACTGTAAGGATCAATCCGGAGCTGTTATCGGCTGCAGGGGCCTTCAGGAAAGCCATGCCGGATGCAAAAGGAGAAATTCCTGAAGGCCTCTGACAACGAAAAGGAGGCCGGGGAAGACGTGCGCAAGTGAGGTGGGTCCGTGAATGACATCCCCCCCAAAATAAGACTTTTTTGCTGGCAAAATAAAATAAAATAAAATAAGGCAGGGTCTTGTTTTCGGAAAACACGGTAGCAACGCAGAGGTTAGTGATCTGGAACCCGGAGGCTCCTAGCTCTGAACCTGCCAGGTGTGCCACTTACCTGCCCTCTTGAGGCTGTGGACGCTCATCAGGCAAATGACGATCATGCGGAAGATGAGCAGGTCCGGCAGGAAGGAGCAGCCGTTCTCCCACTCCTCCTCCTCCTCCGTGGTGGAGCTCGGGTGGGGTGAAGAGGGCAGGTAGAAAAGGCAGAGGTTCAATTCCTCCAGGACTGACTGGCAGAGGGAGGTCAGCTCCGAGTCGGCAGAACTGAGGGGAGAGAAAAGGCAGAGGCTCAAAGCGCGGAAGTCCAAAGCTTTGTCACAAATTGTGTAAGAGACTCAGCTCGGGAGAGGAAGGTGTGAGATGCTGAACAGGGCCCTCATGGCAAAGCCACAATAAGCCAATGTCCAGAATCTGTCAGGAGAGACAATCTTGAAACGGGGCCCACAGCATCTGAACAAAGAGCCCTCAGACACACACAACTACAGCCTGCAACTGCAACCAGGCTAAACACCTCAGTGTTTCCCAAAACATCGCGGATTTGTTGGGCTGGTCAGTACAAGTATTTTTCACTTCAACCAAATGGGAGTCGAGAGTTTCTCTTCCCGAAGGGATCAGACTGGGGCAGGTCTGACACAAGGTATCATTAATAGCCATGGCATCTAATTTATTGAGCCGCGGTGGCGCAGTGGTTAGACTGCGGTACTGCAGGCTCCTTCTGCTGATTGCCGGCTGCCTGCAATTCGGTAGTTCAGATCTCAGCAGGCTCGAGGTTGACTCAGCCTTCCGTCCTTCCGAGGTGGGTAAAATGAGGACCCAGATTGTTGGGAGGCAAGAGGCTGACTGTAAACCGCTTAGAGAGGGCTGTGAAGCCCCGTGAAGCGTTATATAAGTGCTATTGTTATTTTTTTTCCTTCTGTTGTGACTCCGACCCCCGAGCCTGTCCTAACAGAGGGAGAGGACTCAGAAGGTGAAGGAGAGGATTTGGCAAGGCCTCCCTCTCCAGGACCCTCCTCTCTGGCAATGCCTCAGGTTTCCTCCGAAGGCCAAGAAGAGATATGCCAGGAGCAAGGCACTTCCGAGCAGCCGCAGATAGAGAGCGAGGGGGATGAGTTTTGGCTGGATCCCAGACAGCGTCGGAAGGATAAGAGCGCGCAGCAGAGAAAGAGGCGTGGGCGGGCCAGAGATTGAGCTGAGTCAGTGGACCACACCCCACAAGAGATAAAAGGGGGTGTGTTGGCTATTCAGGCCTTGTGACGGACAAATTGAAAAACTCGGAAGTCATATCGTGTTTCTAGAACCCTGTTGGAATCTCTTTTTGGATTTCTTCGGACTGGACTTTGACAATTCTTTGCTTTGAGGAATTAATTTGGTATATCCGACTGAGGGGAAAAAAACCTCCCTTAGTGAGTAAAATCTCTTGGCAGGCAGACTCTCAAATCTCTTTGCTGCCAAGACTGTTATCTTAAACGAATTCCTGACTGTTTGATTCATTAATTCCTGGCTGGCTGTTTGTGTGTGTGCGTGCGACGGGGACAGAACATCTTCCTTCCTTCCATCCATCCTGTTTCCTTCTTTCCTTTTCATTTCCTTCCTTCCTTCCATCCATCCATCCTTCCTGTTTCCTTCCTTTCCTACAGAGAGGGCTGTAAAGCACCATGAAGCAGTATATATGTGCTATTGTTATTTTACTTCCTTCCTTCCATCCATCCATCCTTCCTGTTTCCTTCCTTCCTTTCCTACAGAGAGGGCTGTAAAGCACCGTGAAGCGGTATATAAGTCTAAGGGCTACTGCTATTAGGGTGGCAGCTGTTACGCCATGCAGGGGCACAGAAGTCTGCTGCAGAGTAGACCAGCCCTAGTGTTCCCACCAAGGAAGGGCACCGTTGAAACTTTTCTTAAATAGGTGCATTTACGGCATCAGGAGTTTTCACATTTGAGACTTACCTACTCTTTGGCTGAAAGAGGCTCTGTAAATACATGAAGCTCACCAGTAACCTTTTAATGTCTTTGCACCTGCCGAATTGGAGAGGGTGGGGAAGGGAAAAAAAGGGGGGAGCAGTTAGTAGGTTTTGATACAAGTCAAAATTGAAACAATTACTACCAACCTGCCTTCCATTGAGGACCTGTATACTGCATGAGTGAAAAAGAGGGCTGTGAAAATATTTACAGATCCCTCACATCCTGGACATAAACTGTTTCAACTCCTACCCTCAAAACGACGCTATAGAGCACTGCACACCAGAACAACTAGACACAAGGACAGTTTTTTCCCCGAACGCCATCACTCTACTAAACAAATAATTCCCTCAACACTGTCCAACTATTCACTAAGTCTGCACTACTATTAATCTTCTCATCGTTCCTATCACCCATCTCCTCCTACTTGTGACTGTAACCTTGTTGCTGGTATCCTTAAGATTTATATTGACCGTTTCCTTATGACTATCATTAAGTATTGTACCTTATTATTCTTGACAAATGTACCTTTTCTTTTATGTACATTGAGAGCGTATGCACCAAGACAAATTCCTTGTGTGTCCAATCACACTTGGCCAATAAAGAATTCTATTCTATTCTATTCTATTCTATTCTATTCTATTCTATTCTATTCTATTCTATTCTATTCTATTCTATTCTATTCCATTCCATTCCAATTCCGTTCTCTCTCATTCTATTCTATTCTATTCTATTCTATTCTATTCTATTCTATTCTATTCTATTCTATTCTATTTCTATTCCATTCCATTCCCTCTCATTTTATTCTATTCTATTCTATTCTATTCTATTCTATTCTATTCTATTCTATTCTATTCTATTCTATTCTATTCTATTCTATTCTATTCTATTTCATTCCGTTCTCTCTCACTCTATTCTATTCTATTCTATTCTATTCTATTCTATTCCATTCCGTTCTCTCTCATTTTATTCTATTCTATTCTATTCTATTCTATCTATTCTATTCTATTCTATTCTATTCTATTCTATTCTATTTCATTCCGTTCTCTCTCACTCTATTCTATTCTATTCTATTCTATTCTATTCTATTCTATTCTATTCTATTCTATTCCATTCCATTCTCTCTCATTCTATTCTATTCTATTCTATTCTATTCTATTCTATTCTATTCTATTCTATTCTATTCTATTCCGTTCTCTCTCATTCTATTCCATTCTATTCCATTCCATTCCATCCCATTCCATTCTCTCTCATTCTATTCCATTCTATTCCATTCCATTCCATTCCGTTCCGTTCCGTTCTCTCTCATTCTATTCTATTCTATTCTATTCTATTCTATTCTATTCTATTCTATGTCAGACAAACTTTGTGAATTTTTCACTCATTTGCTTTTGCCAAGAAAAAAAAAATGACTGGAGGGAAATCTTGGCGAGGTTTGCCCCGTTTTACGACCTTTCTGGACACCGTTGTTAAGTGAATCCCTGCAGTTGTTCAATTAATAGCAGGGTTATTAAGTGAATCTGGCTTCCCCACTGACTTTGCTCGTCAGAAGGTCATCAAAGGGGACACTGCAATTGTCATAAATATGAACCAGTTGCCAAGTTGTCTGAATTTTGATCCTGTGACTATGGGAATGCTGCCACGGTCGTTAAATGTGAAAAATGGTCCTAAGTCACTGTTGTAACTTTGAACGGTCACTAAATGAACTGTGAGGACTAACGGTACATCTTTGCAAGTATCACTGACTTGCCGAACAAGCTATTATTCTTAGAGCAAAACTTTGGCTGCCCAAGGCAAGTCTAATCTAAGATTACTGCCCCAGGGCTTCCTTGTTATAAATTATGGTCTAGCACTAGCAGGACCAAGGATATAAAACAGAAACAATTTAAGTTGGTTAAAAGGAGCTTCACCTCACTTCCCAATATCATTGAGCAGGGTGGATTTGATTTAAATTAAGTCGATTTAAATCACTAGTAAAAAGGCTCGATTTAAATCAACTCGATTTAAATCATAATTTTTACAGAACAACTATCATTTCTGTCCCTCTGACCCGCTGTTGACTCACCAACAGTCCCAATATTGTAGAATATACAGCCGCATGCTCAGTGGTGGGATTCAAATAATTTAACAACTGGTTCTCTGCCCTAATGATTTCTTCCAAGAACCAGTTTGACAAACTGCTCAGAAAGTTAACAACCGGTTCTCCCAAAGTGGTGCGAACCGGCTGAATCTCACCACTGCTCATGCTACATAACTAAGCTCCATTTCATGCTGAATAAATTCAATTATTAATGTATCTTAAATAGAAAACTATCTTTAGATAGATTTTTTTTTACTCCAAAAGCATTTGGTTAAAATAAATTTGATTAAAAAAAAAATTAAAATCTGATTTCCTATTTTTATGGAACTTTTATTTTATAGTAACATAAAAATAACTCTGATTATCTAACAGGAAATGTATAGAATTAAATAAAGAGCAGACTATAATGTTCTATATACAAATATGTAAATACGTAAATATAGATATAGATATGAACAGAGAAAGATAAGAAAAATAGAAAAATAACCCACCGATGTGATAGCTTTAAGAGTCAGCCATAAGACTGAATCGATGTTTGTTTGTTTTGTATGTTGTCTTAATGTATTTATGTTTGTTTGTATATTTTTTATCAAGAAAAACTTTTTTTAAAAAAAATCCCATTTAAATAAAAAAAATCCAATTAAAAAAAACGATTAAAAAACAACAACAACAACAAACCAAGTGGGTAAATTGGATTGGTTTTACTTTTAAGTTCTAAAGCAGTGTTTTTCAAATTTGTCTTTTTTTCTCAAGGTTTTTCCATCCTCGGGAACTTTTAAGATAAGTGGACTTCAACTCCCAGAATTCCCCAGCCGGCATGGCTGGCTGGGGAATTCTGGGAATTGAAGTCCACCCATCTTGAAGTTGTCAAGCCTTGATAATCACTAGAAAAAAAGAATGGGATAATCAGTGCTGCATCCTCCAGTGATGTCTTCAAGCCATGAAAGAGTCAGAAAATGGCAATGTTTTTTTTAAAATTTTTTGATTTATATGCCGCCCTTCTCCAGAGACTCAGGGCGGCTTACCAATGCGCTAAGCAATAGCCTTCATCCTTTTGTATATTTATACAAAGTCAGCTTATTGCCCCCACAAACTGGGTCCTCAATTTACCTACCTTAGAAAGGATGGAAGGCTGAGTCAACCTTGAGCCTGGCGAGATTCGAACCTGCAGAATTGCAGGCAGCTGGTCTTAATAACAGGGTGCTTTAGACCACTGTACTACCAAGGCTCTTGGAGATTTAAATAGGTTTGGGCTGGATAAACCGTCTTCAGTGCCCAACTACAGCAAAAGCTGTCCATCCAATTCAGTGGTGAAATCTGAACCGGTTTATTACCGGTTGCATGCGCAAAAAAAAAGAGGTTTGGGAAGGTAAGTAGAACAGCGCATGTGTGTGTGTGTGAGATCAGCTGTGGCGCGCGTGGGAACCTTTTTAAAAACCTTTTTAAAGCATTTTTTCCCTACCGGTTCAGGTGAATAGGTAGTAAAAAATGCTAAACACACTAAACACATTAAACACACTAAAAACACATTAAAAATCAAACATATACATACAACAAAAAATAACACAAAAAAGAAAAATATCACTTTTCTTTTCAGCTATTTTTTATTTTATTTCATTTTACTTTTTTAAAGCATTTTTTTACTACCTATTCGCCTGAGCCAGTAGTAAAAAAATGCTTTTAAAAGGTTAAAAAAAAAAAAAGGCTTCGACGATCATAGCTGTGCTGCGCGGTCATGGGAACATTTTTTTTAACCTTTTAAAAGCAATTTTTTTACTACCGGCTCGGGTGAATAGTTAGTAAAAAATGCTTTAAAAAAGTAAAAAAAAATAAAATAAAAAATAAGGCTCCGGGGGTCACGCGGCACAGCTGTGACTGTTGGAAGCTTTTTTTTTTTTTTTTTACTTTTTTAAAGCATTTTTTTTACTACCTATTCGCCAGAATCGGTAGTAAAAAAAAAATGCTATAAAAATAAGAAAAAAAAAGTTCTGATGATCTCGCGTTGCTCAACTGATCGTCGGAACTTTTTTTTTTTTTTACATTTTTTACTACCGGTTTGGGCAAACCAGCCCGAACCGATAGCATTTCACCCCTGATCCAATTACTGACTGGCCATTCCAGTTTGCGTCCGCCTTTGACTCATTCCTGAAGGCCTCCAGGGGGTCGGGTGGGGGGCTGCCTTCTCACCTTTTTTTGCTGGAGGACAGCTTCCGGGTCTCGCATTTCTTCAGCTGGTGATACATTTTGGCTGCCTTGTCGTAGAGGCGCTTGAGATTCCCGTAAGCGCCTTCAAAGGACACTTCCGACTGGATGCTAAACAGGGGAAGGAAGCCCAGGGAGCAGAAAAATTATTTTCTCAATCGGACTCCCTTAATTCTCTTTTAAACATCTTGTGCCTGGCAAGATGTTTACAAACAGAATTAAAGGTCAGAATAAATAGCTGGTGCAATCAATTTATTCACGGAAGAGATCTTTCTCCCTCTCTCCCTCCTTCCTGTCCTTTTTCCTTCTTCCTTCCTCCCTCTCTCCCTTCCTCACTCCTTCCCTTTCTTCTCCCTTCCTCCCTTCCCTCTCTTCCTTCTTCAAACCTACCTCTTCCTTCTTTCCCTCCTTCCTTTCCTTGCTTCCCCTTCCTTTCCTTCCTCTCTCCCTTCCCTTTCTTCTCCCTTTCTTCTCCCTTCCCTTCCTTCTTCAAACCTATCTCTTCCTTCTTCAAACCTATCTCTTCCTTCTTTCCCCCCTTTCCTCTCTTCCTTCCTCCTCCCTCCTTTCCTCTCTCCCTACCTTTCCTTCCTCTACCGTGTTTCCCCGAAAATAAGTCCTCCCCAGAAAATATTTAAACGTATGCGCAGCTGGTCCCTGCCATTTCCTCTGGTTAGGGAGACAGAGCTGGAAATCAGGTAAGATGGCAAGAGGAGCCCCATCTTGCTCCACGTGCCCCAAAATAATAAGACCTCCCTGAAAATAAGGCCAAGCACTTATTTTGGGGTTCAAAAAATATAAGACAGGGTCTTAATTTTCGGGAAAACACAGTACTTCAGTCCTTCCTTCCTCACTCCCTCCTTTCCCCTCTCAGACGTTTTACTTTGGTGACTTTAGTTTCTCTCTCTTCCACAAAGACTGCCTGTCTGCTCACGAAACATCTAAGCTAGTTCATGCTCAGTGTATACCCCTTTAGGGGAATCTGAGAACAACCAAGCCTACATTCTTCAGAGAAACCATGTTCCAGGCCATGGAAGCCACTGCAAGAATGCTGGACTAGGTCATAGGTGTCAACTTTTGCTAGGGGTTATGCAAATCTTAACTCTACCTGCCACCTTTCTGTTTAGGAAACATGAGCTGGGAATAAAACACTTCCTCCAAAAAAGGGCAACGGCTACTCTGCAGAGTTTCTATGCGTCAAGCTCTATTTCTCCCCGATTTTGCTTTTCATCTAAATCAAGGCTTTGTCAATCTTGGCAACTTTTAAGACGTCTGAACTTCAACTCCCAGAATTCCCCTATGCTGGCGGGTGAATTCTGGGAATTGAAGTCCAGATATCTTCAATTTGAGAAACACCAATAAACAATGGAGAAGCTCAGGTTCAGAAGAGACATCCTCTGCCAGTCATCCCATCAGTTCCACCCAATCTGACCTCAAACATCCCCCTTCATAAAGTTAATTCCCTAAAAAGGAATAACAGAATAGCAGAGCAACAGAGAATGGAGGCCTTCTGGCCCAGCCCTCTGCCCAAGCGGAAAAGGAAGAATAATCTTGTCTGTCTTGACAATATGGAGATGGGAAGAAAGTGGACATCCTCCCGTTGTCTAACTATAAGCCAGGATTGCTTTATTGGCGGGACAGATGGGAGAAAAAACACAGCACAGTAACCCTTCACGTCCAGCTGGCGAAGTCTACTGCAGGGGTCTCCAACCTTGGCAAGTTTAAGACTTGTGGTCTTAAATTTGGTGGCTGAGGAATTCTGGGAGTTGAAGTCCACAAGTCTTAAAAGTTGCCAAGGTTGGAGACCCCTGGCCTACTGGACAGAGGTTTGAGTATGAATAGAATAGAGCTGGAAGGGATCTTGGAGGACTTCTAGTCCAGCCACCTGCTCAAGCAGGAGAACCTATACCATTTCAGACAAGTCTGTCCAATTTCTTCTTAAAAGCCCACAGTGATGCACAATTTCTGGTGGCAAGCTGTTCCCCTGCTTAATTGTTCTCACTGTTAAGGAAGTTTCTCCTTAATTCCAGGTTGCTTCTCTCCTTGATCAGTTTCCATCGTTTCTCATCCTGCCCTCTGGTGTTTTGGAGAATAATTTGACCCCCCCCTCTTTGTGGCAGCCCCTCAAATACTGGAATACTGCTATCCTGTCCCCCCTAATTCTTCTTTTCTTTAGACTAGTAAAATAAGGGCAGTTGCCTTTTATAAATTGTTTCTTTTCCGTAGGAGACACACTTACCAGCGCAGGTAGCAATAGGTAGCTTCCACATTGTAGTATTTACTCCCAGCCAGGGTCCCAAGTTGGTTAAAAGGCATCCCTGTTCCCCAAAGACAGAAAACAAAGCAAACACGTTCCATTACAACACAACCTAGGTCCATTTCCAACGAGGTTGGAAATGGCGACGATGTGATCAGAATGCTACAAGCGCCATAAATACAGGTAGTCCTCGATATACGACCACAATTGAGTCCCAAATTTTGGTTGTTAAGTGAGACGTTTGTTAAGTGAGCTTTGCCATTTTACAACTTTTCTTGCCTCGGTTGTTAAGTGTATCACTGCCCTTAATAAGTTAGCAATCTGGTCGTTAGGCGAATCTGGCTTCCCCATGGACTTGGGCTTGTCCCTGGGACACCGTCACCGTCATAAATATGAGTCCGTTGCCAAGCGTCTGAATGTGAATCAGGTGACTGTGGGGGTGCTGCAACGGTCGTAAGTGTGAAAAACGGCCCTAAGTCACTTTTTCCAGTGCCATTGTATCTTCGGTCACTGTTGTAAGTTGAGGACTACCTGCACAGCCAAATTTTGGAGAGGGAGTTTGTCTGATATGTTGGTCCTGATTTTTTTTTTGTTGTTGATGCAATTCAAAAAATTACTTACTGACTCATTACTCGTTACTGACTCATATTTGTGCTCGGTTACCAAATACACGTGTGCATGTTGGATTGTGCATTATCTGGACGTGTGCGTGTCGGATTACTAAATACTCACCAATCTGTGGGGCGACAGAAAGAGCTTGGTAGTAAAACCTTTCAGCCAGCAATTCTGTGTCTACACCTGCCAATTCGTTCTGATAGCGAGCTGATAAGGAACAAAAGACACACAGAAGCCTTAAGAAACACAATGAAGAGGATACACAACAGATGATACTTGACTCGGTTTGTGTGCAAGAATGAAACAGGGAAGCTTTATACCACCTCACTGAAAGTAAATCAATTACTTTATTGCAGTCATTAACTAGCACAAGAGAACTGATACCCAACTGAAATATACTAATCCTTTTTACGTAGCTGAGTATCTGGAAATGCTTCAGACAATAGGAGATTCCTAATCCTCAAAAAGCAGTGGAAAAGTATTTCAATTCTCTATTGTATACTTCTGGCACAATCCCTAATTAAAAAATCTCTGGTTTAAAGTCTATGTGTCTATGTATTAACAGCAGCTAGAATTGTGTTTGCTAAAAATTGGAAAAATGAGAAAATACCAACACAAGATGAAGTTATTAAGAAAATCATGGAATGTGCTGAAATGAGTAAATTGACATTTGAAATCAGAGAACAAGAAGATAAACAATATTATAAGCTATGGGATTTATTTTATCAACGGCTAGATAATAAAACATGGAAATGATATATGAAATATTAAATGTTATAATATAATATTTGAAAATAATTTTTATGAATTGATAAAGCCATAGTTAAACCAGATAATTAGTTAATTATGAATATGGGGAGGAAGCACAAAAGACTTGTAACCGACCGACACACTGTTTGCAATTGTAATGGATGATGGATTTATGTTTTATGTTAAAATAAAAAAATTAAAAAAAAAGCAGCGGAAAAGTAAAATCAAAGTCCAGAAGGGCTTATCACAAATTTGGTCTGCTACTTAAGACTGGGCTTTTTTCCCCCACCTGATTTCAAATAAATCCAAGTCACAGGATTTGGATTAACCCAGGAAAATGCTCTCTCACCTAAATCCCCCAGGTAGACCAGACATCGGTGGCAGGCTATCTGAGCCCAGTCCATCTCCTTCTCTGACGCAGAGACTGGTTTCTTGCAACCTGTAGAAGAAATAATCAACAGGGTGGCATAGCGTTAGACTGAGCAGGGTGCTGGAAAATCAAGACAGCCGACAATTACCCGTCTATCTTCACAAAGAACCTTTGCTTATTATGGCTCACTGTCAGACCTGCCCCAGCTAGGTCCCTAGGAAGGAAAGACCCTCGACTCCATTTGATTGGAACGATAGGTTCTTTTACTAAGGATTACTACTAAGGATTTACTAAGGATAAAAATGAGGCTAGAACTGAGTATTCCCACGCACACGTTTTCCCCTTCCATGGTCCTCTCCCTTTGACCACATCGCCAAGTGTCCATTAGCAACCCAGTGCGATGGTTTCGATGCTTTGGAAACTGCTGCATCTTGAAACAGCTTCACATTTTTTCCCAGGCCAGGCATCCTTGGGCGGCTGGATCAATCCGGTTTAACACTTCTGGGTCCTGTCAGTGCCCCACCCCTTACAGCCTCCTCCATATGTTCCCAAAATTGTTTTGAGCACCCTCCCTCTGTTTACAGCAAGATGCAAGCAAGGTTAGCGAAGCCACTCACTGTCAGACCTCCTATATATGTCCCTCAAAATGTACGATTTAAAAATGGCCAGGGAGCATCTTAAGCCCTGAAAAGCTAAAAAAGGGGCAAAACCAAAGGAAGCCTTAATGCCACAAGGGAACAGAGCAGGACTCACACAGGAATGAGTCCCACAGGACTCAACCATAAAACTGTGGCTGTGTAAATGTGTAACAGTTGTGTAAATGTACACTTTTATTTATTTTATTTATTTGTTTGAATTTGTATACCGCCCTACTCCCGAAGGACTCAGGGCAGTGAACAGCCATAGAATAAAATTCATAGTTTGCATGAGATAATTTATGATCTAAGAGAACTGTCATAAATTTAACTGCCAGGGCTGTGAACATGCTGCAAAATCAACCACATTCATTTGTTCTGATTGTAAGAATGTATTCTCATTTTTAATTTTGTGGATTGCAGCCTGATGGGGAACCCATCTGGAAAAAAAAGCATCTTGGTTTTCTTAAAACCATTTTAAAATGGGCTATTTTGAGTTTCGCTGTCACATTTTGGGGAGTTTATAACTCATTCTCTGTGCGGTCAAAGGCTTTTACAGATTTGGGTGAGATTTTTAAGGTGTAACCAGGACGGCCAAAGGCAAAGAAGTTGAGCGTGGGCCTGAAAATTGTTAAAACGCACTCCATCAATTCTACAGTAATGCTAGGGAGATGCTCACAGCAACGGTTGCCAAGGACACTTGTCATCTAGCAAGTTACAATGGGCGACAGCCTGACAGATTCCCATCAGCCAAGGGCTGAAAATGCGCAAATGTGATTAGCAGTTACCTAATCACAAACCAAGCTGTGATTATTCTCTTTTCCAAGGCAATTTTTAATCTGGAAAGTTCTATCTCGCTTAAAACTGTTGAGGAATCTCAGGCAATTACAATAAAGTTGAGGTTAAGAAACGTAACAATAAAATCCAATCCCTCCCCCTTTTTAAAGCTGCACCTAACAACTATCCAATTACATTAGAAGCTAGTGTGAGGTAGTTTAAATAATTGTGCAAATGTCATGCAAAATTATTCTTTAGGTTACCAGTTCCCAATTATTTGATTTAGGAGGACTTCTAAACTGTCAATTAATTTTTTCTTGTGGCCCAACAGAGGTCTACAATCCAAAACCAAACTGCATTTTTTTAAATCAAGAGCAAGATAATATGCATTAAACCCCAAGAAAGACCATGTCTGCAGAACCCCCGTGTTAAAGTTAATTTTAAAAACTGTTTAAAAAATTAAATAAACAGATCAAATTCTATGGCATTCTAATACTGACATCAAAATGATCTGAAATAGTAGCCATCTTCCAAAAAAAGACATCTACACTACAGAAAACCTAGTGTCCCCACAAACCACATCTTGAAAATGATTTCTGTATATTTCACAATTTACATGTATTTATTTTTGCTGTATCAACTGTCCTTTGGACTGCAAGGCCATCCAACCGGCCGGTCCTAGAGGAGATCAACCCTGGCTGCTCTTTAGAAAGCCAGATCCTGAAGAGGAAACTCAAATTCTTTGGCCGCCTAATGAGAAGGAAGGACTCCCTGGAGAAGAGCCGAATGCTGGGAACGATGGAGGGCAAAAGAAGACGAAGGGGACAGCAGAGAACGAGGTGGCCAGATGGAGTCACTGAAGCAGGAGGTGAGTGAGCGTAAATGGACTCCAGAGGATGGTAGAGGACAGGAAGGCCTGCAGGAACGTTGTCCATGGGGTCGCGATGGGTTGGATGCAACTTCACAACTAATAACAACACATCTCGGAGAAATGGCTGTCCAATCTTTTCTTGAAAGCCTTCAGTGATGGGAGCCCACAACTTCTGGAGGCCAAGCAGTTCTCACTGCTAGGAAATTGCTCCTTAGTCCCAGGTTAGCTCTTTCTCTCTGACTAGCTTCCCCCTATTGCTTTTTGTTCTGCGTTCAGGTGCTTTGGAGAATAAAATGACCTCCTCTTCTCTGTGGCATTGTAATCCCTCAGCCCCATTAATTAAAGTATACAAAGCTAAGGTTATCCCTATGCTCTTGTATGGAGCAGAGGTTTAGGGTCTATATTCAACCACAGTCCCAGAACAAACACAGTCCCAGCATCTGAGACGTATTTTGGGTGTAGATCCAAGAACATCTGCTGCAGCAGTTAAGAGCTGAATTGGGAATTCATACAATTCATGCACTATCCAAAATTAGAGCATATAACTACTGGTGCAAAGTCAAAGAAATGGAGACTGATAGACTCCCCAAGTTATGTTTACTAGAGCAAATAAAATTACAATCACAAATCTCCTGGGTCACCAAACTAACAAATTTTGTAAGAAGCTGTGGCCTTCCTATCTCTTGGGTAACAGGAGACAGAACTCAAAATAGAATAGAATAGAATAGAATTTTTAATTGGCCAAGTGTGATTGGACACACAAGGAAATTGTCTTGGTGCATAGGCTCTCAGTCAGAGTGGATAAAAATCAATGATTTTTTTAAAAAAATCAAAAAAATCAGATTTTTTTTATTTAAATCGGGTTTTTTTTATTTTTATCAAATTTATTTTAATAAAAAACTTTTGGGGTACAAATCTATCATAAGATAGTTTTCTATTTAAGATACATAAATAATTTAGTTTATTCAGCATGAAATGGAGCTCAGTTATGTAGCAGGAGGCTGTATATTCTGCAACACTGGGACTATCGGTGAGTCAACAGTGGGTCAAAGGAGTAGCAGAGGTGACAGTTGCTCTTTAAAAATTATGATTTAAATCGAGTTGATTTAAATCAAGCCTTTTTACTAGTGATTTAAATCATGATTTAAATTGTGATTTAAATCAACTCGATTTAAATCAAATCACCCTGCTCTCAGTGTACATAAAAGAAAAGATACGTTCATCAAGAATCATAAGGTACAACACTTAATGATAGTCATAAGGAACAAATAAGCAATCAGGAAACAATATCAATCGTAAGGATACAAGCAACAAATTACAGTCATACAGTCATAAGTGGGAGGAGATGGGTGGTGGGAACGATGAGAAGATTAATAGTAGTGCAGACTTAGTAAATAGAGCTGCCCAAAGAATTAAGGATATAGAAGCACAAAATGACATAGCTATTCTTAGTAAGGTGAGTCACTTGAAATGGCTGAGCAAATACAAACGTATTTTTCAAGTAGACAGCTATTTGAAGTTACAACTGCCAAAACATCTTAGGGAGATATTTACGTGAGCGAGATTCGAACAGCTTGACACAATGGTCAGATATGGGAGATTTTATACCCTGCAGTGAGCGTCTCTGCATCTGTGGAGCGGCAGAGGTAGAGGACCTGGCTCACATCCTATTTGATTGGTGCTTGTATAAGGGGGTGACAGACAGGTATCTTGGTCCATATACCAAACGAAGGACCCGTTGGGACCCATATATCAAAACAACTTACTTTTATGTGCGGCCAGAACCTGAAAATAACATTTAACACAGCACAGGACTTAAAACGAAATGGTTCGGTTGAGATCTGCATACGTGGAACTGATTGGGGTAGATTGCAAAGGGTGATACCGAAATATAACTTTATGTCATTTTACTCTGTTTTATATATTTATGTATCAAATTATATTGTATCTAATCCTATAACTATTATATTTTACCCTACTTTTATTTTAAATTGTTTGCAAGAGAGTTTAATGGTGATATGTGTTTGCACTTTGTGCTTTGATATGGTCTATAGCTGTGATGGCAAACCTATGGCACAGCCATATCTGTGGGCATGCGAGCCCTCCAGGCCCACTGGAAGTCGAGAAATGGGCTGTTTCCAGCCTCCGGGGAGGGGAGGGGAGGGGGAGGCTGTTTTTGCCCTCCCCAGGCTCTAAGAAAGCTCTGGAGCCTCAGGAGGGTGAAAAATGGGTGTACTGGGCCCAACGTGCCAAAAGCGGGGGGGGGGGGTTTGCGCGCGCATGCGGGGCGCATTGAATTATGGGTGTGGGCATGTGCACGTGAGACACCCCCCCCGCACTCCCCCTGCTTTTGGCACGCGACGGCAAAAAGGTTAGCCATCCCTGGCCTATAGGCTAATCAATAAACCTAACTAACTAACTGTGGCACTGTACTGGAAGACTGCTATCGTGTCACCCCGACTTCTTCTCTTCGATAAGTGAGCCATCCCTAGCCCCCTCAAGTGTTCATCGTACGATTCAGCCTCCAGACCTTTTACCATCTGTGTTGCTCTTTTCTGCATTCTTTCCAGGGTTTCAGCATCTTTTTTTTTTTTTTTTGGTATCGTGGCAACTAGAACTGGAAGTAATATTCCAGCGAGGCTCAGTACAGAGGCCTAGTCACTGTTCAAGAGCTTCCAATATGCTGCAAAATGTTTTAAAAGCACATGCACCAAGACGAATTCCTTGTGTGTCCAATCACACTTGGCCAATAAAATTCTATTCTATTCTATTCTATTCTATTCTATTCTATTCTATTCTATTCTATTCCATATTTTCTATTCTATTCCTTTCTATTCTATTCCATATTTTCTATTCTATTCTATTCTATTCTATTCTATTCTATTCTATATTCCATTCCATTCTATTCTATTCTCTATTCCATATTTTCTATTCTATTCTATTCTATTCCATATTTTCTATTCTCTTCTATTCCATATTTTCTATTCTCTTCTATTCCATATTTTCTATTCTATTCTATTCTATTCTCCATTCCATATTTTCTATTCTATTCTATCCTATTCTATCCTATTCTATCCTATTCTATCCTATTCTATCCTATCCTATCCTATCCTATCCTATCCTATCCTATCCTATCCTATCCTATCCTATCCTATCCTATCCTATTCTATTCTCCTTTCCATTCCATATTTTCTATTCTATTCTATTCTATTCTATTCTATTCTATTCTATTCTATTCTATTCTATTCTATTCTATTCTATTCTATTAGGATTTCCTTTACTCAAGGGAATAAAAGAAAAAGTATCTGCACTCTGACTTATGACCACAACTGAGCCCAAAATTTTGATTTGCTAAGTGAGCTCAATTAATTTTATGAACCTTTCTTGCCAGAGCTCTTAAGTGAACCACCGCAGCTGTTAAATTAGTCCCACGGTTGTTAAGTGAATCTGGCTCTCCCACTGACTGCTTGTCAGAAGGTTGCAAAAGGGAAACGTGTGACCCTGGGACGCTGCCACTGTCATAAATACGAGTCAGTTGCCAAGCCTTCCAATTTTTTTTTTAATTTTTTTTTTATTATTTACATATATCCTCATAACTTGATTGCCATTGTATGTGTGTACACAATATACCCATACGACGAAATTCACTTAACACCCAAAGACCAGGTCGAACACACATAACAATCCCCAAACACACTCCCACCCACCACAAATTCCCCACCCCTAAACCACCCAAACATTGAACACAGTGTGACCATCCTGGCGATTCATCTGCCATAAGAACCCAAGTGAAAGACAAATAACATAAATACTACTTTCACAGTGCTACCGTGTTTCCCCGAAAATAAGACATGTCCTGAAAATAAGGCCAAGGTTTATTTTGGGGGTGGGCCTAAATATACACCCTTCCCCCGAAAATAAGCCCCCCCACACACACACGCAGGTCGCTCACCCCCCCAACCCTCCCAAGGCAGCCACATCCCTGCAAACTCCTGCGCCCCCTGCCCCTTTCCCCGCCCGCAGCACCAACCGTAGACCTCAAGCACCTGCTCCTGCGCCATGGGAGCGGCCCGCCCGCTCTCTCCCCCGTGCCCAGGTGCCGCATCCACATAAGCCTGTACTATGGTTTGGAAGCCGCCGAGGCAGAGTTTGGGGGAGAGAAAGAGAGACTTCTGGTGCTTCTGCTTTTGGCGGCATGCAAGGAAAGCAGCAGAAGTCTTTCTTTCTCTCCCCCAAACTCTGCCTCGGCGGCTTCCAGACCCCAGCCAGGGCAGCGGCCGCTCTGGGAGTGTGCTTCCCACTCTATGGTGACGGCTGGAGCTGAAGCCTGCAGGGAGAGCTGGCCCAGGCCATGGCTTCCGCGCCGGGTGCCGGCAGCAATGGCTATGAGCTCGAGGACCTGGTGCTCACCGGCTTCGCCCACATTGACATGGTGAGGCCTGCAAGACGCGCAAGTGGGGGGGGACAGGCACTCACGCAGCTTGGTGCTCGCGTTCTACACACACACCCCCGTGGGAGGGGAGGGGCTTGATGGCGGCGCACAAAGGGAACCTCTCTCTGCTGGACTCCTGGCTATGAGTGCGCAGGCCGCCTGGGCCTTCTGCACCCCCAGAATATTAACACCCCCCCCCCAATAATAAGGCCAAGCCCTTATTTCGGGGCTCAAAAGAAAATAAGACCCTGTCTTATTTTCGGGGAAACATGGTAGTTTTGTACAATTATTTTGGACCAGCTTATTCATTCTGGTACCTATGTAATTTCTCATTCTGGGTCTCCTTAACCTAATTGTTTCATGTTCCGACTCCCACCTTGTGTCTCCAGCCATTGATAAAACCTGTTCCATGTGTCATAATATTCTGTCTCTCCTTTGTTTTCTTAATTCTAAGGTTAATCTATCCATTTCTGCGCATCTCTGAATTTTGTTCACGTGACCCCGGGGGGGAGGGGGGGAATGCTGCGACGGTCGTAAGAGTGAAAAACGATTGTAAGTTAACTTTTTTTCGGTGCCGTTGTAACTTCGGACGGCCCTAAATAAACTATTCTAAATCAAGGACTACCAGTGTAATGATGGCCACAATAAATAAATAAAACAATCCCTCTCAAGAAGAGAAGAGAAGGAAACATTGAGTGGTACATAGATTGAAACACTGGGGTGCCCATATATCTAAATACGCCAGGCGGATCAAGCAGGACCGAATCTCGGGAAGCACTGACCTATCAGGGGGTCCGTAACGTGGGTCCAGTCAATGCAGCACTGCAACTCCAGCTGATAGTGAGACTGGATGTAGAGAAGCAGGTGCTGGTAAAACCCGATGCCAGCAATCAGGTGAGTCCGGTAAGCGCACTCCAGGGTGCTCCGACTATGGATGTGCTGCGGATTGGGGAAAACAAAGAGAGCAAGTTAGGGTCGGTCTCTAGCTTCTCTCGTGACAGCTGGTCCTCGATTTACGACCACGAGGGATCCCGGAATTTCTGTTGTGAAGCGAGACGCTTTGTTAACCGAGTTTGCCCCATTTTACGACCTTTCTTGACACACTTCGTTAAGTGAATCACTGCGGCTGATCAGTTAGTAGCCCGGCTGTTAAGGGAACCTGGCTTCCCCGTTGACTTTGCTTTCGCGAAGAGACCGGACTGCCATCTGTTGGAAATGGTGTAGGGCAGTGATGGCGAACCTTTTTGGCACCGAGTGCCCAAACCGGAACACGCGTGCATGTGCACCAGCTGGCCGGCGCACACATGCCTGTTGTCGGGTTTCGGTGTCGTCTCAAATAAATTGCATTTCCAAACAAATAGTCTTTGATGAAATCTTTCATTTATTAAGCACGACAATCTGTCCCCGATTATATCGTAGCCAACACTGACTTCCTGACCCCAAACCTTCCCTTTCCGTTCCCCAATTCTCTGCGTCTCATTGGCCACCTTCCAAATCACTCTCCCCATATCTACTACTTCAGCTCCCAGGAATGTCCCCCCTCCCATCCCATCTCCTAGGGGATATTATCTTCAGAGAAAATAAGTAGGTGAAAAGTCAAGCGTCCTCTTGCCAGCTGACCCCTCTTTCTCCTCCTTATGTCAGCACTGGAACGAATGTAGTTTGGAGTGCTGACACCTGTTTTCTGGCCTTTTTTGGCTGTTTTTCGGGCCAAAATTGTTTCCAAAAACGTTACAAAAATGGGCTGATTTTCGGGCCGTTTTCCAGTGCGCCAGCGCCCGTGAAGGCCAGCTGGCCTGTGCACATCGGAAATCAGAAGAGAAAAGGAGAGGAAGGAAGGGTAAGGGACAAGTGTAGGAGAGATGAGAAGGGGGAAAAGAAGAGAGGAGTGGGGGAAAGGAAGGGGAAGTAGGACGAGGTAGGAGAGGAGGAAGGAGAAAGTAGGAGAGAAGAGGAGGGAGGGAAGGGAAAGAAAGGAGAAGAAGAAGGAGGTTTGTTGCAAAATGAGGGAAGAAAGGGTAGAAGAGCAACTCCGAATGTAATTAAAATGCCTTATTTTAATGCTCTCTTTTAAGGAAAACATGTATATGTAGGATTAATTATGTACAAGAAAATGTACATTTTATATTATGTGTGTAAGAAATAAAACTGAAAAACTTTTCAAAAAAAAAAAAAAGGAAACCAGAAGAGCAGCTGACAATGGCGCACGTGCCCACATAGAGGGCTCTCCGTGCCACCTCTGGCACGCGTGCCATAGGTTCGCCACCACGGGTGTAGGGTCTCCTGCTTGGATGGGGGGCTGGACTAGATGACCTACACGGTGGTCCCTCCCAACTCTTGTTATTCTGTATTCTGCTTGTCAAAAGGTTGGCAAAGCGGATCAACACGATCTTGGGACATAGCAACGGTCATAAGTACGAGCTGGTGGCCAAGGGTCTGAATGCTGATCACATGACCATGGGGATGCTACAAAAGTCGTAACTGTGAAAAACAAGTCAGAAGTCAGATTTTACACTGCCGTTGTAACTTCAAACAGTCACTAAATGAACTGTTTTAGTTACTTGTAATTATTTTCCAAAAAAGGTCAAAGCCACAGATTAATTCAGCATCAACAATTCCATTCCTGCCCATTTCATGCTTCGGAAGGCTCCAATGCAGATTTTATCCCTGACTATATTCAAGGCAGGGACAGAGCTGAAATCCCTGCTGATGAGTCCAACTACAGGCGGTCCTCGACTTACAACAGTTCATTTAGTGACCATTCGACGATTGAAACAGTGACTTATGGCCGTTTTTCAATGCTTACGACCGTTTTAGCATTCCCCGGGGGGTTCCATGCGATCAAAATTCAGACACTGGGCAACTGGCTCATCTTTACGACGGTTTGCGGTGTCCCAGGGTCACGTGATCCCCTTTTTACGACCTTCGGAGCAGCAAGGGGGAACCAGATTCACTTAACAACCGTGTTACTTAACAACTTGCAGGGATTCACTTGCCAACTGTGGCAAGGAAGGTGGTAAGATGGGGCAAACTCAAAGTGTCTCGCTTAACAACAGAAATTTTGGGCTCAATTGTGGCCGTAACCCGAGGACCACCTGTATTTTGGGAACCAAGTTCTGTACCTTAGTTCAAACAAATATACTTCCGTACAATATTCAACCATTTTCTCTCATTCTGGAAAGCTTACAGGCCCCCTGGGTCTATCCATGCCTTCCCCACTTTGTTAGATCGATTATTAATTACTGATTCCACAATCTCTTAATTGAAAGAGACCACAAAAAAACCCCCCAAACACATAGCCAGGCAATAATCCTGCAACTCTCTCTTCTGCTTCAAAGTCCCAGATTGAGCGAAGTGTAGTAGCGTTATCCTCCCAGAAACATTTCTCCCCTTTCTCCGGTATTTTTATTTACTGTTCTATCTTTCGGCTGTGGGTTATCATCCAAATAAGATTCACATGCAAACATTATCAGAATGGATCGCCTACCTTTTTATTTGTTTTGATCAGCTGAATGACTTCGTAGTAAACTTTCCGCCACAGCAGTTCCTCTGCTTTCCTCCCATAGTCCACAGGGTGTAGGAACATCAGCTTTACACAGAGTTCGCGGAGCCTGGGGCAGGAAGGAAGAGTGAAGAGAGAGAGACGCTGCTCACAATTTGTCTCAAAACCATTTTTTAAAAAAAGTCCTAATCATACATACATACATACATACATACATGTATATATATATATATGTATGTATGTATATATGTATATATCCCTCTCTAAGCAGTTTATAGAGGCAGCATATTGGCCCCAACAATCTGGGGCCAACCAAGGGGGGATGGAAGGCTGAGTCAACCTTGAGCCAATCAGGATCGAACTGATGGCAGTTGGCAGGATTAGCCTGCAATACTATATTCTAACCACCGTGCCAGTATGGCAATAGAATAGAAGAATTAAGAATAAGAACAGAACAGAAATGCCATTTAGACTTACATACTGCTTCACAGTGCTTTACAGGCCCCTCTGAGCATTTTACAGAGTCAGCCTCTTGCCCCCAACAATCTGGGTTGTCATTTAACCGACCTCGGAAGGAAGGAAGACTGAGTCAACCTTGAGCCAGTCAGGATCGAACTGCTGGCAGTTGGCAGAATTAGCCTGCTATCCTGCCTTCTAACCACTGCACCATGGATCTGCGTACAGGTGCAATTTTTGAAGACTAAGAACTGTATTCTGTTAAAAGTCAGCAGATATCTTCCCCACCCATCAAGGCCACTCAATTTGCCTAGCAGGACCTCAACCCGAGATTACTAGTCTGCTTATCTATGAAGCTGCGTCCAAACAATATTCTGTGCAATGGAATTACTTTGAGGCTGAACCTTGGGAATATGAGCCCCAGACAGAATGCTCTGGAATGAATGAATGAATGAATGAATGGCAAGCTAGTTTTGCCACACAGGAATACAACATTTTTATGATATTCTGTATTTCCATGGAATTAATTTTTCCCAGCAATACTTCACCCAGACTTTTTCCGTTCAAGTAAGACTGCTGCATCCTGGCCTTTCAAGACCATACATCTGATTGAAATGCAGAACATGGAATAAAGAAAGGCCCAACTTTCTTACTTGTTTCTCAGGCTGATGTTCTCCGGCTTAAATACTTCTTGATAAGCTGCCTTGTTTCCAAGAATGAGATCCAATCGATGCACTGCTTCAACCACAGCTCTACGAAAAGCACAGGAGGCATTCAAAGTCAGGAAGAAGCTGCTGCTCAGAAATTCTTCAGTTGGACTCAGACATAACATGAAGTTATAATATACCACCCAGAGCCCCTCTGCACCGCCCAGAACCTCACTGTCAGTTCTGCCATCTTCCGCTCGGTGCCTTGCTGGCATTCTGCCATCAAAAGCTAGGGGGGAGGGGGCAAGGGGGACAAATGTGTATGGGGATGTGAAATAGGGAAGGGGGATGACAGTTTGACGAAGATGAGGGAGTCATAAAACCAATTTGTGCCAGTCTTCAAGGCCACACTCTCTGAGAGTGGAATTTGGGTTGCACCAAGCATCTCAAGTGATTCTCAAAACACCTGTGACTCTCCATTGGCTGAAGACAAACTGGTCATGGGGTGGGAGGGGGGGCTGGGTTGAGGGGAAAAAAATTTAACCTGGGGAGGGGGGGAAGAATCTTGGTTCTAGCCTGATTTTACTGGAACCAGCAACCTTTAGTAAAAGAACCTATCACTTCACCCAAATGGAGTCGAGGGTTTTTCTTTCCTAAGGGTCCTGACTGGGGCAGGTCTGACACTCTCACTGAGGAAGATGGGCAGATAAGAAGTATGAAATACAAAATAAAATAAAATACGCTTTGACTATCTATTGCTTAGCGTGTTACAATGAACTCACTCATAGCAATTTGTGTACCATAATTTATGGTTTAGTGTGCAGTTGTGGGTTTTACCGTCAGACTCTAATACAGCCACCTTTCTGGAATGCATAGCTGGAGGGCTATAAAATTAGCCTTCTCGTCCCGCAGTGGCTTCAATTGACAAGAAGAAGGCCACAATCCAATCTGACTATGGAGATTTTCAAATCATCCATGAATCATCTTTAGTTCTGACTGAAAGGCAACCAATACTGAAGAAGCTTCTTTTTTCCCTTTTTTAAGGGAAAAAAAACCAAGGCAGTCCAGCTGCCTTTTGGAAAAACACGTTTGGGGGCCACAATCTAAACTGTTTGCCTTCAAACTCTCCAAAGAAGGAACATTGCTGAATTGTACTAAGCTCTTCTCTGGGATGCGAAGAGACTTGCTGGGCTTGCTTCTTTGCAGACAGCAAGCCATGTGCCACGGTCTATTAAAAGATCTCACAGTGCCACCAGCTGCCAAGCTCTATGGCCATCATCCAAGCCTTCCAATACCAGGGAAAAGTGACAAGGAGATCAAGCCATCCAGGCTGTGCCACACGGTACGTTCAAACACCGGCATCAAAAGCAACCTTTTGCAAAGTCATCCTTACAAGGCAAGTGTCAAAACCTTGACTTGACATTCATGTCATGGCGTGTTGCTTTTAGGGGGGTGGGAGGGGGAGGGAAATACTTCTAGCTTTTAAGACCTCTGGAAAATAAGAGCGCAACCGAAACTGAGAATGCTATTGGGAGGGCACAGAAGACACAGGAAATGACTTGAAGAAGTTGAAGGAACTGTGTAAAGTCCTTGGGAACTACCCATTATCAAGAGTGTGTGAGGGAATCCCCACAGAATTGGGGAGAAGGGGAGATGCTCAGCTGCCACTGAGCACATGCCACGTTTCTCTTGCTGGCTGTAGCAGCCCGGCATGGCAAACTGGCAAATCGTGGAGTAGTCTTAAAAGTGGATTACTGGCCTGTGGGTTGCCTGCCCCCCCCACAACATGGCGTAACATGCCTTCTGGACTCCCCCAATCCAGAGGGCCTGTAAAAGTGTCAGGCGACAACTGCCATCCCTGTCTATGAATAACAATGTAAACTCTGATGCGTCCAAAAGGGGAAAGTCAAACAGAAGCATAAAATGGGACACGTAGGTCAAGGTGAATCCTAAGGCTGTAAAAGGAGAATATTTGTAGCTCAGGGTTGAAATGAGGGGTTTTCTTGCAGACGTTTCATGACCCAACTAGATAACATTATCAGTGGTAGAAGGAAGGGGGTGTTGTAGAAAAGAGGAGGAGGAGAATCCTAGGTACCCTCTGAGCTTGGCTGTTTTCTTGCAGACGTTTCATTATCCAATTAGGGAACATTATCAGTGCTAGAAGAGAGTGGAGGGTACAGGGAGGGAGGAGGAGGAAGACTGTGGGGTCCTGGGTGCTCTCTGAGCTTGGTTGTTTTCTTGCAGACGTCTCATTACCCAACTAAGTCATGAAATCAGTGCACTGATGATGTTTTCTAGTTTGGGTAATGAAACGTTTACAAGGAAACAGCCAAGCTCAGAGAGCACCCAGGACTTCAATCAATCCTTCCTTCCTTCCTTCCTTCTCCCTCCTTCTTCCTTCTTTCCTTCCTTCTGCAAACACCTCTCCCTTCTAGCATTGATGATGTTACCTAGCTGGGTAATGAAATGTTTACAAGGAAACAGCCAAGCTGAGAGAGCACCCAGGACTCCTTCCTTCCTTCCTTTCCTCCCTCTCTCCCTCCTTCCTTCTGCAAACACCTCTCCCTTCTAGCACTGATGATGTTCCCTAGTTGGGTCGTGAAACGTTTCAAGGAAACAGCCAAGCTCAGAGAGCACCCAGGACTCAATCAATCCTCCCTCCCTCCCTCTTCCTTCCTTCCTTCCTCCCTCCCTCCCTCCTTCCTTCCTCTGCAAACACCTCTCCCTTCTACCACTGATGATGTTCCCTAGCTGGGTAAAGAAACAACCAAGCTCAAAGAGCACCAAGGACCCCTTCTCCTCCCTCCCTCCCTCCCTCCTTTTCTTTCTTTCCTTCCTTCCTTCCTCCCTGTCTTTCTCCTCCTCCTCCCTTCTGCAAACACCTCTCCCTTCTAGCACTGATGATGTTACCTAACTGGGTAATGAAAGGTTTACAAGGAAACAGCCAAGCTCAGAGAGCAGCCAGGACCCCCTCCCCTCCTAAGACTGTCCGTTTCCCCTTTCACCCCCTTCACAAAGGATGTGACAAAAAGGACAAAAATTAGTTGCTGATTTAGGGGGGGGGCTAGCTGGGAGCAATGGGGAGGGGGTTTCAAATGGGTGGATGTCCTGCTGGTAGGCGTTTCGAAGCAGGTGGAGGCAGCAGGAGCTGTACTACCCAAAGGCTATAGCGCTAGGTACACGGGAAAGTCCTCGACTTAAAGCGACCAAAACCAACCCCCTGCCCCCCAAATTGAGGTTGCTAAGGGAGTTTCGCCCCATTTTAGATCCTCATTTAAGCGAACCGTCGCAATTCTGAAGTTAGGAGGAGTACGGTCGTTAAGTGAATCCGGCTGACTTCTCCAAAGGGCTCAAAAAGGGGGATTTTTACCTGATACCCCCACCCGGGACTCTGCAACCGTCGTAAGTGCGAGGATCCCTATTTGGATCACGTGATTCCCGGTGGGGGGGGAGGGGTGGGGGAAACGGCACACGCCTCAACGGTCATTTTAAAAAATGTGGGGGGGGGGAAAGGGCCCTAAGTCTCTTTTTTTCCCCCTCCCCACCGCTCCGTTGTCAGTCAGGTCACTAAACGGACCGCCGTTGTAAGTCGAGGACTTCCACTGGGGAATAACATTTAACATCGTTAAGAGGAGCCCCCCTCATCCCCCCCTCTCTCTCTATTGGTGGGAGGGACCCACGTGCCCCATGGCTTGCGGGGATGATGGGACCTGGAGTCCCTTCACGGTCCCACGCGGGGCCTGCAAGGGGGCGATGAGGAGTTTATTTCACCCCCTCCATATACACACACACAAACAGGCGCCCGCCCGCCCGGCTTCCTTTGGGGGGGGCTGCGGGGGGGACGATGGGACCTGGAGTCCCTCAGGGCCGGCCGTGGACGATGGGGCCGCTCGCTCACCGGTAGAGCCTTTTGGTGTGGAGAGCCTTGGCCTCCGGCTCACCGCCGCCGCCGCCGCTTCCGCTGCCTTGGCTCATGGCGCCCGGCAGGCCTTGAGGCCCCCTCAGCAGCCCCTGCCGCCCCGCCAGGCCCGGCCCGCCCCTCTCGGCCGCCGCCTCAGCCCGGCCTTGGAGCGCTTCTGCTGCTGCTGCTGCTGCTGCTGCTGCTGCTGGTGCTGCTGTCGCCGCCTCCGCCGCAGCCCTGGAGCCTCCGGGTTCTGCAGCCGCCAGCGACCCCGCTCGGCCGCCATCGCGCTCCGGCTGCCCGCCGCCGCCGCCGCCGCCGCCGCTTTCCCCTCAGCCAAGTCTCGCGAGACCGCCGCCCTCGGGTCTCGCGAGCGCTCGGCGCCCAAGTCTCGCGAGAGCTCCGCAGCCGCCTAGTGCTTGTGGGGAGGGAAAAGGGGAAGAAAAAAAAAAACACCTCTGCCCCGCGCGAGTAAGCACCGCCCCCTCCCTCCAAACCCACTTCTTCAGCTCTCGCGAGGTCTGAGTCTCTGCCCGTAGACTTATTCGGAATGCAAGAGGTGGGGGCACCTCGGGAAGGGAAGGGAAGCAACCGATGGCGGGTCGCGTTTCAGGGTTTCCGATTCATTCGTTCATTCATTCATTCTGGAGGGTTTGGACATTCTTGTCGTTTCCGTGGCCTCTTTTTCTCCTCCTCCTTTTTTTTTTCCCTTTCTGGAAGTGCGGAAAAACAGCAAAGTGGCGCTAAAAGAAGTGGAGTCAAAACTCTTCTTCCATTTGTTATATGGTACTATATGTGTGTGTTGTGTATGTGTGTATATATGTGTATATATATATGTGTGTGTGTGTATAGATAGATAGATAGATAGATAGATAGATAGATAGATAGATAGATAGATAGATGTAAATATATATATATATGTATATATGTGTGTGTATGTATATATATATATATATATACATACATATATATACCCTGTTTCCCCCAAAATAAGACACCTCCTGATAATAAGCCCAATTGGGCTTTTGAGCGCATGGCAATAAGGCCAAGCACTTATATCAGGGTTCAAAAAAATAGAAGACAGGGTGTTATTTTTGGGGAAGCACGGTATATACATATCTTTAGATAATATAATAAATATAAATAAATATTATATATATATATATATATATATATATATATATATATATATATATATGTATGTATATATATATATATATATATATGTAGGTTTTTGGTTATTCGGGTTTTCTCCCGCGTAAAATTGGAAGTGTCTTGGCTATTTATTATATATATCATACCATATAACACGACACAAACACATACACACATATATATAGAGAGAGATTAGATATAGATATAGAGATGGATGGATGGATGGATAGACGGATAGACAGACAGACAGACAGACAGATAGATAGACAGATAGATACAGATTAGATGTAGATGTAGATATATAGATGGATGGATGGATAGATAGATATAGATTAGATATAGATGTAGATGTAGATATAGAGATGGATGGATGGATGGATGGATACACAGATAGATAGACAAATTAAATGTAGATGTAGATTAGATAGACAGATAGACAGACAGACAGATAGATACAGATTAGATGTAGATGTAGATATAGAGATGGATGGATAGATAGATAGATAGATGATTTCCAGGTTGAGCAGTGGGCTGGTCTAGCAGACCTCCAAGGTCCCGTCCAGCTCTGTTCTGATTCATTCTTTCATGCAGACAGGAGCCTGCAGAGGGTTTTCTGCAAACTCCATGTTTTCTGTAAAGGTCACTAAACGAATGGTTGTAAGTAGAGGACTACATGTAAACCGATATTCTATTTAAAAAAAAAAAACATATTCACTTATATTTATGGCTGGTCTCCTGCTGCCCTCTGCTGGTGACGGGTGGCAGTGCAGCCCCTCTCAGCAATACTCTTTTCGATGAAGAAAAAACGCAATAAAATCCGTTTTACATTCATTTATTTTTACTTATTTCACACCTGCCCTAGCAGAGGACAGCATGGGACCAGCCTTTCGGTGCGGTCTCCCTCCGCCATGTCCACTCCTCCGGGACATTGCAACCGTCATAAATATAAGTCAGTTCTCAAACATCTGGATTTTGATCATTTGATGGTATCAATGCTGCAACGGTCGTAAGTGTGAAAAAGTGTCATAAGTCACTTTTTTTAGGGCCGTTGTAAGAGATTAGACAGCCTTTGTCTGGAATGGTATCAACTAAGTTTCCAGCCTGAGTGGGGGTTGGACTAGAAGATCTCCAAGGTCCCTTCCGAATTTATGATTCTGTGATTCTATGGGATAGATAAAATGATAGAGATTAGATAGGTTAGATAGAAGAGAGAGGGGGGGAGGGAGAGAGCAATGATGATGGTGATGGATGGATGGATGGATGGAAGGAAGAAGGAAGGAAAGAAGGAAGGAAGGAAGGAAGGAAGGAAAGAAGGAAGGAAGGAAGGAAGGAAGGAAGGAAGGAAGGAAGGAAGGAAGGAAGGAAGAACGAACAATTTGTCTTGGACAGGGGGTCAGACTAGAAGACCTCCGAAGTCCCTTCCAGCCCTAGGATTCTATGATTCTGTGAGATGACAAGGAGTTCCCCAAAGGTTGGATTCTCACAACCAATTTAGCCAAGTCAGGGAAAGACGTAGCTGCAGCCTCTGTGTAAACTGGGTCGAATAAATGCCTTTTCTCTTTAAGCGTCTTCATTTAGATGCCTTTGTATCATCTTTTTTGTTGTTGTTGTTTTAATTCTATGCTAAGCCACCCAGAGTTGCTGTAGCAATGAGATGGACACCATTACAATTTAATTAATGAATAAAAGGGATTCATGGGAGCTGGGAGGGTTGGGCTTCTTTGGGGGCTTCTAATGTGGGGCAAACACGTTTTTGTGGTAGTTTGGGGTCCATTGGTGAACAAAAGCAGGCAGGATGGACGTACCATAGATCGGGAATGGGACTAAGAAATTATGAGTGGTCCTCAGTTACCAGAAAAAACTGGTCATTAAACAATGAAGAACCTACGGTATGACTGGTGGGTAATATATCAATGAAACTACAACTGTTCATTCATTAAAACATGAGTGGTTAATAAGTAAGTAAATACAACTGGTCATTGATTAATTAATCAAGTAATTATGAGAGGTCACAATGAAGAAATTACGACTGATCTGGTCATTCATTGCTGAAGGAAGCTCCAACAATGAACAAAAATGATGAACAGTCACTAATGAACAAACTCCAACTAATTAATTAAGACATGACGAGTAGTAATAATTTGGTCATTGCTTAATTAATGAAGCAGTTATGACTGGTCGTTCATTAATGAAGACACTATGAGTGGCCACTAATTATTGAAGAAGCTACGAGTGGTGATAAATTAATTGAGAAATTATGTGACCTTCATGTGACTTTGATTCTATCCCTCTGTTAATGCAGACTAGGATTGCATTGGCATTTTTGGCTGCTGCTGCACATTGTTAGCTCATATTTAAGCGATTGTCCACAGGATTCAATTAATTACAACTGGTGGTTAATTAATTAAGACAGGTCTCCCCTCGTTCTCCTTCAGGAGGCCCAGACAGGCTCTCCAGAAGAGAGGGACCACTTGCCCAAGTACCTCATCTCGGCCCAGCCCGAATTTGGATCCACCAACCCTGCCCTCCAGGTGTACGGCTACCAGCTGGCCTGCAGGGAGCATGAGCTGGAGCATTTCCTTAGCAAAGGAGGAGAAGGCAGGGAAGGAGAGGGACCCCCTGAATCTGAAGAAGTGGAGCTCGGACAAGCTGCGCCTCACCGTCTATGAAATGGCTGACAGAGAGCAGCCGGATCAGGCCCGGGGCAGAGGACGCAAGAGGAAACTCAAGTAGAGAAGGGGGCACTGTGAAACTTTGAGGTGTGCCCAGTGGGCAGCCGGAATGAAGGGAGCTCAGGAGTCACTGAGTATCATGATTTGTCTTGAGACATTTATTGGGAATAAATTATGAATGAAATCGAGACGAATCCAGATAAGACTTCTTCTGTGGGCCAGTCAGGTCATCGCGAAGCTGGGTGAGGTGCCAGGCGTTGGGACTGGTGACAGAGATGCCCTCATTGGGCTGTCCTCTGTTCAGACGGTCTCCTAGATGCTCATGGTCCATTCCGTTTTTCAAATTTTATTTTATTTTGACGAGTCTGATGGGGAAAGTCAGCTGCCTGCAGCTACCTGGAGTCAGGGAGCTCTACATCTGTGTTTCTCCAACGTGGAGACTTTGAGATGTGGGGACTTCAACTCCCAGAATTCCCAGCCAGCATGCCCAGAATAGTTCGGTCTGGATTCATGGGTTGTTGGTTGACACAGCAGAGGACTTGTGGCTCATTCAGCAATCGCCCGGTGAAATGGGTTGGGTCCCTCTTCAGTCGTGGACTTCAGATCAGGCAACGAGGGACTGTCAGACCTGTCCCAGTCTGATCTCCCAGGGAAGTAAAACCCTCGACTCCATTTGGTTGAAGTGAAAAGGCACTTTTACTAACAGATGCTCACTGCAGGACAGTCAGGTGGAATCTGAAGTTCCAGCGCATCAATTCAGCACTAACTCCTTGGTTTCCCCAGCCCTCCCCCCATAGTCCATCCAAGGGCAGCCAATCCAGCACCGCTGAGATTATTTTGGGAAGCGCTGAGATGTTTAAGTTGGTGAAATTCCATTCTCAGGAGAGGTGGCCTTGAAGATGCCTGCATAGACTGGATTCCAAACCGCTCTGTTCTTCCTCAACTGTCAATTCCCGCCTCCCAATTTCCCCTCATGAAGACACACAGCTTGATTGCCCATTGGTTCCCCCTCCCTTTCCCAGGTTGATGGCAGACTGCCAGCGAGGTGCCAAGCTGAAGGTGGTGGATCTGACAGGACATTGGTCTGTGTGGGGGCCGAGAGGGCCTCTGTCCAGCCTCATCGTGGTCTTAGCCAGGACGTATTGCACCGAGGGGGGGGGGGGGGGTCCCTTCCGTCTTTGTCATCCATTGCTCTTTTTTTCTTCTGTTCCGTCGGGTTCAATTCTCAGAGACTGTCTGAACAAGTCCAGTCTCTATTCTTGGAGAGGTTTTGGAGAAGTGGTTTGCCATTGCTTCCTTCCTAGGGCTGAAAAAGAATGATTGGCATAAGGTCACTGAGATGGCCTCTACCACAGGGAGGGAGGGAGGGAGGGAGGGAGGAAGGAAGGAGAAAGGGAAGGAAGAAAGGGGGGACAGAGAGAGGGGAAGGAAAAGAGAGATGGAGGGAGGGAGGAAGGGGAGGGAAGGAGGGAGGGAAGGAAGGGTGGATGGATGGAAGGAAGGAAGAAAGGAAAGAAGGAAGGAAGGAAGGGGGAGAGAGGGAGAGGAAGGAACAGAGAGAGGGAGGAAGGGAAGGGAGGGAGGAAGGAAGGAAGGAAGAAAGGAAGGAAGGAAGGAAAGAAGGAAGGAAGGGCAGGCTTTGGTGCCCATTGGAGGACTAGAACTCACCATCTCCTGGGGATTGGCCCAAAGTGACACAGCTGCCTCTCTTGAGTATTCCAGGAGCAGAACTCACCATGCCTATTGCAGGAAGAAAAGACACCGTTTCTTGGTTATTGATCCGAAGTTACTAAGTCGGCCATTGTGAGAATTGAAGGATTAGAACTCACTGTCAATTCCTGGTGGAAAGTCATTCAGGTACCTGTCATTCATATTGCAGGACTACAACTGATCGTCTGCTGGTTATGGGCCCAAAGTCATCCAATTGCCTGTTGTGTATCTTGCAAGACTAAAAATCACTGTCTCCTGGTTATAGGCCTGAGGTCACGAAAATGGCTGTCTTAGTATAAGGTACCACAAATACTCACCATCCCTTCATTATTACCCAAAGTCACTAAAGCACCAGTCGTGTGCATTGCTGGATTAGATTTACCTTTCCAATTACAGTACGAGAAGTTACCGTCTTCTGCTTCTGGGCCCAAAGTCACGGTGCTGTATCTCACTCTAAAGCCCATAGGCTGCATCCTGCTAGCTGCCAGGGCGATGGATGCCCTAATTAATTCACGGCCCTCGAGCCAAGTTTCAAAAGAAATCCAGGTAATTATTAGGAGCAACATGTCAGCACATACCCAAGTGGAGTCAGCTCTGCCCCACGTAATTTGCATCCCAAATATGACCCTATAATCTGCCTCCTCCCACGGTATGTCATAAATCACATTCTCCGAGGGAGCACTATTCAAAGGGAAGCTCCACAACTACTCACCATCTCCTGAGTTTTCCTCCAAAAAAATAAAGGTTCCATTCCTGTATAAAGGGAAGTGCTGCAAATAATCACTAACAAAAACCTGTCTATCCTATGTTATATTCCTCAAGTATTCACTTTTTCCTCTTATTCCTGGAAAGGGAAGAACCTGGCTAATCTATACAATATTGAAAAATACCCACCATCACAAACCTGGCTGTCCTGTGTCATAATCGTTAATTATCCACTTTTCCTCTTATTCCTGCAAAGGGAAGAACCTGGCTAATCTATACAATATTGAAAAATACCCACCATCACAAACCTGGCTGTCCTGTGTCATAATCGTTAATTATCCACTTTTTCCTCTTATTCCTGGAAAGGGAAGAACCTGGATAATCTTTATAATATTAAAAAATACTCACCATCACAAACCTGGCTGTCCTGTGTCATAATTGTTAATTATCCACTTTTTCCTCTTATTCCTGCAAACTGCAAAGGGAAGAACCTGGATAATCTTTATAATATTAAAAAATACCCACCATCACAAACCTGGCTGTCCTGTGTCATAATTGTTAATTATCCACTTTTTTCTGTTATTCCTGCAAAGGGAAGAACCTGGATAATCTTTATAATATTAAAAAATACCCACCATCACAAACCTGGCTGTCCTGTGTCATAATCATTAATTATCCACTTTTTCCTCTTATTCCTGGAAAGGGAAGAACCTGGATAATCTTTATAATATTAAAAAATACTCACCATCACAAACCTGGCTGTCCTGTGTCATAATCGTTAATTATCCACTTTTTCCTCTTATTCCTGGAAAGGGAAGAACCTGGATAATCTTTATAATATTAAAAAATACTCACCATCACAAACCTGGCTGTCCGGTGTCATAATCATTAATTATCCACTTTTTCCTCTTATTCCTGCAAACTGCAAAGGGAAGAACCTGGATAATCTTTATAATATTAAAAAATACCCACCATCACAAACCTGGCTGTCCTGTGTCATAATTGTTAATTATCCACTTTTTTCTGTTATTCCTGCAAAGGGAAGAACCTGGATAATCTTTATAATATTAAAAAATACTCACCATCACAAACCTGGCTGTCCGGTGTCATAATCGTTAATTATCCACTTTTTCCTCTTATTCCTGCAAAGGGAAGAACCTGGCTAATCTTTATAATATTAAAAAATACTCACCATCACAAACCTGGCTGTCCTGTGTCATAATCGTTAATTATCCACTTTTTCCTCTTATTCCTGCAAAGGGAAGAACCTGGCTAATCTTTATAATATTAAAAAATACTCACCATCACAAACCTGGCTGTCCGGTGTCATAATCATTAATTATCCACTTTTTCCTCTTATTCCTGCAAACTGCAAAGGGAAGAACCTGGATAATCTTTATAATATTAAAAAATACCCACCATCACAAACCTGGCTGTCCTGTGTCATAATCCTTAATTATCCACTTTTTCCTCTTATTCCTGCAAAGGGAAGAACCTGGCTAATCTTTATAATATTAAAAAATACTCACCATCACAAACCTGGCTGTCCGGTGTCATAATCATTAATTATCCACTTTTTCCTCTTATTCCTGCAAACTGCAAAGGGAAGAACCTGGATAATCTTTATAATATTAAAAAATACCCACCATCACAAACCTGGCTGTCCTGTGTCATAATTGTTAATTATCCACTTTTTTCTGTTATTCCTGCAAAGGGAAGAACCTGGATAATCTTTATAATATTAAAAAATACCCACCATCACAAACCTGGCTGTCCTGTGTCATAATCCTTAATTATCCACTTTTTCCTCTTATTCCTGCAAAGGGAAGAACCTGGATAATCTTTATAATATTAAAAAATACCCACCATCACAAACCTGGCTGTCCTGTGTCATAATCATTAATTATCCACTTTTTCCTCTTATTCCTGGAAAGGGAAGAACCTGGATAATCTTTATAATATTAAAAAATACTCACCATCACAAACCTGGCTGTCCTGTGTCATAATCGTTAATTATCCACTTTTTCCTCTTATTCCTGCAAACTGCAAAGGGAAGAACCTGGATAATCTTTATAATATTAAAAAATACCCACCATCACAAACCTGGCTGTCCTGTGTCATAATTGTTAATTATCCACTTTTTTCTGTTATTCCTGCAAAGGGAAGAACCTGGATAATCTTTATAATATTAAAAAATACCCACCATCACAAACCTGGCTGTCCTGTGTCATAATCATTAATTATCCACTTTTTCCTCTTATTCCTGCAAAGGGAAGAACCTGGATAATCTTTATAATATTAAAAAATACTCACCATCACAAACCTGGCTGTCCTCTGTCATAATCCTTAATTATCCACTTTTTCTTCTTATTCCTGCAAAGGGAAGAACCTGGCTAATCTGTATAATATTAAAAAATACTCACCATCACAAACCTGGCTGTCCTGTGTCATAATCCTTAATTATCCACTTTTTCCTCTTATTCCTGCAAAGGGAAGAACCTGGCTAATCTATACAATATTAAAAAATACTCACCATCACAAACCTGGCTGTCCTGTGTCATAATTGTTAATTATCCACTTTTTCCTCTTATTCCTGCAAAGGGAAGAACCTGGCTTATCTATACAATATTAAAAAATACTCACCATCACAAACCTGGCTGTCCTGTGTCATAATCCTTAATTATCCACTTTTTCCTCTTATTCCTGCAAAGGGAAGAACCTGGATAATCTATACAATATTAAAAAATACTCACCATCACAAACCTGGCTGTCCTGTGTCATAATTGTTAATTATCCACTTTTTCCTCTTATTCCTGCAAAGGGAAGAACCTGGATAATCTATACAATATTAAAAAATACTCACCATCACAAACCTGGCTGTCCTGTGTCATAATCCTTAATTATCCACTTTTTCTCTTACTCCTGCAAAGGGAAGAACCTGGCTTATCTATATAATATTTAAAAATACTCACCATCACAAACCTGGCTGTCCTGTGCCATAATCCTTAATTATCCACTTTTTCCTCTTATTCCTGCAAAGGGAAGAACCTGGATAATCTGTATAATATTAAAAAATACTCACCATCACAAACCTGGCTGTCCTGTGTCATAATCCTTAATTATCCACTTTTTCCTCTTATTCCTGCAAAGGGAAGAACCTGGATAATCTATACAATATTAAAAAATACTCACCATCACAAACCTGGCTGTCCTGTGTCATATTCCTCAAGTATTCACTTTTTCCTCTTATTTCTGCAAACTGCAAAGGGAAGAACCTGGATAATCTATACAATATTAAAAAATACCCACCATCACAAACCTGGCTGTCCTGTATCATAATCGTTAATTATCCACTTTTTTCTCTTATTCCTGCAAAGGGAAGAACCTGGATAATCTGTATAATATTAAAAAATACTCACCATCACAAACCTGGCTGTCCTCTGTCATAATCCTTAATTATCCACTTTTTCCTCTTATTTCTGCAATGGGAAGAACCTGGATAATCTGTATAATATTTAAAAAATACTCACCATCACAAACCTGGCTGTCCTGTGTCATAATCCTTAATTATCCACTTTTTCTTCTTATTCCTGCAAAGGGAAGAACCTGGCTCATCTTTATAATATTAAAAAATACTCACCATAACAAACCTGGCTGTCCTGTATCATAATCCTTAATTACCCAATTTTTCCTCTTATTCCTGCAAAGGGAAGAACCTGGCTCATCTATATAATATTAAAAAATACTCACCATCACAAACCTGGCTGTCCTGTGTCATAATCCTTAATTATCCACTTTTTCCTCTTATTCCTGCAAAGGGAAGAACCTGGCTAATCTTTATAATATTAAAAAATACTCACCATCACAAACCTGGCTGTCCTGTGTCATAATCCTTAATTATCCACTTTTTCCTCTTATTCCTGCAAAGGGAAGAACCTGGCTCATCTATATAATATTAAAAAATACTCACCATCACAAACCTGGCTGTCCTCTGTCATAATCCTTAATTATCCACTTTTTCCTCTTATTCCTGCAAAGGGAAGAACCTGGCTCATCTATATAATATTTAAAAATACTCACCCTCACAAACCTGGCTGTCCTGTGTCATAATCGTTAATTATCCACTTTTTCCTCTTATTTCTGCAAAGGGAAGAACCTGGCTCATCTATATAATATTTAAAAATACTCACCCTCACAAACCTGGCTGTCCTGTGTCATAATCGTTAATTATCCACTTTTTCCTCTTATTTCTGCAAAGGGAAGAACCTGGCTCATCTATATAATATTTAAAAATACTCACCCTCACAAACCTGGCTGTCCTGTGTCATAATCGTTAATTATCCACTTTTTCCTCTTATTTCTGCAAAGGGAAGAACCTGGCTCATCTATATAATATTTAAAAATACTCACCCTCACAAACCTGGCTGTCCTGTGTCATAATCGTTAATTATCCACTTTTTCCTCTTATTCCTGCAAAGGGAAGAACCTGGCTCATCTATATAATATTTAAAAATACTCACCCTCACAAACCTGGCTGTCCTGTGTCATAATCGTTAATTATCCACTTTTTCCTCTTATTTCTGCAAAGGGAAGAACCTGGCTCATCTATATAATATTTAAAAATACTCACCATCACAAACCTGGCTGTCCTCTGTCATAATCCTTAATTATCCACTTTTTCCTCTTATTCCTGCAAAGGGAAGAACCTGGCTCATCTATATAATATTAAAAAATACTCACCATCACAAACCTGGCTGTCCTGTGTCATAATCGTTAATTATCCACTTTTTTCTCTTATTCCTGCAAAGGGAAGAACCTGGATAATCTGTATAATATTAAAAAATACTCACCATCACAAACCTGGCTGTCCTGTGTCATAATCGTTAATTATCCACTTTTTCCTCTTATTTCTGCAAAGGGAAGAACCTGGATAATCTGTATAATATTTAAAAATACTCACCATCACAAACCTGGCTGTCCTCTGTCATAATCCTTAATTATCCACTTTTTCCTCTTATTCCTGCAAAGGGAAGAACCTGGCTCATCTATATAATATTAAAAAATACTCACCATCACAAACCTGGCTGTCCTCTGTCATAATCCTTAATTATCCACTTTTTCCTCTTATTCCTGCAAAGGGAAGAACCTGGATCATCTATATAATATTTAAAAATACTCACCATCACAAACCTGGCTGTCCTGTGTCATAATCCTTAATTATCCACTTTTTCCTCTTATTCCTGCAAAGGGAAGAACCTGGATAATCTGTATAATATTAAAAAATACTCACCATCACAAACCTGGCTGTCCTGTGTCATAATCGTTAATTATCCACTTTTTTCTCTTATTCCTGCAAAGGGAAGAACCTGGATAATCTGTATAATATTAAAAAATACTCACCATCACAAACCTGGCTGTCCTGTGTCATAATCGTTAATTATCCACTTTTTCCTCTTATTCCTGCAAAGGGAAGAACCTGGCTAATCTTTATAATATTAAAAAATACTCACCATCACAAACCTGGCTGTCCTCTGTCATAATCCTTAATTATCCACTTTTTCCTCTTATTCCTGCAAAGGGAAGAACCTGGATAATCTATACAATATTAAAAAATACTCACCATCACAAACCTGGCTGTCCTGTGTCATAATCCTTAATTATCCACTTTTTCTCTTACTCCTGCAAAGGGAAGAACCTGGCTTATCTATATAATATTTAAAAATACTCACCATCACAAACCTGGCTGTCCTGTGTCATAATCCTTAATTATCCACTTTTTCCTCTTATTCCTGCAAAGGGAAGAACCTGGCTAATCTGTATAATATTAAAAAATACTCACCATCACAAACCTGGCTGTCCTGTGTCATAATCCTTAATTATCCACTTTTTCCTCTTATTCCTGCAAAGGGAAGAACCTGGATAATCTATACAATATTAAAAAATACTCACCATCACAAACCTGGCTGTCCTGTGTCATAATCGTTAATTATCCACTTTTTCCTCTTATTTCTGCAAACTGCAAAGGGAAGAACCTGGATAATCTATACAATATTAAAAAATACCCACCATCACAAACCTGGCTGTCCTGTATCATAATCGTTAATTATCCACTTTTTTCTCTTATTCCTGCAAAGGGAAGAACCTGGATAATCTGTATAATATTAAAAAATACTCACCATCACAAACCTGGCTGTCCTCTGTCATAATCCTTAATTATCCACTTTTTCCTCTTATTTCTGCAATGGGAAGAACCTGGATAATCTGTATAATATTTAAAAAATACTCACCATCACAAACCTGGCTGTCCTGTGTCATAATCCTTAATTATCCACTTTTTCTTCTTATTCCTGCAAAGGGAAGAACCTGGCTCATCTATATAATATTAAAAAATACTCACCATCACAAACCTGGCTGTCCTGTGTCATAATCCTTAATTATCCACTTTTTCCTCTTATTCCTGCAAAGGGAAGAACCTGGATAATCTGTATAATATTAAAAAATACTCACCATCACAAACCTGGCTGTCCTGTGTCATAATCCTTAATTATCCACTTTTTCCTCTTATTCCTGCAAAGGGAAGAACCTGGATAATCTTTATAATATTAAAAAATACTCACCATCACAAACCTGGCTGTCCTCTGTCATAATCCTTAATTATCCACTTTTTCCTCTTATTCCTGCAAAGGGAAGAACCTGGCTCATCTATATAATATTTAAAAATACTCACCATCACAAACCTGGCTGTCCTGTGTCATAATCCTTAATTATCCACTTTTTCCTCTTATTCCTGCAAAGGGAAGAACCTGGATAATCTGTATAATATTAAAAAATACCCACCATCACAAACCTGGCTGTCCTCTGTCATAATCCTTAATTATCCACTTTTTCTTCTTATTCCTGCAAAGGGAAGAACCTGGCTCATCTATATAATATTAAAAAATACTCACCATCACAAACCTGGCTGTCCTGTGTCATAATCCTTAATTATCCACTTTTTCCTCTTATTCCTGCAAAGGGAAGAACCTGGCTAATCTTTATAATATTAAAAAATACCCACCATCACAAACCTGGCTGTCCTCTGTCATAATCCTTAATTATCCACTTTTTCCTCTTATTCCTGCAAAGGGAAGAACCTGGCTCATCTTTATAATATTAAAAAATACCCACCATCACAAACCTGGCTGTCCGGTGTCATAATCATTAATTATCCACTTTTTCCTCTTATTCCTGCAAACTGCAAAGGGAAGAACCTGGATAATCTTTATAATATTAAAAAATACCCACCATCACAAACCTGGCTGTCCTGTGTCATAATTGTTAATTATCCACTTTTTTCTGTTATTCCTGCAAAGGGAAGAACCTGGATAATCTTTATAATATTAAAAAATACCCACCATCACAAACCTGGCTGTCCTGTGTCATAATTGTTAATTATCCACTTTTTTCTGTTATTCCTGCAAAGGGAAGAACCTGGATAATCTTTATAATATTAAAAAATACCCACCATCACAAACCTGGCTGTCCTGTGTCATAATTGTTAATTATCCACTTTTTTCTGTTATTCCTGCAAAGGGAAGAACCTGGATAATCTGTATAATATTAAAAAATACCCACCATCACAAACCTGGCTGTCCTCTGTCATAATCCTTAATTATCCACTTTTTCTCTTACTCCTGCAAAGGGAAGAACCTGGCTTATCTATATAATATTAAAAAATACCCACCATCACAAACCTGGCTGTCCTCTGTCATAATCCTTAATTATCCACTTTTTCTCTTACTCCTGCAAAGGGAAGAACCTGGATAATCTATACAATATTAAAAAATACTCACCATCACAAACCTGGCTGTCCTGTGTCATAATCCTTAATTATCCACTTTTTCCTCTTATTCCTGCAAAGGGAAGAACCTGGATAATCTATACAATATTAAAAAATACCCACCATCACAAACCTGGCTGTCCTGTATCATAATCGTTAATTATCCACTTTTTTCTCTTATTCCTGCAAAGGGAAGAACCTGGATAATCTGTATAATATTAAAAAATACTCACCATCACAAACCTGGCTGTCCTCTGTCATAATCCTTAATTATCCACTTTTTCCTCTTATTTCTGCAATGGGAAGAACCTGGATAATCTGTATAATATTTAAAAAATACTCACCATCACAAACCTGGCTGTCCTGTGTCATAATCCTTAATTATCCACTTTTTCTTCTTATTCCTGCAAAGGGAAGAACCTGGCTCATCTTTATAATATTAAAAAATACTCACCATCACAAACCTGGCTGTCCTGTATCATAATCCTTAATTATCCACTTTTTTCTCTTATTCCTGCAAAGGGAAGAACCTGGATAATCTGTATAATATTAAAAAATACCCACCATCACAAACCTGGCTGTCCTCTGTCATAATCCTTAATTATCCACTTTTTCTCTTACTCCTGCAAAGGGAAGAACCTGGCTCATCTATATAATATTTAAAAATACTCACCATCACAAACCTGGCTGTCCTGTGTCATAATCCTTAATTATCCACTTTTTCCTCTTATTCCTGCAAAGGGAAGAACCTGGATAATCTGTATAATATTAAAAAATACCCACCATCACAAACCTGGCTGTCCTGTGTGATAATCCTCAATTATCCACTTTTTCCTCTTATTCCTGCAAAGGGAAGAACCTGGCTAATCTATATAATATTAAAAAATACTCACCATCACAAACCTGGCTGTCCTGTGTCATATTCCACCAATATTGACTGTCTCCTGATTATTGGCCCAAAGTCCCTGGACGAACTGTCATGTGTAAAGCAGAACTCGAACTCATGCTGCCTATTGCTGGAGAAGGATTCATCCTTTCCTGGCTTGTGGCCCTAGCACCCACCTGGCTCTCCTGCCTATTCCAGGACTAGAACTCCCAAATCCGGGGTTCCTAGCTCGCTACCTTGATTTCTAAAGGAAATTGGCCCCCATTGAGGATGGGAGTGGATGCCAACCTCTCCCAACTGTCAGAGAACCTGAGCCCAGGTGGCACCTCCTGACAACCTGCCTGCAGAGTGTCTGCCCACCCATTGGCTGTTGCTTAGTGACCTGTGTGTGTGTGTGTGTGGGGTCATCTCTGATGTCACAGTGGAGGGAGGGGAGGGGGCAGGTGTGGATGTAACCAGGGATGGGTTCTAAAATTTTAAATTACTGGTTCTGTGGGTGTGGCTTATTTTGTGGGCGTGGCTTGATGGTCATGTGACAATGGGTGTGGCTTGGTGGACATGTTATCGGGTAGGCGTGGTCAACTCAATGTCCCTCACGTCAAGGGGTTCCTCGCCTGGCCCCTCCCCTCCCAGCAGAAATATTTCAGTCCTAACGTCGCCTATAAAATAGCCATTCGTGGAAGACAACCTGCCTATTGTTCAAAAGAGCCATTAGTACAGGGGTCCCCAAACTTTTTAAGCAGGGGGCCAATTCACGGTCCCTCAAACTGTTGGGGGGCCGAATCAGCTGGCTAGGTGGCCATGTGACTAGGTGGGCGTGGCTAGGTCATGTGACTAGGTGGGCCAATTTAACAGTCCATTGAACAATGCACATAAATTAAACTTTAATTTGTTTTGCTCCTGGGGGTGTTTTATTTGCTTTTGTTAGATCGTTTTTTTCAGTTGTTTAGGAGTCTCAGTTTCTTCTCAGCTCCAAGGAGCTTGAGAAATCTCTCTCTGTCTTTCTCTATCTCTTTGTCTCTCTCTCTCTCTTTCCTTCTCTCTCTCCCTCTCTTTTCTCTCTCTTTCTCTCTCCTCCCTCTTTCTCTCTTTCATTCTCTTTCTTTCTTTCTCTCTTTCTCTTTCTCTCTCCCCCTCTTTCTGTCCCTCTTTCTCTTTCTTTGTCTCTCTCCCTGTATCTCTCTCTCCCTTCTCTCTTTCTCTCTCTCTCCCTCTTTTTCTTTCATTCTTTGTTTTTCTTTCTTTCTTTCTTTCTCTTTCTCTCTCTTTCTCTCTCCCTCTTTTTCCCTCTCTTTCCTTCTCTCCCTCCCTCTCCTTTTTTTTGTATCTCTCCCCCTTTTTCTCTTTCATTCTTTCTGTTTTTCTCTTTCTTTCTCTTTCTCTCTCCTCTTTCTTTCTCTTTCCCTCTCTTTCCTTCTCTCCCTCCCTCTTTTCTTTCTGTCTCTCGCTCCCTCTCTCCCTTTTCTCTCTCTCTCTCTCTCTCTCTCTTTCTGTCTCTCTCTCTGTGTCTATCTATCTTGTGGAGGCGGTGAAGGTGAAAAATGGGTCATTTTTGCCTGGTTTTTTTTTTTTTTTTTTGTCTTTTCACATATACCCCACCTCCACAAGCATTCTGCAGGCTAAAACCAGGCAAAAATGGCTCATTTTTTGGCCAAAAATGAGCCATTTTTGACTGTTTTTTTTTTTTTGGCCTCTTCTACCTCCCCCCCTACCTCCACAAGCATTTTGCAGGCTAAAATTGTTGAGCTTACCTTTTGGTTCCAGCCCGCAGGTCTCCCGAAGGCAAGTCCTGCACTCTGCTGAAGAGTGGGTGGGGTGATGTGGGCGGGGCAACCTCGTGGTGCTCCGCGGGGCAGATTAATTGGTTCAGTAGGCCGCATGTGGCCCGCGGGCCGTAGTTTGAGGACCCATCATGCATCAATATGATGGCTGATGATTGACAGCAAGCCTAAAAGTCCAGGATCGCAAGAGTTCTTCTTTCTCTGCATGCATACAAAACATCCCATACCAGGAATAGCATCTGAAGATGGAATTATGCAAGGGTGGATTTCAAAATTTTCTACTACTGGTTCTGTGGGCGTGGCTTGGTGGGCGTGGCTTGACAGGGGAAGGTTCCTGCAAAATCCCCATTCCCTGCCCCCCCACCCCAGTAACCTGCTCTGGGAAGGAATCCAACTCCCCCCTCTCCATTTCCCCAAATAAAATATGACTCCGAAGAAAAGCCAGGAAAAATCAAGCTGCTGAGAAGGAACCCGCCTGAGACTCATTCCACATTCCTGCCAGGGGCATCGAGGAAACTTTGGAAGGAGAAAACGGCTCCCGGTGCTTAGAGAGAATAGAAAGTGGAAGCCGGACGTTCGGCTCCGTTGACAACTCATTCAAGACAGGATATTTCACAATGGAAATCTCACCCAACCCTTTTTAGGAACACAAAGCCCATGTTGCACAAACCCCACAACTTCCAAAACCATAGAACCGGATAAGAATCCCTCCTCTTATCCAGTTTGTTGTTCAGCTGAGCCTAGAAATGAACGGCTGAAGGTCACTTCGCTTCTGCAAGCCGAAACTTCCTTCCAGCCGGGAATTAAAAACTTGGCTTTTCAAATCCCTTGACCTGGTCTGATGACGGGGTTTTTAAGGGTTTTAATAGGTTAATTTTAAATTTTTTAGATTTTAGTCTTTTATTTTTATTGTGGCTTGTGTTTTATTGTTGTGAGCCGCCCTGAGTCCATTGTGAGATAGGGCGGCATATAAGCCGAATAAAATAAATAAATAAAATAAATAAATCTTCCTCTTCCTCAGGTAATTTTTGGTGGGGGGGTCCAAAGCCCCCTAGGAGCAGCGGCTGCCATCCCAGAATCCCCTACAGCTCTATTCCCTACAGGGAGGACCTGCTGGGGACCCCCAATGACCCCCCAGGCGTCTGCTGTGCTTGGAGGGGGGCTGGCAGAGGGGGAAGGGGCTGCCCCCCCCAGATCCCTGGCTTCTAGGAGGGGGCTTCCTCCTTTTATCCGGAATGGGGGGACTTTGAAATCTTTCTGGAGCTCCTGCTTTGTGACATTAATGTAGGTAATCCGGGTCCAGCTGGATGATCACTGAAGGGCCCTCTTTATTCATAGTATTGTAAGAAAGAAAATGCGCTTGTTTAAGAGAAGCAAATTATCCAGTTGAGACAGTACAAAGGCAGAACAAAGTTCCTTTGAAGTAGAAACATTCAGAAGAGGGGCCCCTCAGTTGTCAGAGATAGAGACATTTGGTGATATGCAGTTTGAAGGTTAAAAGAGATCAAGGATGACCACATAAAATATCAACAAGAGATAATTTGAATCTATGCTTCGGTGGTTTACAAGAAGAATTATGATTGTTTGGCAAGAATAATATGAAACTTAGTAATTAGAAAAATGTCATTTGATGTAACGAATGTCTGCAATGATAAAACTGCTGAATTCACAGAATCCTTTGTTTGAAAATGTATAAAGCTGGGGTCTCAGGATCATAAGTTTGTTCAAAGCTTCATGTACAAACGGGCTTTGAACCTATTGCGCAGTACGCTGTCTCTGACTAACCTAGAAAAGTTGTGTTGGTCTAATTATTCCACAACAACATGATCCAGCTTTGCGACCCCGATGGCCGTCTGATCACTTGGCCAAAGGAAAACTCAGGAATGACATGAAACAGGCTTCAAGGAAGCTTTCTGAAATAAAGGCCATCGTGCCATTGTGCTTATCAGTCACACAGGGGGTCCTCGACGTACGACCAGAATGGAGCCCAAAATGTATGTTGCTAAGGGAGACCTTCGTTCAAGGAGGGTTTTTTTGCCCCATTTGACGACCACAGTTGTTCAGCGAATCCTTGCAGTTGCTCAGTGAGTCGCACGGTTGCTAAGCGAGTCTGGCTTCCTCCCTTGACTCTGTTGGGTCAGGAGGTCGCAAAAGGGGACACGGCAACCGTCGTAAATATGAGTCGGTTGCCAAGCGTCCGAATGTAAATCCCTTGATCGTGGGGATTGCTGCAACGGGCGTAAGTGTGAGAAACGGCCGTAAGTCCCTTTCTTCAGCGCCGTTGTCAAATTTGAACCGTCACTAAGCGAACTTGCTGTAAGTGGAGGACTACCTGTATACAGTCTCTTACTTTCTTGTGTGGTTCCATTAACAGAAGCCTCTCTCCCACCTCCCCTTTTACAGTCCATGAGGGAGGGTCCCTTCTGAGACATTTGCCTCGCCTCCCCCCCAATTCCTCCTGTGGACTCTGAGCTCTCAATAAAGGAGAATATTTGTAGCTCCAGGGTGAAATGGGGGGTCTTGGGTTCTCTCTGAGCTTGGTAGTTTTCCTGCAGACGTTTCCTGACCCAGATTAGCCACCATCCCTGCCAGACTAGCACTGATGATGTTCCCTAGTTGGGTCATGAAACGTCTGGAAGAAAACAAATAAGCTCAGAGAACAAGGATCCCACTGTCTTTTTCCTCCTCCTCCTCCTCCTCCCCCTCCTTCTCTCCACAAACCCCCTCCCTTCTAACATTGGTGACGTTACTTATTTGGGTAATAGTAACAATAACAGAGTTGGAAGGGACCTTGGAGGTCATCTAGTCCAACCCCCTGGCTCACACAGAAGACTTGAACTAGGGATTCAAACTGCTGAACTGCCGACCTTTCTGATTGACAAGCTCAGCGTCTTAGCCACTGAGCCACGTCTGCAAGAAAACAGCCAAGCTCTGAGAGCATCAAGGATCCTACAGTCCTTTTCCTCCTCCTCCTCCTCCTCTTCTCCACAAACTCCATTCCCTTCTAGCACTGATGTTGTTATATAGTTGGGTAATGAAATGTCTGCAGGAAAACAGCCACCTCAGACAGCATCAAGGACCCCACAGTCCTTTTCCTCCTCCTCCTCCTCCTCTTTCTCCTCCTCCTCCTCACTCCCCCTCCTCCTCACTCCCCCTCCTCCTCCTCCTCCTCTCCACCTTCCCTTCTAGCACTGATGATGTTCCCTAGTTGGGTAATAAAACGTCTGCGAGGAAACAAATAAGCTCTGAGAGCATCAAGGACTCTACAGTCCTTTTTCTCTTCTTCCTCCTCCTCCTCCACTCCATAACCCCACTTCCTTCTAGCACTGATGATGTTCCCTAGTTGGGTAATAAAACGTCTGCAAGAAAACAAATAAGCTCAGAGAACAGCCAGGACCCCTCACTACGGTCAACTCATTCTTATGCCCAAGGTTGTTTGGAGTCTACATTTCTTAGAATAAAAAACGAGAAGAGAAGAGAAGGAGAAAAAGTCTCCTTTCGGTCTCCGACAACTTGCCACAGTCAACTCACCACAGCCAACTCCCTGTAGGACAATCCAGCAATTCAAATATTTCAAATAATTAAAAAGTTAGTTTAACTTTCCACATTCCCATTTTGTTTTGCCCCTCCTTTGGGGTTGGACTAGATGACCTACAAGGTCCCTTCCAACTCTGGCAATCGAATCCCACCATTTCTTTGCTATTAGCGGGACTCTTGTCCCGCGGCGAGTTCTCGTAGACCCCGATGGAGAAGCATCTTCCGGAAACCAAAAGGAAACTTTTCTGATTTTTCTCCTACTCTCATTTTTTTTAATTATATGAAATTGAGACCCCAAACAACCTCGGGGAACCTTTTTAACACCGTAAAGAAGAAAGAAATTAAAGGGGGAAAAAATCATCCAGGACAAACAAGCACAACGCAACGAAGAGAAAACGATGGAGGCCCGAGAACCGGACGATCCCGAAGCCTCCGAGAACTGCCAGGTTTTCCAGGCCTTTGGGGACACAGGAGGGGGAGCTATGTGGATATTTGGGGTGTCTGTGTGTGACTGTTCAACAGGGCAGCCCCCCCTTTTTTTCCCTTCTTCCACCTCTCCTGGTGGAGATACAAAAGCCGCAAAAAGAAACCGTCAAAAATAGTGAGACACGATTCCTTTTCCTTGCACAAAGCCCATCTCCAGCTGTTGTTGCCTCGGGGATCGGGGAAGGTTATTTTGCATCCGTTTCTAGATATTTTTTTTACCCCTCTCGGGTTCGTTCTCCTCCTTGCACAAAAAATCCAGAAAGCCCTTGCCAAAAATTCATTCCGCAATATACATATACATATACATATACATATACATATACATATACATATACATACATACATACATACATACATACATACATACATACATACATATATATATATATATATATATATATATATATATATATGAGCCTTGGTGGCGCAGCAGACTGAAGCACTGTTAAGTAGCACCAGCTGCCTGCAATTACTGTGAGTTCAAATCTCACCAGGCTCAAGGTTGACTCAGCCTTCCATCCTTTCCAGGTAGGTAAAAGGAGGACCCGGATTGTGGGGGCAATTAGCTGACTTTGTATAAAAAAGAACACCGCTTTGGGGGTGGGGGGCGAAAGCCCAACTAAGCAGGTCTATACAAAAGTATGAAGGCTATTGCTTAACGCATTGTAAGCCGCCCTGAGTCTCTGGAGAAGGGCGGCATATAAATCGAACCAATATATATATATATATATATATATTTTCTACGTCCAGAGATTTCTTCCTGCCTCGCCTTCTTTCCCAGGGATGGAAAGCGCAGTCTAGGGTGGGGGAAAACAACTTTGCAAATTCAGAATCAGCTCTGCAAGGTGGGAATAGAATCCCAGGGCGGGAAGGGACCCCGGAGGTCATCTAGTCCAACCCCCTGCTTAGGCAGGAAACCCTACACCACTTCAGACAAATGGTTGTCCAATCTCTTCTTAAAAACTTCCAGTGTTGGAGCATCCACAACTTCTGCAGGCAAGTTGTTCCACTGATTAATTGTTCTCACTGTCAGGAAATTCCTCCTTAGTTCTAAGTTGCTTCTCTCCTTGATGAGTTTCCACCCATTGCTTCTTGTCCTGGAGTAAACCTGCTTGACTCCCTCTTCTTTGGGCAGCCCCTGAGATACTGGAACACTGCTCTCCTGTCTCCCCTGGTCCTTCTTTTCATCAGACTAGACATACCCAGTTCCTGCAACTGTTCTTCCTATGTTTTAGCCTCCAGGCCCCTAATCATCTTGGTTGCTCTTCTCTGCACTCTTTCTAGAGTCTCCACATCTTTTTTATAGTGTGATGGCCAAAACTGGATGCAGGAGTCCAAGTGTGGCCTTACCAAGGCTTTATAAAGTGGTATTAACACTTCACGTGATCTTGATTCTACCACTTTGTTCACGCAGCCTGGGCATTCTTTGTTGGTTGCTGCTGCACACGGCTGGCTCATAGTTAAGTGATTGTTCGCTTGGATTCCAAGATCCAAACGATTTTCCAGTTTACCGTGAATTTTGGCAATCGGCAAGACTAAAACGGAATACGCAAGAGTCATCGAAGAAGACGCCCATCATTTATTTGTAAGGTTCTGCTTGTTCGTTTGTTTGTTTGAAAAAAAACCCCACATCCTGATAACTCAAACAAAGGTTTAACCACCTTTTGTAAAAATCAGACTAAAGCACCTTTGGGTCTCCCCCGAATATTTATATTTTCTTAGCAGTGTATATATTTCTTTGGCAAGGAATGGCCCGAAACAGGAATGGCAGTGCAAAAATTTCGGCCAGGGTTTCTCAACCGTGGGCCTCTGGAAGACGCGTGGACTTCCAATTCCCAGAATTCCCCAGCCAGCAAAGACCACACATCTGCCAGAGGCCACGGTTGAGAAACGCTGATCTAGAACAGTGATGGCGAACCTTTGGCACGCGTGCCACACGTGGCACATGGAGCCCTCTCTGCGGGCACGCGAGCCGTCGCCCAGCTCAGTACCACCCCATATGTGTGCATGCCTACCGCCAAGCAGCTGATTTTTGGGTCTCCGCTACGCATGCATGGGGGGGCGGAGCACATGCAGGAAATGCGTGTGCATGCCCGGGGGTTGCGCGTACATGCTGGGGGGCGGTGGCGCACCCCCTGCGGCCCATTTTGGGCCTAGCAGGCCTCCCTGCAGCCTCTTGGACCAAAAACGGGCCACAGAGGCTGCAGGGAAGCCTGCTAGGCCCAAAACGGGGCGGAGGGGTCATGCACGCATGCACGGGGGACAGGGCGCAGGGGGCCATGCACATTGCATTATGGGTACAGGCATGCACGCGTGCTGTTCCATGTGCATGCATGCACTTTCGGCACGCGACGACAAAAGCTGGGATGATCTAGATCATCCCAGCTGTTCGGGAACCTGCTTTTAGTTGCATGCATTGCAACAGCCCATCTTAAATCTCCGTGCCAAATTGCTGTTGTAAAGTACAGGGTGATTTCCAAATTTTAATAATAATTACGGGATGAGAAATATTTGATAACTCCCAGCTCTGGTTCGTGGTTCCTGCTGGCGTCCGTCCAATGAAGAGCAAGTCCCTCGCAAGAATGGCTTACGCCCCAAAACCTCACGGCAGGGAAGAGCCTTGTCCTTTTAGTTTCTTTCCCTTTCCCCAACCCGGATCTCCATCTAGAGAGCAAGGCGGATGTTCAGAGACACCCGTGCAAACGGAGGTCCCATTTCGCATTCGGAATTCCAGCCACTGGCCAAAAAAGGCAGATGGTCTGGCGTGCTTTGCAAAGTTGCATCCTTCCTGCGTGGTTTTGGGCAACGGGCGATCCCCGAAATCGGAGCCGGCTCTTGGGAGGATTGGGAGCTGGTTTCTCGCCTGCAGGAAGAGAGGATGGAAAAATGGTTTTAGCGCTGTGAACATTTGGGGCTGTGAAATTAAAATCTGGAATGGAAAAAAAGGGATCACAATTCCCTCTGATTCCCAAACGTGTGTTTGAAGGCAACTTGGATTTGTTTGGGAAAGTCCACGTTTCAGATGTCGTTGAATTGATCCTGCGGTTGAGACGCTGAATTTTTTTTTTTTTTTTTGTAATAATTTTTTATTTTATTTTTTTAACGTACAAAAATTCCAGTTTCAATTGACCAGTGTGTTGTCAGGGTACAAATCATTTTAGAAAGTAATAATCGAAGTATTCACAACAATAATCGTTGCATTAATATCAATTGTATTAATGTTAATAACTGTAATAATCATACTATTTATTTAACCAAGTTAACCTATCTTCCTTGTATCATTGATCCTTTCACATATTTCCCTCTTTCTAGCTCCTGTTTTTGTCAGCTAGCCGTTGACAAAATAACTCCCAAGTCAAAAAATATTCATTCTTTTTTTTTTCCTTTAATTGTAAATGTTAGCTTATTCATTTCTGCACATTCTAATATTTTTCTAATCGCTTCTTCATCTGTTGGTTTTCCATTGTTGTGCAAATACTCTTCTTGCTGCAGTCAATATATGTAAAATCAGATATACATTCCCTTTTGTTGGGAAAATACCCAACAAAAATGCCTCTGGTTTCAAGTCTATAAGTTGTTTTATCATTTTTTTCCAACCATGTATTTTTGTCCAGTATTTTTTTGCTTTTTGACATGTCCACCACATATGATAGTATGAACCGGGTATCTGGTGACATTTTCAGCCAGTCAGTTCTTAAATGGTTCTCCGACTGAGCCTGCGAAGCTGTCCCTGGAACTGCCTGCCACTTGAGAAAAAAACAGAAGTGTGGGAGAACCTTAAAAAAAACTGCTGGTGGTGAGTGAAATCTCGTTTATCAGGAGGGGAAGATTTAGGGATCAAATGAAATTCTGAATAATGGCGATCATAGATGTGACTTTTAGAAATATATATATATATATAAAAATAAGCTTCTCACACAGAGTTTTCCGGACTTCAGTCTGTCCTCAGGATCCGCAATAGCATGGCATGGACCTCTTCATCCATGTACCCCTGCATTGGAGAAAAAAATCCCCCCAATAATGTAGATTCTAGCATCACTGGCCCACGCAAGGATTTCCCTTCAAAGCAAACACTCATTCTTCAATTTCTTTGCCAGAAACAAATCTAAAAGTGGTAGTCCTTGATCTACGACCATAATTGGAAGCCGGGGTGGCGCAGTGGTGAGAATGCAGTATTGCAGGCTAATTCTGCCCACTGCCAGCAGTTCGATCCTGACCAGCTCAAGGTTGACTCGTCCTTCTGTCCTTCCGAGGTCGGTTAAATGAGGACCCAGATTGTTAGGGGCAAGAGGTTGACTCTGTAAACTGCTTAGAGAGGGCTGGAAAGCTGTATATGAATCTAAGAGCTATTGCTATGGCTATTCTATTCTATTCTATTTTTTCTGTTCTATTTTCTATTCTATTCTATTCTGAATTCTATTCTATTCTATTCTCTATTCATTCTATTCTATTCTCTATTCTATTCTATTTTATTCTATAGAGAAAGAGGCGAGGGGGAGAGAGAAAGGGGGAGAAAGGGAGCAGGCAGATAGATAGGGAGAGGAGACAAAGAGAAAGAGAGAAGGAGAGAGGAGGAAAAGAGGGAGGAGGAGAGAGAGAGAGAAAGGGAGAGTGAGGGAAAGGAGAGATGGGGAGAGAGAGAAAGAGACAGAGGGAGAGAAGAAGACATGGGGAGAGAGAGAGAAGAAGAAGAGAGGGAGAGAGAGAGAAAGGAGAGGGGGGAGAGAGGGAGAGAGAGAAAGGAGAGAGGAAGAGGGAAGAAAGGGAGAAAGGAGAGAGGGAGAGAGAAGAGGGGGAGAGAAGGAGAGAAAGAGAAGAAGAGAGGGAGAAAAAGAGGACGAGGGAGAGATAAAGGGAGAGAAGAGAGGAAGAAAGACGAGGGAGAGATAAAGGGAGAGAAGAGAGGGAGAGAGAAGGAGAGAGAAGGAGATAGGGAGAGAGAGAGAAAGGAGAGGGAAAGTGAAAGGGAGAGGGAGAGAAAGAGGAGAAGAGGGAGGGAGATGAGAGAGGGGGAGAGATAAAGGGAGAGGAGAGAGGGAGAAAGAAGAAGAGGGGGAAAGAGGGAGAGAAAGAGAGAGAAGAAGAGAGGGAGAAAAAGAGGAGGAGAGAGAGATAAAGGGAGAGGAGAGAGGGAGAAAGAAGAGGGAGAGAAAGAGGGGGAGAAAGGTGGAGAGAGAAGAGAGAAGAGAGAAAGAGGAGAGAGGGAGAGAGAGAAAAGAGAGAGAGGGAGAAGGAAAGAGAGGGAAAGGAGGGAGAGAGAGAAAGCTGCTGGAAGCTCCCACCTGTCTTACCTGGGCTGCATTGAGCAGGTGAGTCCTGTATATGGCCACGATCTCTTGGTGGTTCTTTTGCGCAACCTGAAAGAAGCCAAGCGAAGGGGTGAGAAACGGCCCATGGGGGCTCAGCAGTCAGCAGACTCAACAACCCCATACAGGCAGTCCTCAACTTACGACCATCCTTTCAGCAACCCAGAGCCTCCTTGACTCTGCATAATGACTGCAGAATGGGAAGAGCTGGAATCGCATGGCCGCCTCGCTTAAGCAACGGCAACAATTTATTCGTCATAATTCTGGGCTCCATTGTAAGTCGTAAGTCGAGGACCAGCTGTCGTGCATAACATACAGCATAAAAACCAATTTCCCCAGCCACTACTCCACAGAGATTAGCTGGACCGCGTGGCGAAGGAAAGATAATATATAGGGCAGAGCAAGGCGGGAATGGCGGTTCCAGCAGGTGGTCGATTTTACCGGTTCTCCGAACCGGCTGAATCCCTGTGCAAAAGTCTTGGTAGGGTTCGCCAGGACCAACTGGTCGAAATAGTACAAATGCCAGCACCAGAATCGCTTCGTATCGCAAGTGTCGCACCCCCACGCCAAGTCCTGTGTGACTCACCTCGTTCTGCAGGATCAGCCGAGTGCGTTCGCTCCGTAGGTTCAAGATTTCGCTCGAGAGCTTCTCCGTTTCCTTCAGCAGCTTCTTGATCTGAGGGGAAACCAAACCAGACGGCACGGGTATAGTCCTCGACGTACGACCGCAGAGGAGCCCAACACTTCTGGGCTTAAGCGAGGCAGTCGTGAAGTGAGTTTTTCCCTCATTTTACGACCTTTCTGGCCACGGTCGTTAAGTGAATCGCCGCAGTTGTTAAAGTTAGGAACGTGGTTGTTAAACGAATCCAGCTTCCCCATCGACTTTGCGGGTCAGAAAGTCAAAAAAGGGAATCAGGTGACCCTGGGACACTGCAACCGTCATAAGTACATGCCAGTTGCCAAGTGCCCGAATTTTGATCACGCGACCGCGGGGATGCCACAAAGGTCGTAAATGTGAAAAACGGTCATAACTCACTTTTTTCAGTGCCATTGTAACTTCGAACAGTTGCTAAATGGATAGGTGTAATTGTTGTGGTCCGCCAGCAGCCCATGGAGCTGGCAGCGGAGTCGGACAGTGAGGAGGCTGGGGAGGATCATGGGCCAGTCCTGGTATCTGGGGAAGGCCCGGACGAGGGCTCTGCGTCGGAGGCAGAGATGGGGCCAGGGCCATCTGGGAGTGATACACAGACTCCGGAGCCCCCAGAGTCAGACAGCAGAGACGTAGAGGAACAGGAGGAGCCTGTTCCTAGTGCGTGCATGCGCAGAGCTGCCAGAAGGCATGAACAGTTAAAACAAAAGGGACGACTCGGGAGTAAGGCCTGGAGATGATTGGTGCCTTCCATAAGGCTTAAAAGAGAAGCAAAGGCACACGGGCCCTTTGCAGGAAAGCAACGTTGTTAATTCTGTTCCCAGTCGGCATCTCTGTTTGATTCTGGAATCCGTGTGGCTTTGCTAAGTAGACTGGAAACAGCAAAAAACGGCCCTTCCCCCCCACCCCCGCGAGGCCATCCAGAGGCAGGAAACAGCCTGTTTCCCTACTTCTGGTGGGCCCAGGAGGCCCGAAAATCAGCTGAGCTCGCGTGCCCACTGATATGATCAGGTGGCACACATGCCATAGGTTCGCCATCACACGGGTCTAGGGTCTCCTGCTTGAGCAGGGGGTTGGGCTAGAAGACCTCCGAGGTCCCTTCCAACTCCGTCAACTTTCACATATCATCTTGTGTATGGGTTTAAGAGACCTGATACAGCCACTTGTCATAGGGTCTCCTGCTTGTACAGAGGGTTGGACTAGAAGCAGAAGGTGGCATTCAGCCGTTTGCACAAAACCGTAGCGGCAATCGCACCTTTCCCGGCTCCAAGTCATGCTATTTAAGCACGTTTTTGAGGCCGGATGCATGTGCGGGGGTAGAACTGGTGGAAAAGGTAAGTGAAACCCACGCCTGACTAGAAGACCTCCAAGGTCCCTTCCAGCTCTGCGATTCTGTTAAAAGTTGCCTCTTCTCCCTGCCCCCTTTGGTTCTTACCTTGGCATCTCTCTCCTGGCACATCTTGGCGATGTCGTCCACTTTCTTATTCAGCTTGTCCACGTTGCCCTCCAATTTCTGGGACTTCCCTCTCAGCTCCTCCACTTCTTCCTCGTGCTCCAGAGCTTCGGCCATCAGCTCTTGAGTCTTCCGCAGTTCGCGGTCCAGGGCTTCCTTGTGACGGGTAGATGCTCCCCTGGCTTCCTCGTATTTCTCCCGGAGAGCCGCCAGTTCCTCCCCCAGGACCTGAGCCCTGGTGGATAGCATGCTGCAGATCTTCTCGTATTTGCCGAGAACTTGTTCTTCCTCCCGGCGCAGGTCAGCCATCTGGGCCAGGACTCGGTCCAGGAGCTGCATCAGGCTGGCTGCCTTGAGGCCACCTTGAGTCACCTGAGATGCAACCAGCAGCTTCTTCATCTCCTGCAAGCCTTTCTCCAGTTCCACCATCTGCTCTCTGACCTTCCAGTTTTCCCCGATGACCTCGGAGGCCTCCAAGAAGATCTCTTGACCGGTTTTGTCATCGTCGGGGCTCCTGGGATCAAGCAGGAGAGTCCGGTCGGCCTCCAAGGCACGGTTCTCCTCTTCCATCTCGGACACCAGCTGCAAGGCCTCGTTCTGCTTCCTCACCACGTTGTCCAGCTTCCAGTGGAGCTCCTTCAAGATGCAGCTGTCCAGGTTGTCGCCGATGATGCCGCTGGCGTCTTGGTTCACCTTCTTGAGGAAGTTGTTCCTCACGAACATCACCTCCTTCCTCTGCTCCTCCAGCTTCAGGCGCAGCTTGCCCGATTCCTCTTTCTCCAGCGAGAGATCCTGGGACAAGACCTCCACCGTCCGTTTCAGCTCTTCCACCAGGCGCTCGGTCTTCTCTGCCCGAGGAGAACCCTCCGTGGAGCCATGTAACTTCTGAAGTTCTTCCTGAAGCTTCTCCCTTTCCCTGCTCAGCTGGGCCAATTCCTGCACCAGGCCGCCGTTGTTCTGCTTGAGGTCCCACACTTCCTTCTCCATGTCAGAGCTTCTCCGATGGCATGGACGGGCCTTGTTTTCCACCCCCTCAGGTTTCGGCCTGAGCTTCACCTGCCCCACAAGACCATTATGGACCTGGGTCTTTTCTACCCCATCTTTCTGCAGCTCCTTGACGGTCTCTAAGCGAGCCGGCTCGTGGCTAGAGCCATTCTTCTCTTCTTCAGGAAGACCGTTGCCGTTGACCAAGGTTTTGGAAGGAGGCTCCAAAATGGCTTCTTGGAGAGGTCGAGCTTTGTCCACGAGAGCAGAACAGGCCTGTTCCAGGTTAGCCAGAGCCCCCTCCAGCCGGTGACAACCTTCTTCCAGGCCGTGACGCATTTCTTAACCGCGCCGGATGGCACCGCTTGGAACTGCAGCCTGCTGCGGACGGCCTCCTCGGCTTCCTTCTTCAGGTCCTCGTTTTCAGCCAACATGGCCACCATCTCCTCCCGGGCCCTGAACTGGGTCTCCTCCATCTCCTTAATGCACTGGGCCACCTTCGCCTGGGCAAGGCTGGTCTCGGGAGGACCGGCCAGGTGTTTTCCCAGGAGACCCCGCAGCCTTCGGTTCTCGTCGCCCAACTGCTGCGTCCGACCCTCCATCTCCTTGAGGGCCGCGTTCTGCGACTTCTTCTTGGCTTCGAAGACCCCGATGACGGCCCTCATGTTCTCCATGTGCCCCTCCATCTCCTCCACCCGCCTGACCGCGGTGGCCTTCTCCTCCAGAGCTGCCTGGAGCTCATTCCGCAGGTGCTTCAGCTCCTCCGCCTCTTCCTCGCCAGGCCACCGGACCGTCCCGGCGGGCTGGAGCTTGGTGGGACTGGTCATCCCACCTTGCGTTGAAGCTTTGGCCAGCTCCTTCTCTGCTTCCTGCTGCTTCTTCCTCTCCTTCAGGTCTCGGACTTGCTGGGCCAGAAGGTCCAGGCAGTGGTCCCCCTCCGTGTGATCGTGGCCGAGGTGCCGACTCAGCTGCCGCCAGTCGCGGACACGTCCCTCCCGATCTGGCAGGAGTTGGCCGATCTCCTGTACTTGGTCCCAGACCTTCTCTTTCAAGAGCTGGCACCCCTTGGAGAAGACCTGGCACTCTTTGGTCTTTTGGTCCAGCTGTAGTTCCAGCTGGATCACTTTCATCTTTTCCTCCCGGAATCTGCTCTGCCATTCCCGTAACTCGGAGCCTTCCTCCGCCTCTCCTTCATCGTCGCTCTGGTCGCCCGCCTCGCTCTGGAAAGCCAAGCTACTCACGTCGGTGTCTTTCCCGCTCTCGGAGGGCACCTGCGGGAAAAGGGACAGAAATCACACAGGTAGTCCTCGACTTGCCTTGACTCAAGGGAGGTACTAATCCCACTCTATAAAGCCTTAGTAAAGCCACACCTAGAGTCCTGCATCCAATTTTGATCACCACACTATAAAAAAGAGGTTGAAACTCTAGAAAAAGTGCAGAGAAGAGCAACCAAGAGGATTAGGAGGCTAAAACAGATGATGAACAGTTGCAGGAACTGGGCCTGGCTAGTCTAGTGAAGAGAAGGACCAGGGGAGACAGGAGAGCATCTTCCAATATTTGAGGGGCTGCCCCAGAGAGGAGGAAGGGGGTCAAGCTATTTTCCAAGGCACCCGAAGGCCAGACAAGGAAGAATGGATGGAAACTGATCAAGGAGAGATTTCAATTACATTTTCAATGACCTACGACCACAATTGAGCCCCGAATTGATGTCGCTAAGTGAAACATTTGTTAAGTGAGTTTTGACCCGTTTTATGGCTTTTATTGCCACCTTTGTTAAATGAATCATGGCCGTAAGTAAAAAAATGCAAACAAACTGCTAGTACCCTGTTTCCCCTAAAATAAGACCTCCCCTGATAATAAGCCCAATCGGGCTTTTGAGCGCATGGACTAAAATAAGCTCACCCTGAAAACAAGCCCTCCCCGAAAATATTTAAATCATGCGCAGCCCGTCCCCACCGTTTCCTCTGGTTTCCTCCACGCACCCCAAAATAATAAGACCTCCCCGAAATAAGGCCAACCACTTTTTTCAGGGTTCAGAAAAATATAAGACAGGGTCTTATTTTTGGGGAAAGACGGTACCAAAGAACTAAAAAAAATCCCCACCAAACCTCTGGTTCTTTTAGTTGAAAGTATAAATGGCCGCTCTTACCTGTGAACCAGTTTCCGACGAGTCAAACAGCCCCAGTTCTGTGGAAACAGAAGCACCCAAAATGAACGGGATGAAAGGATGTGTCGAGAATGTCAGGTTCTTTTACAGGGCTGGTGGGGTGGGGTGGGGTGGGGGCTTCTGTGCCAGGTTTCTGGGAGACCCCTTTGCTGCCTTGGGCAGACAGACACGGACTCCTTCCATGGGTTGACAATCTCCCAGTTTTTCAGATAGATAGATTGACTGAGTGATCAGTTGTTTGATTGATAGACTGAGTGATCGATTGATTGAGAGATTGAGAGATCAATTGTTTGATTGATAGAGTGATAGTGATAGAGTAATAGATTGTTTGAGTGATCGATTGATCGATTGAGTGATAGAGATATACTGATTGAGTGATAGTGATAGAGTAATAGACTGAGTGATCGATTGATTGAGTGATAGATTGAGATATACTGATTGACAGATTGATTGATCGATTGAGTGATTGAGTGATAGATTGAGATATACTGATTGACTGAGTGAGAGATTGAGAGATTTATTGATTGAGTGATCAATTCTTTGATTGATAGATTGAGTGACTGAGTGATAGATTGATAGATTGAGATACACTGATTGAGTGATAGATTGAGTGATAGATTGATTGAGAGATTGAGAGATTGAGTGATAGTGATAGAGTAATAGATTGAGTGATCGATTGAGTGATAGATTGAGTGAAAGATTGATACATTGAGATATACTGATTGAGTGATAGATTGATCGATTGATTGAGTGAGTGATTGAGTGATAGATTGATCGATTGAGTGATAGATTGAGATATACTGATTGATTGATTGATAGATTGATAGATTTATTGAGAGATTGAGTGATCAATTGTTTGATTGATAGAGTGGTAGAGTGATAGAGTGATAGATTGATTGAGTGATCAATTGATCAATTGATCAATCGAGTGATTAATAGATTGAGATATACTGATTGATTGAGTGGTATTGACAGATTGATTGAGAGATTGATTGATTGATAGATTGATAAATTGATTAATAAATACATTGAGAGATTGATATAGGCAAATAGACAGAGACAGATCAATCTATCAGTCATTTATCAATCGATCACTCAATCACTCAATCAGTCTATCTATTTATCTATCTATCTATCTATCTATCTATCTATCTATCTATCTATCTATCTATCAATCTATCACTCAATCTATCTATCTATCTGAAAAACTGGGTGATTTTCAACCAGTGGATGGAGTCCCGTTTTTGACTGCCCATGTGAAATTAACCAAGGCAGCAAAGGGATCAAGGAGAGATTCAACCTGGAAATAAGGAGAAATTTCCTGACAGTGAGAACAATCAACCGATGGAACAGAAGCTGCCTTCAGAAGCTGTGGGAGCTTCAACACTGGAGGCTTTCAAGAAGAGACTGGACTGCCATCGGTCAGAAATGGTGTAGGTAGGGTCTCTTGCTTGGGCAGAGGGGGGTCGGACTAGATGACCTCCAAGGTCCCTTCCAACTCTGTTAATCTATAATTTGATCCCTGTGACTAACCCAGATTGCAACATTACCCTGGGACATGTATATTTGACTTCAGGAACACCCTAGTCCACGCCAGCCATTGAGTTTGGAATTCAAACCCCTTGAAATAGAAAAAGGAAAACGTTCGTGGAGATGGCCCCAATTCTTCCTCATCGTATACTTTATCACCTCTAAAAATATGTGCCACTCAGTTTCCAGATTGGTACTTATTTTTAAGAGGGAATAAAGTCTATTTCCGGCACATACTTTTGCTGCCAGATCGACACGAGTCGCGATTTCTCCGCCTGGCTCCCCAATACCTCGTTTTTTCCATCTCTTCAAGGCAGTCCGGATCTGTCTCCGAAGAATCCGGTTTTTGCTTCGCGTGGCGTAGTACAAGGCATCGTGGTCGGTCTTGTCCATCAAAGCCACGTTGGCCCCGTTCTGCAGGAGAAGGTCAGCTGCCTCTGCGCCTCCGTTTTCGCAGGCAAGGATGAGAGCCGTCCTGGACAAAATGGGTAGAAACCGTGTAACAGATTAACAGAATTGGAAGGGACCTTGAAGGTCATCTAGCGTGTGCCCACACCAATAATTCAACCCTGCCCCCCGTGCATGAGTGCGTGACCCCCCATGCGCTCCCTCCACTTTTGACATGCGATGGCACGGTGGGCCCCATAGGCCCGTTTTTTGCTCTCTTGGAGCCTGGGGAGGGCGAAAATAGCCTTCCCCACCCCCCTGGAGGCCCTCCGGAGGCTGGAAACAGCCCGTTTCCTGACTTCTGGTGGGCCTGGAAGATCCCAAAATAAGATGGCCAGCTTTTTATTTTATTTTATTTATTATTTTATTTTATTTTATTTTATTTTATTTTATTTTATTTTATTTTATTTTATTTTATTTTATTTTATTATTTTATTTATTTTATTTTATTTTATTTTATTATTTTATTTTATTATTTTTTATTTTATTATTTTATTTTATTTTAATCAAATTTATATACCGCCCTTCTCCCTGAGGACTCAGGGCGGTGTACAGCCAAAGTAAAAACATAAACTACAATCATTAAAATACAATTAAATATATATATATATATATATATATATATATATATATATATATATATATATAATTATATATATATATATATATATATTTGGCCCCATAATTAAAAGCAATGACAAAACAATTAAAAACATTTAAAAAAAGGTGTTAGGCCAGCCCGGCTTGCTGGAAAAAGAAGGTTTTAAGGGCACGGCGGAAGGCACGGAGGTCTTGGATTCTCCTTATCTCAGGGGGCAGCTGGTTCCAGAGGGTAGGTGCCCCCACAGAGAAGGCCCTCCCCCTGGGGGTCACCAGCCTGCATTGCTTGGCTGATGGCACCCCGAGGAGGCCCTCTCTGTGGGAGCGCACAGGTCGATGGGAGGCCGTCGGTAGCAGCAGGCGGTCTCGAAGATAGCTAGGCCCTATGCCATGGAGCGCTTTAAAGGTGATAACCAACACCTTGAAGCGCACCCGGAAGACCACTGGGAGCCAGTGCAGCTCACGCAGGAGCGGTGTTGTATGGGAGCGCCATGCAGCTCCCGTAACTACCCGCGCGGCCGCATTCTGGACCAGTTGGAGCCTCCGGGTGCCCCTCAAGGGGAGCCCCATGTAGAGAGCGTTGCAGTAGTCCAGGCGAGAGGTGAGCTAGGAGCTGACCTAGGGCAAACCTCGCGTGCCCAGAGATATAGTTCCACGTGCCACCTGCGGCACGCGTGCATAGGTTCGCCATCATGGCCCTACATCATTTTCGACAAATGGCAGTCCGGTCTCTTCTTGAAAGCCTCTCAAATATTGGAAGACTGCTAGACTAGCCATGCCCAGTTCCTGTAACCATTCTTCAGATTACAGATTAATAGAGTTGGAAGGGACCTTGGAGGTCATCTAGTCCAACCCCCCCTGAAGCAGGAGACCTGACACCATTTCTGACAGATGGCAGTCCAGTCTCTTCTTGGAAGCCTCCAGGGATGAAGCTCCCACAACCTCCGAAGGCAACTTCTGTTCCATGGGTTGATTGTTCTCACTGTTAGGAAATTCCTCCTTATTTCCAGGTTGAATCTCTCCTTGGTCAGTTTCCATCCATTATTCCTTGTCTGGCCTTCGGGTGCTTTGGAAAATAGCTTGACCCCCGTTCCTCCTCTCTGGGGCAGCCCCTCAAATACTGGAAGATGCTCTCCTGTCTCCCCTAGTCCTTCTCTTCACTAGACTAGCCAGGCCCAGTTCCTGCAACCGTTCAGTGGTTATTTAAAAGAATGACACAGTTGGAAGAAATCTTGGAGGTCTTCTAATCCAACCCCCAATTCAAGCAGGAGACTTCCTCCACTTACACCCACAATGGAGCCCAAAATTCATATTCCTGTGTGAGAAATTGGATAAGTGAGTTTTCTCCCATTTTACAGCTTTTCTCCCCACGTTTGTTAAGTCAATCATCCAAATTCAGAGGCTTGGCAACTGGCACGTACTTATGACCGTTGCAGTGCCCCGCGGCCACGCAATCCCCTTGTCAGCACTTCAAGCTGCATTTACTCTAGTGCTGACATAAGAAGGAGAAGGGGAGGCGTCTGAAAAGGGACGTTTGACTTTTCACCTACTTATTTTCCCTGGAGATAATATCCCCTAGGAGATGGGATGGGAGGGGGAAATTCCTTTGAGCTGGAGCAGTAGATTAGGGGTAGAGTGACTTGGAAGATGGACAATGAGTGCAGGGGAGTGGGGAACGGAAAGGGAGGGTTTTGGGTCTGGAAGTCAGTGTTGGCTGCGATGAGTCGGAGCTAGAATGTCGTGCTTAATAAATGGGAGTTTTTCTTCAAAGACTTTGTTTGAAATGCAATTTATTTGAGACGACCTCAAAACCTGACACCCCTTTTGCCACCTGACAAACAAAGTCAATGGGGAAAGCCAGATTCACTTCACTTAACTGCAGTGATCCACTTAACAACTGTGGCAAGAAAGGTTGCAAGATGGGGCCAAACTCACTTCATGTCTCGCTTAGCCGCAGAAATGTTGGGCTCGATTGCTGTTGTAAGTCGAGGACTATTGATAATCACCAGTCTACACTGGACTGGACTGGACAGATCCCACTGTCATCATCATCATCATTTAACAACCCCATAATTCCTTTCGGGGTGGAGTCTGGGCAACTGAATGGAGCCGTTTATTGGAACTGTTTATTGGCTGGATGCCTTTCCTGTTGCCAATACGGAGTTATATCCAGCAGATAAATTCTATTTGTGCCCAGAGAGAGAAATATCTGCCTCTACCTAGGATCGAACTCACAGCCTCCCGATTGTGAGGCGAGAGCTCCACCTATAGGCCACTACACCACTCTACTGGACTGATACTACTGTACCCCGATAATATAATGTACTACTTGCTTTGAAATAATAAAATGTATATTTTTTTAAAAAGGACAAAAAAGAAACTCCCTCTGCTTGCCACAGAGATGAATTTGGACATCAGGGAACAGCTGGTGCAGTTCTTCCCACATCTGGCCGCACCTCTGGATTTGAGGGACACCTAGTTCTCTAGGCCAGAGTTCCCCAATCTTTTCGGGTTGGCGGCCCGAGCTGGGGGGGGGGGATGGGGAGAGGGAATGATATTGTGGGATGGGTAGGTGCATGTGTGTGCGTGAGCACCTGTGACATTTGTGGCGACACTCACGTGAGTGAGACCATGCGTGCCCGTGGGCGCTCACACACCGGCCAGCCACTCACCTGGCCCAGTGGCGATTAGGCTGTGAGTTGCAGCCCACAGGTTGGAGACCCCTTCTTGTTGTGGCTTGTCGGCCACCGGCCCCTCCAGCAGCCGAATCAGAGGAGGAGGAGGAGGCAGGGAGTCAGGGTCAGCCTCAAGGCAACCTGAGAGCTCCGAGGGGGAAGAGGGAATGGAGCTGGCAGAGAGAGAGAGGCAGAGGTGGAGCCTGAGTCGTCCATTAGCCCTCAGATGGAGAGTCAACCTCCCCCAGGTCTGGAGGTGGCTGATGAGGAAGAGGAGGAGCAGCTGGGTCCAGTGCCTGATATGCAGAAGGCAGAGGAGAGGAGAGCAGTGGTAATCTATGGGCCGGTCCTTGGGACGGAAGAGCCATCGCTGCTAGTGAAGCCCCACAACTAGCTCTGGGGATAAAAGGCAGGGGGCAGAGATGAATAGGTGTGGCAGACAACTATTCCTCTCCCTGCCGGACAGACTTGTTAGCCTGTGGTGAGAGAGAAACTTTTTGCCGGGGCTGCCGGCGCTCCTAATTAAAGGAATCTTTTGAGTTCACGTCAAAGGTTTTGTCGTGTTTGAGGAGCTGGGTCAGACCATTTCATTAAGCGACTAAACCTTTTGCCTCTCCCGATTCCAGGCTGCCGGATTCAACGGCCTGCCTCGCAGGGTGGTCGCCGCAAAGGAGAGACTCACTTGCCATCCTTATCCGGGAGGTCGACCTTGGCACCCCTCTGGAGCAGCTGAGAGCAGATGGCCGTCTGGTTCCCCTGAGCCGCGATCATCAGGGGGGTCCGGTCATTCTGGAGCCAAAAGGAGAAGCATAAAACTCAATTTTGGGCCCAAAGAAGGGGCGGGGGGGGAAGGACAGGACCAAAGCAAGGATGAGCAGCGGATGGTTCCGGAACCCATCTTGGGGCTTTCTGGAATGCTGACCTTTTAGCTTGCTTTTTCCAATTAGCAACCAGTTGGAAGATCATTTGAAATCAATTTATTGGAGTGCTTTGATAAAGGGGGGGGGGTCTCCCTATGAAAAAAGGGGGAGCCTGGAAAAATGGCTTAGGTTCACTTGGTTTAGAAATGGTGCTGTTGATGAACCATGGTGGCGCAGTGGTTAGAGCGTGGTACTGCAGGCTATTTCTGCTACCTGCCGGCTGCCTGCAATTTGCCAGTTCGAATCTCACCAGGCTGAAGGTTGACTCAGCCTTCCATCCTTCTGAGGTCGGTAAAATGAAGACCCAGATTTTTTTGGGGGGGGGGGGAGGGGGGCAATAGGCTGACTCTGTAAACCGCTTCGAGAGGACTGTAAAGCGGAATATAAGTCTAAGTTCTATTGCTATTCCTTCCTTCCTTCCTTCCTTCCTTCTTTTTCTTCCCCCAATTCGTCTCTTATTCATGTTTTCTTCTACCTAATTCCTTCCTCCTTCCCTCCCTCCCTCCCTCCCTCCCTCCCTCCCTCCCTTCCTTCCATACTTCCATCCATCCATCCATCCTTCCTTCCTGTTTCCTTCCTTTTCATTTCCTCCCTCCCTCCCTTCCTTCCCTTCCTTCCTTCCTTCCATACTTCCATCCACCCATCCATCCTTCCTGTTTCCTTCCTTCCTTTTCATTTCCTTCCTTCCATCCATCCATCCATCCATCTTTCCTGTTTTCTTCCTTCCTTTTCATTTCCTTCCTTCCATCCATCCATCCATCCATTCATCCATCTTTCTTCATTTCCTTCCTTCCTTCCTTCCTTCCTTCCTTCCTTCCTTCCTTCCTTCCTTCCTTCTTTCCTTCCTTCCTTCCTTCCCTTCCCTTCCTCCCTCCCTCCTTCCTTCCTTCCTTCCCGTTACAATGCAGTATTGCAGGCTAACTCTACCCACTGTCAGCAGTTCGATCCTGACCGGCTTAAGGTTGACTCAGCCTTCCATCCTTCAGAGGTGGGTAAAATGAGGACCCAGATTTTTGGGGATAAACTGAAATGGGCAGGTTTTACCTTTATATAAGTAGCATTATAACCTGAAATAGCCTTCCCCCAATATAGTGGGAGTTGTTTCCATTTTCCCAGTAATAAAAGTAAAATTTACTACAGTAGTAAAAAAAATAATAATATCCCAGCTATTAAAAAAGTGCCTTCCATTAATCAAAAATTGTCAATAGGAAAAAAAACTCCTTAATGACTAAGTTAGTAAATGACTTTTTACCTTATCCGTAACATCAAGGAAGGCTTCTTGGTCGCAGAGAAGCAAGACACTGGAGGCACAACCAGATAAAGCTGTTGGTGGAATTAAAAAAGGGGTTTAAAATGTTGAAAAACTCAGATTTTTACAATGTGCCCATAATAGTAAGAGCCTGTAGTACAGTGGACTAAAGCACTGTTATTAACATCTGCTGCTTGCAATTACTGCAAATTCAAATCTCACCAGGCTCAAGGTTGACTCAGCCTTCCATCCTTTCTAAGGTAGGTAAATTGAGGACCCAGTTTGTGGGGGCAATAAGCTGACTTTGTATAAATATACAAAAGGATGAAGGCTATTGCTTAACGCACTGTAAGCCGCCCTGAGTCTCCGGAGAAGGGCGGCATATAAATTAAAGCAAAAAAAAAAAAAAAGTAAATGCAATTTTCAAGACCAAAAGTTTAAAAAAAAAAAAAAACTTGTAGCAAATTTGACTAATCTCTGCTAAACATCATAAACCCTAAATTTCATTTAAAAATAAATAAATAAAATAAAAGTAAAGGAGGAATGTATCTTTTAACAAAACATGCACGTACTCAAAAGTAAGCCTCGGTGAGATCCGTAGGACTGATGCCGCTAGGATAATTACTATCCTCCTTAATTTCACATAACAGTTGGAGTTGGAAGGGAACTTGGAGGTCATCTAGTTCAACCCCTTGCTCACACAGGAGGCCGATACTAGGGATTCAAACCGCTGAGCTGCCGACAGTTCTGATCGACAAGCTCAGTGTCTTAGCCACTGATCCACCTAGTCATGGCCGTCTGAATGATGGTTGTATGATACCATAGAATTTTACATGAGATGGGCATTAGTGAACTTTACTTATTAAATTTATATGCCATTCATAGCTTGTCTTCCATTTGTAACCCTTCCTTCCTGCTTTTTCCATCTTTCTTCTCAACTCACTGTCCCATCACAATTTTAATTTATTTGGCATCTACAGAGGTCATGCATATATATATATATATATATATATATATATATATATATATATATATATGCATATTCTTTCTAGCCAGGTTTATATATATATAGTTTTATTTAAATATAAGGCTTTAACTTAATTTAATATATGGTTTTATCTTAATTTAATATATGATTTTAATTTAATATTTTATCCTATATTGTATTGTCCACTAGATAGATGATAGACAGATGACAGATAGTACGATAGATGACAGATTGATAGTAGATAAAAGATAGATAGAAGGTAGATGATTGATAGAAGATAGATAATAGATGGTAGAAGGTAGATGATAGAAAGATAAGAAAGGTAGGTAAAATGAGGACCCAGATTGTGGGGGCAATAAGCTGACTTTGTATAAATATGCAAAAGTATGAAGGCTATTGCTTAACGCATTGTAAGCCGCCCTGAGTCTCCGGAGAAGGGCGGCATATAAATTAAAGCAAAAAAAAAAAAAAAAGATAAGAAAGAAAGATAAGAAAAATAGATAGAAAGATAGATAGATGAAAAATAAATGAAAGGTAAATGAAAGAAAGATAGAAAGATAGATAAAATCATAATAAAATCACCATAATACGGAATCATAGAATTACAATTAGTTCTCCCAGCACAACTATTGTTAATTCACAAGAAAAACTCAGAACAGCTGCACAGATTTGGTACAAAACTTTCTGCAACCAAATTGCAATTTTAATATCATCCTAAGCGGAGCAATTAAATAACTGGGGAATAATTTATCTCCCATGTTTAACTAATTTAATGTATGTGGGTTGATGATTAAATGTAAATCAAATTCAGAATTTGTCCAGGTTTACATTTTCTCACCCTTGTCTAACGTCTGTGTCTCCCCAAATATGCCAGTAAGCATTTAGAAAAAAATTTTTTTGCAACCCTGGGCTAAATGGCAATAAATGCTTGTATAGCAAACTGTGCCAGCTCAGCCACTGTGGTTCGTGACTACAGCTTTGAAAGAAACTATAAATAAACAAACCATGGCTTAGTGCAAGATGGGAAACCATGACTAGGCGTAGGCGTAGAAGAAAAAAAATTCACAGCAATACATGAAAGATAATTATGAAATACTGTAAATAAATAGCGCTATAATACTGTAAGTAGTCGTGCTGCAAAAATTCCTCCAAGTTCTGCTGACAGGTGATTAAAGATGTAAGTGATGTAATTTGGCATCTGCATTTACTTAAAACCAAGCATGAAATTATAGCGAGGCAATTAAGAGGATTTAGAATGGAAGCTCAAAGCTGCATCAGTGTTAAAATTTCTGTATGTAACGAACAAAGTATTTAATAAGGCTGTTTCATTCATTCAGATCTCGGATGTCTTCTGCTTGTGTTCCCTTTATTTTTTTGAGCAGTGTATATATTTGGTATAAAATGGTTTGTCGTGAATGCGACTGCTTGAGGGCTCCTGGATTGGAGCTGAAAGGCGAAAGGGAGCAGAATGCCCCCTCCCATATGTTGGGGTAGACCAAGTGTCTTATAGAAAAACACGGCGACGTTTCAACGAAGTCTCATTCGTCATCTTCAGGCTGGTGTTTTCTGCTTCGTGCTTCTAGGAGCAATGTGTGATTGCAGCTTCCAACACTTCCAATTTTACGCGGGAGAAAACCCGAATAACCAAAGACCTACATACAAACACCGCGAAAACCTCAGAATATATATATATATATATTATACATATATATATATATGTAGGTCTTTGGTTATTTGGGTTTTCTCCTGCGTAAAATTGGAAATGTCTTGGCGACGTTTCGATGAAGTCTCATTCGTCATCTTCAGGCTGGTGTTTTCAGCTTCGTGCTTCTAGGAGCAATGTGAGATCCTTTTAACTGCTAGTGGGGTGTGTGAACTGATTGGGTGGGAGCTTGGCTTTGTTCTGATTGGGTGGAGGTGTGTTCTGATTGGTTGGGAGTTTGGCTGTGCTCTGATTGGATGGGGGGTTGGCTGTGCCCTGATTGGATGGAGGTGTGTTCTGTTTAGGTGGGGGCTTGGTTGTGCTCGTGTTAGTCTGAGTTGCAGGGGGATTTGAGCTGGTGAGCTGCATTGCTGTTGTTTGGCTTCGCGTTCGTGGTCGTGCCACATCTTCATGGTGGGTGTCAGTTTGCTTCATGTATGGATTGGAGGGAGAAAAGGAAGGAAGAAAGGAAATCAAAAGGAAGAAACAGCTGCGATCTCACATTGCTCCTAGAAGCACGAAGCTGAAAACACCAGCCTGAAGATGACGAATGAGACTTCGTCGCCAAGACACTTCCAATTTTACGCGGGAGAAAACCCGAATAACCAAAGACCTACATACAAATACCCACGAAAACCACTATATATATATATATATATATGTACTGTCGAAGCACCTGGTCTACTCCAATATGGGAGGGAGCATACTGCTTCCCTTTTGCCTTTCAGCTCCAATCCAGAAGCCCTCAAGCAGATATTTATCAGCAAATATATATAACACACACACACATATGTTGTTCCCGACTCTAGGGGGGTGGTGCTCATCTCTGTTTCAAAGCCCAAGAGCCAGCACTGTCCAAAGACGTCTCCGTGGTCATGTGGCCAGCATGACTCAACGCCAAAGGCGCACAGAACGCTCTTACCTTCCCACCAAAGGTGGTCCCTATTTTTCTACTTGCATTTTTTTTTACGTGCTTTCGAACTGCTAGGTTGGCAGAAGCTGGGACAAGTCACGGGAGCTCACCCCTTCACGCGGCGCTGGGGATTCGAACCGCTGAACTGCCGAACCCTTTCGCTCGACAAGCTCAGTGTCTCAGCCCCCCGTTTGCAAATTCTGTGGGAGGCCTTTGCCGACATGTCTGCAAAACTTTACATCTAAGCAATGGGGGCTCCCCTGTTTGAAAAGGTAAGAGCAGCTCGGTTTACCTGTTTGGTTATGGAAGATGTGCGAATGCAGAGAGCTGACCAACCTCCCTTCGACAGGTGATGGATCTGTGCAGGCTTCACACACCCTCGAAACACACTAGGGCTTGTCCCAGCTTGTCCTGATGCTACTTTTCAAAATCTATCCATTAACAGCAGATTGTATGGGCCAATCAAGAGCTCCGGCATACTATCGATGCATTTGCAGGATGAGGCCCTAGTTTGCCTTGAAGGGTCACAGCTGGAGGAAAAGGGTGGCCCCTTGCAGAAACGTGGGGTAACGTAGCCCTGGAGTTCCCAACCACACACAACTTGATGTTGTGAAACTGACTAGATCGTGTTCCCTGATAAAATGCAATTATGAAATGGAGGAGAGAACCAAGCCTTCTCGGGGAAATTACTCAGAGGCTGCAACAACCCTTGTGAACCTCAGCAGGGAGCAGAGCCTGGATGGTGTTGGAAGCAAAGAAGGATCCGATTTAAGTTAGGGTTTGAACGGGATGGGAGACCACCTGGGAATCCAAAAAGCTGGTGGCTCAAATAACAATTCAAGTAACACCCGCAAAGAATAACAGAAAAACAGAGTTGGAAGGGAACTTGGAGGTCTTCTAATCCAACCCCCAGCTCAAGCAGGCAGTCCTCAACTTGCAACAGTTCATTTAGTGACCAAAGTTATAACGACCTTGAAAAAAGGGACTTATGATCGTTTTTCAGTTACAACTGAAGGGATCAAAATTCAGACGCTCGGCAACTGATTCACACTTGCGACCATTGCTGTGTCCTGGGGGGGTCACGTGATCCCCATTTGCGACCTTATGACAAGCAAAGTTTACGGGGAAGCCAGATTCACTTAACAACCGGGTTACACATTTATCAGCTGCAGTGACTCACTTAACGACGGTGGCAAGGAAGATCGCAAAATGTGGCAGAATTCACTTAACAAATGTCTCAACAACAACAAAAATTGGGCTCAATTGTAGTCGTACATTGAGGACTATCTGTACCAGACTACCTGTGCAGTCTATTTTTGAAAACCTCCGGTGATGGGCCACCCACAGCTTCTGGTGGCAAGCTGTTCCACTGGTTAATTGTTCTCACTGTCAGGAAGTTTCTCCTTAATTCCAGGTTGCTTCTCTCTTTGATTAGTTTCCATCCATTATTTCTTGTCCTGCCTTCTGGTGCTTTGGAGAATAAGTTGACCCCCTCTTCTTTGGGACAGCCCCTCAAATATTGAAATATTGCTATCCAGTTTTCGTCACCACACTATAAAAAAGATGTTGAGAGACTCTAGAAAAAGTGCAGAGAAGAGCAACCAGGATGATGAGGGGACTGGAGGCTGAAACAGACGATGAACAGTTGCAGGAACTGGGCCTGGCTAGTCTAGGGAAGAGAAGGACCAGGAGAGACAGGATAGCATCTTCCAATATTTGAGGGGCTGCCCCAGAGAGGAGGAAGGGGGTCCAGCTATTTTCCAAAACCCCTGAAGGCCAGACAAGGAATAATGGATGGAAACTAATGAAGGAGAGAAGCAACCTAGAAATAAGGAGGAATTTTCTGACAGTGAGAACAATCAACCGATGGAACAGAAGTTGCCTTCGGAAGTTATGGGAGCTTCATCACTGGAGGCTTTCAAGAAGAGACTGGACTGCTATTTGTCAGAAATGGTGTCTGGGCGGGGGGGGTTGGACTAGATGACCTCCAAGGTCCCTTCCAGCCCTCGGATCCCGTGAACCTCTATGGCTTTCCTCCTCCATGCAGGAGGCCCCCAAATTAAATCTTCCTTCCAAGTGTGACAGCTTTTTCGCAACCGCATAAGAGGAGTGGCCGTTGCTGCTTTTTAAACAGCCCGTTTGATCATCGTCAGTTGTGCACACCTTAGCAGAACTTAAAACGTGAATAATAAGTTTTCCCAGGGATCCTACCAAGTCGCCAGGAAGTCTCTTGAATCTAGTTTGAGCTCCTGGTGGCTTTAGATCCCCCCAATTAGGACGGAAGCTCTTTTGTCTTTCTTACAAAAAAGATGTTGAGACGCTGGAAAGAATGCAGCAAAGAGCAACAAAAGAAAAAAGTTTAGGGGGCTGGAGGCTAAAATTGCTTTAGGTTGCAGGAATTGGATGGGTTAGTCTAATGAAAAGAAGAATTAGATTAACAGATTACGTTCATTAAATGTAGAATAAAATAGAACAGAACAGAACAGAATAGAATGCAGGATAGGATAGGATAGGATAGGATAGGATAGGATAGGATAGGATAGGATAGGATAGGATAGGATAGGATAACAGAGTTGGAAGGGACCTTGTAGGTCATCTAGTCCAACCCCCGACCAAGCAGGAGACCCTTACACCATATCTGAGAGGTGGCAGTCCAGTCTCTTCTTGAAAGCCTCCAGGAATGAAGCTCCCACAACTTCCGAAGGCAACTTCTGTTCCATCGGTTGATTGTTCTCACTGTCAGAAAATTCCTCCTTATTTCCAGGTTGAATCTCTCCTTGATGAGTTTCCATCCGTTCTTCCTTGTCTCGCCTTCAGGGGCTTTGGAGAATAGCTTGACCCCCTTCCTCCTCTCTGGGGCAGCCCCTCAAATATTGGAAGATGCTCTCCTGTCTCCCCTGGTCCTTCTCTTCACTGGACTAGACATAACTCAGTTCCTGCAACCGTTCATTGTTATGTTTGAGCCTCCAGTCCCCTCATCCTCTTGGTTGCTCTTCTCTGCACTTTTTCTAGATTCTCAGCATTGGAGCAGCAGACTAAAGTGCTGTTAAAGTAGCACTTAACTGCCAGCTGCCTGCAATTACTGCGAGTTCAAATCTCACCAGGCTCAAGGTTGACTCAGCCTTCCATCCTTCCGAGGTAGGTAAAATGAGGACCGGATTGTGGGGGCAATAAGCTGACTTTGTATAAAAAAAAAAGAACACTGCTTAGGGGGCCCCCGAAAGCCCTACTAAGCAGGTATATACAAAAGTATGAAGGCCATTGCTTAACGCATTGTAAACCTCCCTGAGTCTCCGGAGAAGGGCAGCATATAAATCGAACCAATAAATAAATAAATAAACCTCTTCGGGCAAAGAGGTTGTAGAAAAAATACTTTTAAAAGCCTCTGACAATCCCAGCTGAGTCGCGCGATCATCAGAGGCTTTTTTTTTTTACTTTTAAAAGCATTTTTCCGGCCGAAGAGGTTGTAGAAAAAAGGCTTTTAAAAGTAAAAAAAAAAAAAGCCTCTGATGATTGCGCGGCTCAGCTGGGCATGGGGGGGAGGCAGGGATTTTTGCTACTGGTTCTCCGAACTACCTGCCGCCATCGCTACCGGATCGGGCGATCCGGTCCGAACCAGGAGCATTTCACCCCTGATTCAAACAGGGGCACCAAAACAGGTTTGTGAAATGTCAGAGCTGAAATGAAACTACCTTTGTGGCCCAGAGGTTTTTTTTTTTTTTAAAGTCTATTATAGTGGTGGGTTCCTCCTGGTTCGGCCCGGTTCTGCCGAGCCGGTAGTGATCTACATGAATAGATCAGTGCCTGCAAAAATAAATGGGTAGATCGGTACAGCTCTGCAAGCAGTTAAAAGCCTGGTAGACCAGTACCTCTGCTAAATCCTAAATAATTGTCACATGACCATCAAGCCACACCCACAAATAAGCCACGCCCACAGAACCGGTAGTAAAAAAATTTAGAACCCACCCCTGGTCTGTTAGTTTGTTAAAAAGATGATCAGTAACATTATACAGGCAGTCCCTCGTGGGGCCAGAATCTGAAAACGACATTTAATGCAGCACAATTTCTGACTAAAATGGTCCCACTGAGATCGAATTATGTGGGCCTGATTGGGGTAGATGGCAGGCGTGATAAAGAAATATAGTGTTATGTCATTTTATTCTATTTTAGAACTTTACGTATTAAATTATTGTATTTTATCCTGTAACTATTGTATTTTACCCTACCCTCATTTTAATTGTTTGTTTGGAATTTTATCGGTAACATATATTTGAACCTCTACGTTGATATGGCCTATAGCCGTGATGGCGAACTATGGCAAGTGTGCCACAGCTGGCACCCAGAGAATTCTCTGTGGGCACGCGAGCCACCCAGCGGATGTCCACTGGGCATATCCGCGCAGCTCCCGCCTGCCAGCTGATTTTCGGGATGCGCAGGGGTCGGGGTGCATGTGGGAGATGGGCGTGCATACACGGGGGTCGCGCAGGCATGCACAGGGGCAGGAGAAGCGTGGGGGGGGGGCAGCGCATGTTCCGGAAATGCAGAAACAGGCCCGTTTCCAGCCTCTGGAGGGGCCTCTGGAGCCCGGGGAGGCTATTTTCGCCCTCTCTGAGGCTCGGGAAAAGCCTCCGGAGCCTGGGGAGGGCGAAAAATGGGCCTCCCAGAAGTTACAGAAGTCCGGAAATGAGCCTGTGGTGCAGGTTGTTAAAATTTTTGAATCCCAACCCTCGCGCGCATGCATGGGGGGGCGGGAGTCGTATGAGGATGCATGGGAGGAGTGTGGGGGTCGTGCGTATGCACATATATATATATGTTTTCGTAGATTTTCACGGATACAGGTATGCAAGTCTATATACACTGCTCAAAAAACTAAAGGGAAGACAAGCAGAAGACATCCGAGATCTGAATGAATGAAATAGCCTGATTAAAATACTTTGTTCGTTACATACAGTCGTTTTGTGTTCCCTTTAGTTGTTTGAGCAGTGTATAAAGTGTGTATATATATATATATATATATATATATATATATATATATATATATATATATATATATATATATATATATATGCAAGTTTTGGTGTATTTGGGTCTTTTCCCGTGTAAGATTGAGAGTATCTTCAACGAGGTCCCACTCGTCATCTTCAGGCTGGTGTCTTCGGCTTTGTGCTTGTGCTTGTTTTCCTCGCGCAAGCACGAAGCCAAAGACACACACACAACACACACACACACACACACACACACACACACCACACACACGTATATGTATATGTATATTTCTTTTTCTTTTTCTTTTTCTTTCTTTTTCATAGGCTTTTATGTGCATATTCTTTCTAGCCAGGTTTTACCTACGTAAGCTATGATGTTATCATCATAGGGCTGCATAACATCATAGCTTACATAGGTAAAACCTGGCTAGAAAGAATATGCGTATATGTATATGTATATATACGAAGACATATATATATATATATATATATATTATATATATATATATATATATATATATATATATATATATATTATATATATATATATAATTATACAGGTAGTCCCCGACTTTCAACAATTCACTTAGTGACTGTTCCAAGCTACAATGGCACTGAAAAAAGCTTTTCACAGTTACAACCTTTCCAGCAGTCCTATGAACGCATGATCAAAATTCAGACGCTTGGTAGCTGGTTCACACTTATGACCTAATGGTTCACACTTATGGCCACTGACTTGTGTTTATGACGGTTATAGTGTCCTGGGGTCACGCAATCCCCTTTTGCGACCTTCTGACGAGCAAAATCAATGGGGAAGCCTGATTCGCTTAACAACCGGGTTACTAATTTATCAACTGCTGCGTTGACTTAACAACCGAGGAAAGAAAGGTCGCAAAACAGGACAGAATTCAACTTAACAAATGTCTCACCGAACGACTGAAATTTTGGGCTCAATTACGGTCGCAAGTTGAGGACTACCTGTCCTTTTTTTAGGACTCACCAGCCCAATGCAGAGGCGTCCGACTCTCCCCATCCACGCAATCCTCGTCTGCTCCATGCTGTGAGAAAAAAAGTATAGCTATATAATCCTTATTGTACAATACATGTAACATCCTGTGTACGAATAGCTTTTCATGAAAAACGAACAGCAGTATCACACAAAGTATACAAGACTACATTTTTTCCCTACGATTAAAATTATCCCACGAAGTTTGGATGGGAATGTTTTGTGAAATTAGTCCCTGCCAACAAAAATAATAATTCATCTCTTTTTCCAGGTGGGGATTTTCTCTAAGCGCCATTCCTGCAGTGGTGGCAGAAAAAAAAACAGAGTGGGAAGAGAGCTTGGAGGTCTCTTCAAATATCGGAAGACTGCTATCATGTCACTCCTGGTCCTTCTTTTGTCTAAATTAAAAGGTTCCCCTCGCACATATGTGCTAGTTGTTCCCGACTCTAGGGGGCGGTGTTCATCTCCGTTTCAAAAGCCGAAGAGCCAGCGCTGTCCGAAGACGTCTCCGTGGTCATGTGGCCGGCATGACTCAACGCCAAAGGCGCACGGAAAACGCTGTTCCCTTCCCACCAAAGGTGGTCCCTATTTTTCTACTTGCATTTTTTTACGTGCTTTCGAACTGCTAGGTTGGCAGAAGCTGGGACAAGTCACGGGAGCTCACCCCGTTACGCAGCACTAGGGATTCGAACCGCCCAACTGCCAACCTTTCGATCGACAAGCTCAGCGTCTTAGCCGCTGAGCCACCACGTCCCTCTTTTTTTCTAAATTATACATACCCAATTCCTGCAATTCCAATCTCCCAATCCTATCATGTGTTCCAGATTTGTTTTCTCTGCACACCCAATTCTCTTGCAGCTAAATTGCATCGGGTATCTTAAACCCGTACACAAGAGGATAAGTGAAAGTTAACCGATGTTGGAAGGGACTTCGGAGGTCTTCTAGTCCAACCCTGTTCTCAGGCAGGAAAAACTATCCCGTTCCAGACAAGGGGCTGTCCAATCCCTTCTTAAAAGCCTCCAGTGATGAAGCTCCCACAACTTCTGGTGGCAAGCTGTTCCGCTGGTTAATTGTTCTCGCTATCAGAATATTTCTCCTTGATTCTAGGTTGTTTCCCTCCTTGATTAGTTTCCATCCATTGCTTCTTGTCTTCAGGTGCTTTGGAGAAAGGTTGAAACCCGCCCCTTCTTTGTGGCAGCCCCTCAAATATTGGAAGATTGCTATCATGTCACCTCTAATCCTTCTTTTCACTAGACTACCCAAACCCAATTCCTGCAATCATTCCTGACAGTGAGAACAATTAATCGGAGTAACTACTACTTGCCTCCAGAAGTTGTGAATGCTCCAACACTGGAGGCTTTTAACAAGATGTTGGATCACCATTTGTCTGAAGTGGTGTAGGGTTTCCTGCCTAAGCAGGGGGTTGGACTAGAAGACCTCCAAGGTCCCTTCCGACTCTGTTATTCTATTCTATTCTATTCTTCTCTTCTCTTCTCTTCTACTATTCTCTTCTCTTCTCTTCTCTTCTCTTCTTCTCATCTTCTCTTCTCTTCTATTATTCTCTTCTCTTCTATTATTCTCTTCTCTTCTCTTCTCTTCTCTTCTCTTCTCTTCTCTTCTCTTCTCTTCTATTATTCTATTATGCTCTTATTCTATTCTATTCTATTCTATTCTATTCTATTCTTCTCTTCTATTCTCTGTGCATGGGCAGAGGGTAAAAAACAGGTTAAAAACAGGAAGTAACGATGACTGGGCAAGTGGGTGGAGCCTCGCTCTGCCGTCGCTACCGGTTCGCGCGAACCGGTATCATTTCACCCCTGGAGATGTGGGAGAAAGCTGCAGCTGAGCTATGCTGGAAAATGCTCCCTGGACACTCCCTCCCCCTTGCTTGGCACCCGGCGTCACAGGGGGCTCCCTGGGAGGAAACCGGTAGTTTTTACGAGCCCCGGATATCTCTTGTCAGCTCAGGAATGCGGCCTCGTAGGCCAGCGGGCGAATCTGAAACGTTCCCAGCACAATCTTGTGCAACCGACTGGCTCCGGGTTCTTGTGCCACGGCTGCTGTTGGGTGGTTGAAACTGCCCCCGGGAACTCTTGCAAAACCGGGCTCTGGAAGCAGCGGGATTCGGGCCCCACACCTCAGCAGCACCCCAGGCAGATCCGTTCATTTATTCGTTTGTTTCTGGCTGGAAACAATCCGGGCAGTACAATGCGGAGCTCGTTCGTCTTTGGGAGTAGAATTGCAAAATTACAGAATACTGAATAATGGGGGGGGACGGGACCTTGGAGGTCTTCTAGTCTAAGCCGCTGCTTGAGGCAGGAGGAGATCCTGTGCTGTTCCGGACAAAGGGTTGAGCAGTTTTATTCTTGAAAACCTCCAGTGGATGGAGAGCCAAAACAATCACGCTTGGCCAATGAAGAATTCTGTTCTGTTCTGTGTCTTCAGAAGTTGTGGGAGCTTCATCCCTGGAAGCTTTCAAGAAGAGACTGGATTGCCATCTGTCAGAAATGGTGCAGGGCCTCCTGCTTGGGCAGGGGGTTGGACTAGATGGCCTCCAAGGTCCCTTCCAACTCCTATTCTATTCTAGTCTAGTCTATTTTTATTCTATTCTATTCTATTCTATTCTATTCTATTCTATTCTATTCTATTCTATTCTTCTCTATTCTATTCTATTCTATTCTATTCTATTCTATTCTATTCTATTCTATTCTATTCTATTCTATTCCTATTCCTATTCCTATCCCTATCCTATCCTATCCTATTCCTATTCTATTCTATTCTATTCTCTCCTCTTCTCCTCTCCTCTCCTCTTCCCTTCCCTTCCCTTCCTTTCCCTTCCATTTCATTTCCTCTCTCTATTCTATTCTATTCTATTCTATTCTATTCTATTCTATTCTATTCTATTCTATTCTATTCTATTCTATTCTATTTCATTCTATGCTGTTCTGTTCTATTCTATTCTATTCTATTTCATTCTATGCTGTTCTGTTCTATGCTATTCTATGCTATGCTATGCTACGCTACGCTACGCTATGCTATTCTTTCTCTGTTCTATTCTATTCCTATTCCTATTATTTCTCTATCCTATCCTATCCTATCCTATCCTATCCTATCCTATCCTATCCTATCCTATCCTATCCTATCCTATCCCATTCCATTCCAAATCCTACTCTACTCTACTCTACGGTTCTCACCCTTCCAGCTCTGAGTCACTATTCAGCAATTATAGAATTTAGTGCAATTAAACGTAGTAATCTTTCTTTCAAGTTTATTTATTATTAATTCCCACGAGATAGCCATCGCTCTTCTCCAGTTATGCCTTTGAATCAAGAAGAAGAGTTTTCACAGCAAGGAGGTTCATTAGCTTGTCTGCAGGGTATGGTGGAAAAACTCAAGATGGCCTCCACATTCCGCCCCTTTCTTATGGGCAACCTGGGGACACTCTCCCAAAGAACAAATAAAGCTAATAAATTCAAATAAACAAATAAATAAACTGCCTTGCATTTCTTCTCCTCGACTTTCAACGGTTCATTTAGTGACCGTTCAAAGTTCCAACGGCACTGAGAAAAAGCGACTTGAGAATTTTTCATACTGACGACCCTTGTGGCATCCTTAGGATCACGTGATCTAAATTCAGAGGCTTGGCAACCGGTTCATACTTATGACGACGGTTTCCGTGTTCCCAGGGTCACGGTTGTGGTCCGCCAGCAGCGGAGTCGGACAGTGAGGAGGCTGGGCGGGACCATGGGCCAGTCCTGGAGTCTGGGGAGGGCCTGGATGAGGGCTCTGCGTCGGAGGCAGAGATGGGGCCGGGGCCATCTGGGAGCGATGCACGGACTCCAGAGCCTCCAGAGTCGGACATCAGTGAGGCAAAGGAACAGGAGGAGCCTGTTCCTAGTGCACGCATGCGCAGAGCTGCCAGAAGGCAAGAGTAGCTAAAGCAAAAGGGACGACTCTGGAGTAAGGCCAGGAGATGATTGGCTTAAAAGAGAAACAAAGGCACTTGGGCCTTTTTGCAGGAAAGCAACGTTGCTCACTCTGTTTCCAGTCGGCATCTCTTGTTTGTTTCTGAACTCTGTGGGGCTTTGCCAAGTAAGGCCTTCGGCAAGGTGTCAAAAAAGATAAAGCCTGGTGATTCTTCCGAAGGACTTGTGGTGCAACTAATTGGGACTCAGCTGGGAATGAACGTCATCCTCAGCTGTTACAATAAAATAGGTTTGTTTGGGACGAATTGCGTATTGTAGTGACTCGGTAAGCCTACGTCACAACAGTCACGTGATCCTATTTTGCGACCTTAACCAACTTGGTAACATCCAAACAGGGGGTGGTTTTAAGAGATTCTTTGGTGGGGCTGTTTACTGATGGCTCTTTGGCAGTTCCTTGATTGGGGTCTTGTTCACTTGATTGCTGGTCTGATGTTAATTTTGGAATTAATCTATGATGATCCGGATGCTGATTGCTGGTGGAGAGATTGCTGGAGTCTTTCGGTTCCCCCTTTTCAGCTGTGGATTGTCTCTTTCAAGAAGAGACTGGACTGGCATTTGTCAGAAATGGTGTAGGGTCTCCTGCTTGGGGTGGGTGGGTGGGGGGGGTTGGACTAGATGACCTTCAAGGTCCCTTCCAACTCTGTTTCTAATCTAATCTAATCATTTTGAGAGACCAACCCCGCCCCCTTCTAGCACTGATGATGTTACCTAGTTGGGTCATGAAACGTCTACAAGGAAACCACCCAGCTCAGAGACCGCCCCACATTCTTCCTCCTCCTCCTCTCCACAACCTCCCTTCCCTTCTAGAGCTGATGGTGTTACTTAGTTGGGTCGTGAAACGTCTACAAGAAAACAACCAAGCTCAGAGAGCACCCAGGACCCCTCAGTCCTTTTTCCTCCTCCTCTTCCTCCTCCTCCTCCTCCCTCCTTTCCACAACCCCCCTTCCCTTCTAGTACTGATGATGTTACCTAGCTGGGTAAAGAAACAACCAAGCTCAGAGAGCACCAAGGAGCTCTTCTCCTTCCTCCCTCCCTCCCTCCCTTCTTTTCTTTCTTTCCTTCCTTCTTCCTTCCTTCCTTTCTTCTTCCTTCCTTCCTTCCTTTCTTCCTCCCCCCTCCCTCCTTTCTTTCTTTCTTTTTCTCTTCCTTCCTTCCTTCCTCTTTCTTTCTTCCTTCCTTCCTTCCTCCCTCCCTCTCTTCTTCCTTCCTTCCTTCCTTCCTTCCTTCCTTCTTTCCTTCCTCTTTCTTTTTTTTCTTTCTTTCTTTCTTTTCTTTCTTTCTTTCTTTCTTTCTTTCTTTCTTTCTTTCTTTCTTTCTTTCTTCTCCTCCTCTTCCTCCCTTCTGCAAACACCTCTACCTTCTAGCACTGATGATGTTACTTAGTTGGGTAAAGAAACAACCAAGCTCAGAGAACACCAAGAGCTCTTCTCCTTCCTTCCTCCCTCCCTCCCACCGTCCCTCCCTCCCTCCCTCCCTCCCTCCTTTCTTCCTTCCTTCCTTCCTTCCTTCCTTCCTTTCCTTCCTTCCTTCCTTCCTTCCTTCCTTCCTTCCTTCCTTCCTTCCTTCTTTCTTTCTTTCTTCTCCTCCTCCTCCTCTCTTCTGCAAACACCTCTCCCTTCTAGCACTGATGATGGAAGAGAGAGGACCCCTCATTCCTCTCTCTTCCTCCTCCTCCAACAAACTCAGAGACCACCAAGGACCCCCCAGAGCCCCTCTCAATTGGGGGGGGGATATTTTACCGGAGGAATAGGACAATTCCCAAAAGGGCAGCAACAACCGCTCCCTCCCCCCCACCTCCCCAGGCGAAGCTTCTACAACCCACCAAGCTGAAATGTCACTGCACATGCTCAGAGGCGCCCTTTGCTATAGGGCACCGCAAATGGGCTTCGTTATGGGTTCCCAATGGAGGAGAAAAGGTGTTTTACCTGAAGGAGGACTTTCACGCACTGGGGCTGGCAAGCGATGGTGGCGAGGTGCAACGCTGTGCTGCCTGCAAAAAAAAAGAAACACAAAATAAGAGGGCTGGAAGGGACCCCAGAGGTCTTCTAGTCCAACCCCTGCTCAAGCAGGAGAGCCTATCTACCTCGTTACATAAATGGGTGTCCAATCTCTTCTTCGAAACCTTCAGGGTTGGCGCAGCCACAACAGATGAACAGGGTCGGAAGGGACCATGTAGGTCATCTAGTCCAACCCCCAGCCCCCAACCCCCGCCCAAGCAGGAGACCTTGCACCGTTTCTGACAGATGGCAGCCCGGTCTCTTCTTCGAAACCATCGGTGTTGGAGCAGCCACAACAGAAGGAGGAGAGCGTCTCCTCAAACCTGTGTCAGACCTGGAAGCCATCTTTTACATTTGGGCCTTCAGGCTGCTGAAAGATGGCTGGACTTCAGCTCCCAGAATTCTATGGATAAATATGATTTGCTCAATCAGGGTTAAAACTGATTTAGTCCATCATCTTTGGTCCCCACACTATAAAAAAAAGACGTTGAGAATCTAGAAGAAGTGTAGAGAAGAGCAACCAGGATGATGAGGGGACTGGAGGCTCAAACATACGATAAACGGTTGCAGGAACTGGGCCTGGCTAGTCCAGTGAAGAGAAGGACCAGGGGAGACAGGAGAGCATCTTCCAATATCTGAGGGGCTGCCACAGAGAGGAGGAAGGGGGTCAAGCTATTCTCCAAAGCACCCGAAGGCCAGACAAGGAACAATGGATGGAAACTGACCAAGGAGAGATTCAACCTGGAAATAAGGAGGAATTTTCTGACAGTGAGAACAATCAACCCATGGAACAGAAGTTGCCTTCGGGAAGTTGTGGGAGCTTCATCCCTGGAGGCTTTCCAGAAGAGACTGGACTGCCATTTGTCAGAAATGGTGTAGGATCTCCTGCTTGGGGGGGGGTTGGACTAGATGACCCACAAGGTCCCTTCCAACTCTGTTAATCTGTAATATGAAGAACGGTTGCAGGAACTGGGCCTGGCTAGTCTAGTGAAGAGAAGGACCAGGGGAGACAGGAGAGCATCTTCCAATATTTGAGGGGCTGCCCCAGAGAGGAGGAAGGAGGTCAAACTATTCTCCAAGGCACCTGAAGGCCAGACAAGGAAGAATGGATGGAAACTCATCAATGAGAGATTCAACCTGGAAATAAGGAGAAATTTTCTGACAGTGAAAACAATCAATCAAAGTTGCCTTCGGAAGTTGTGGGAGCTTCATCCCTGGAGGCTTTCAAGAAGAGACCGGACTGCCATCTGTCAGAAATGGTGTAGGATCTCCTGCTTGGGCAGGGGGTTGGACTAGATGACCCACAAGGTCCCTTCCAACTCTATCAATCTTCCCTTGTCCTGTAATCACTAATTGACTGTTGCAAATTTGCTGGTACAGTTAGTCCTCAATGTACAACCATTCATTTAGCAACTGTTCCAAGTTACCCCGGCACTGAGTTCCCACAACACACTAAGCCTTAAGGACGAATCCGATGTTAGCCTCGTCTACAATGTGATGTGACCCGCAGGCATTGTTAACCAATTGACTCCTGACCTTTGCGGACATGTTAGCTCAGACCTGAGCATTTTATAGTCTGCCAGCCACATCTGGCCCTTTGGCTGTTCCCAGGTCTGGCCTGCGTGAGGTCCATCGGAAATTAGAAATCAAATGTTGAATAGATTAAAATCAAATTTTTGTAGACGTGCACGTACATCATACAACTGCGTGGCTGTTATTTTGATGACAAACTGCTATTTTTTTTTGTTTTCAATTTAGGGAGGTGCTTGCCTGCCTTCACAACTTTGTTGGTTCGGCCCTCCACGGCAATATCACAATAACAGAGTTGCAAGGGACCTTGGAGGTCATTTAGTCCAACCCGGCGCTCTGGCTGGAAACCCCTAGACCATTTCAGACAAATGGTTGTCCAATCTCTTCTTAAAGACCTCCAATGATGGAGCACAACTTCTGGTGGCAAGCTGTTCCATTGGTTAATGGTTCTCATTGTCAGGAAGTTTCTCCTTAATTCCAGGTTGCTTCTCTCCTTGATTAGTTTCCATCCGTTGCTTCTTGTCTTGCCTTCGGGTGCTTTGAGAATAAGTTGAGCCCTTCCTCTTCTTTGGGGCAGCCCCTCAAATATTGGAATACTGCTATCATGTTCTCCCTAGTCCTTCTTTTCACTAGACTAGACTTACTCAATTCTTGCAACCTAAATAAATTTTAGCCTCCAGGGCCCACTAATCTTTTTCTTTTGTTGCTCTTTTCTGCATTCTTTGCAGTTCAGCATCTTTTTTGTAAGAAAGACAAAAAAGTCTTTCTGTCCTAATTGGGGGGGATCTAAAGCCACCAGGAGCTCAAACTAGATTCAAGAGACTTCCTGGCGACTTGGTAGGATCCCTGGGGAAAACTTTTTATTCACGTTTTAAGTTCTGCTAAGGTGTGCACAACTGACGATGATCAAACGGGCTGTTTAAAAAGCAGCAACAGCCACTCCTCTTATGCGGTTGCGAAAAAGCTGCCGCACTTGGAAGGAAGATTTAATTTGGGGGCCTCCTGCATGGAGGAGGAAAGTCATAGAGGTTCACAGAATCCGAGGGCTGGAAGGGACCTTGGAGGTCTTCTAGTCCAACCCCCACCCCACCCAGACACCATTTCTGACAAATAGCAGTCCAGTCTCTGCAACCGTTCTTCATACAATTTTAGCTCCAGCCTCCTAATCTTCTTTGTGGCTCTTCTCTGCACTCTTTCCAGAGTCTCAACATCTTTTTTTTATAACGTGGCAACCAAAATGGGATTCAGTATTCCATGGGTGGTCTTACTAAGGCTTTGTAAAGCGGTATTAACACTTCACGTGATCTTTATCTCATCCCTCTGTTGATGCAGTCTTAGTTTTCCATGTGGCCCCTTGGGAAAATTAATTGCCCACCCCAGAGCCTCATAACCAGGGATGGGATTCAGCCGGTTCGGAGCGGTTCAGGCAAACCGGATGCTAATTTTACATCTGGTTTGCCGAACCAGTAGTTGCAAGGACTGGCTGGCCCCGCCCACCCCTCCCTCCCCTCCCCGGAGTCTCCAAACGGCCCGTTTTGGATGCCAGGTAAGTGCAGGGCCCACACGGAGGCTCTGGGAGGGTGAAAAACAGGCCTCGCGGAAGTTCTGGTAGGCCTCAAGGGCATGGGGAAGGCCTTTCTCACCCTCCCAGATGCTTGAGAAAGCCTCCGGAGCCTGGGGGAGGACAGGCCTACCAGAAGTACCGGAAGTCTGGAAACAGCCCATTTCTGGCGTCCGTAGGGCATCCGGAGCCCAGGGGAGGCCGTTTTCATCCTCCCAGAGTCTTGAAAAGCCTCCGGAGCCTGGGGAGGATGAAAAACAGGCCTACCGGAAGTACCGGAAGTCTGGAAACAGCCCATTTCTGGCCTCCGTAGGGCCTCCGGAGCCCAGGGAGGCCGTTTTTCATCCTCCCAGAGTCTTGAGGAAAGCCTCCGGAGCCTGGGGAGAGCGAAAATGCCTCACCCACCCACCGTGGTGGGGCCCACCATGGCTACGACCACCTAGCAACCGGGCAGAGAACCGGCTGCTAAAGTTTTTGAATCCCACACCATAGCCTCATGACCTCAGAGCAAAGGAAAGAAGGGGGGAAGGGGGCTCTTGAAATGTCTCCATCCTCCATCTTCTCCTGATCCTCTCTTACCAGTCAGATGTCTCTCAAAGATAGAAAACTTGGAAATGACTCTGGTCGGCAAAACCCAGCCAACCTCTTTGTGCAAATGTCCTGGGAAAAAGGGGAGGAGGAAGGGGGTCTTTGGGGTGGTACCAGTGGTAGGTTGCCCCCGGTTCGCACCGGTTCTATAGAACCGGCAGTAAAACCGGCGGGAGGCTCCGCCCACCATCCCCGACGTCATCAAAATACTTCTGCGCATGTGCAGAAGCTTCTGTGCACGCGCGCAGCCCCGTTGCGAACTGGTAGTAACGGTAAGTAGAACCCACCCCTGGGTGGTACCCACCATCCTCGTTCTTATCGTTGACGTCGGCCCCATGGGTGAGCAGGATGGTGAGGCACTCCGTGAGCCCCTTGGAAGCCGCCAGATGGAACCTGCAATAAAGAGACCCCCCAAAAATCAGAATTTTCCACCAGGAAAGCCTAGGAATTCCATAGAAAATTTGAGAAAAGCCCCCCCCCCCCGCTTCCTTGGCAAAACGAATGGGACAACTCGCCGTGGGACCTTTCGCCACATGGACATCTTGCCATGACGCACCTCGCCACAGGACAATTCAAGAAAAAGAAAAGTTACTTAGATTGGACATCCAAGAAATAGATATAAATGGAGACTTAAGAGAGGAATGTGGGAGGGAAGTAAAAAAAAAAAAAAGCATAGCAATTGAAGTATTGAAGCGGGTAAGAGGCGATGGGTAGATGATCTTCATCTTTATTGTTGTTCTGATTCGCCTTTCCGTTTTCCTCTCTTATCTTTTAAAACGTAGCAATCAAAGTATAAAGCGGGCAAGAGATGATGGATGGATGATTCTTGACATCACTCACAGCCACGCAGTCACATGACACCCCCCACACCTAGCCACGCCCACAGAAAAAGGTAGGAAGATGTTTTGAATTTTCTACCTACCTACTTATTTTCTGCTCAGGCCTGGCCTAAACTATCAAAGGCCTCCTCCCGCATGCCACCCCGCCCTCCCTTCGCCAGTCGCACGCGTTACCCGTTTCCCCTCCTTCAGCGGCCCCGGCCCTAGCCCCACTTCCTCTCCCACCATCGCCTCTTTCTTCGGGCTGCTTACCTTCCCCCAGCGATGGCTGGTCCAGAGTCCGGAAGACAAGCTGGCCTTCAGTAGTTTTCGGCGGCCTCCAACCAGCCGCTGCTGCCGGGAAGCGGCTGGCAAAGAGGCGGCGGCTGGGAGGCTTCTTGCAGTCGCATGGAAAAAGATAAAGCCTCCCGAAAAAGCCGCTGCCGTCGCATCCCATTGCTTGCTGGGTCGCGCTCGGACTGACGCATCCCATTGCCTGCTGCGTCAGTCCGAGCGCGACGCAGCAGGCAATGGGATGCGCGTGCGAGGCCGGTGCGAAGAGCAGGGCGGTGATGGCCGCGGATTTTTCGGCGACCTCCGTAGTTTTTGGTGGCTTGGGAGGCTTTTCCTTTTTTGATGTGACTGTGAGAAGCCTCCAAGCTGCTACCTCTTTCCCAGCCGCTTCCCGGCAGTCGGGCGGGCGGGCGGAGCAAGTGAGTAGTGTTAAGTTCGTAACCTGTGCGTGGATGTCGACTGAGGCGAGACTAACTCAACTGATTTATTGTTAACCACACAAGTAACCAGAACGCTTCAGAAACACTTACAACAGAGCCGCTATTTATACACCGGCTGTCAGAAAGGTCTAGCCAATAACAAACGCCTGTGCTTCCCGCCGAGAGAGCTGTCATCTTAGTAGCCAATCAGAAACGCCCCCTGGTTGCTGGCAGCAACGGGGCAGAGGACGCTACAAGCGGCGACGGGGCTACCGGTTCGAGGGTGTGGCCAGCCAGCGGCCGCTACGGTTCCACAACCCAGGCCAAATTACAACTACCGGTTCGGGTGAACCTGTGTGAACCGGAATAAACCCACCACTGGTTTCAGACCATCCTAGCTAAACCAAGTCCCAGGGAGCGGCAGTTGCCCTTTGGGTCATACTGTCCCTCTCGAAGGCCGAGGGGAAAGACTTACGTACGCAGATTGTCCCAGGGCGTTGAGCTTGGTGGGGTGAGCCGTCTTCCTCGAGGCAAAAAGGGACGTCCGGGTCACGTCCCCTTTCTCAACGGCGTCAAACAGCTTCTGGTCATGCTTGTTCCAGCTTTCGATCTGGAAGGCGAAAGAATACAGAACAACAACGTTGGAAGGGACCTTGAAGGTCATCTAGTCCAACCCCCTACTCAGGCAGGAAAAACGATACCATTTCAGACAAATGGTTAACAGATTAAACAGGGTTGGAAGGGACGTTGGAGGTCAACTAGTCCAACCCCCCGCCCAAGCAGGAGGCCCTACACCATTTCTGACAGAAGGGCAGTCCAGTCTCTTCTTGAAAGCTTCCAGTGATGAAGCTCCACAACTTCTGAAGGCAACTTCTGTTCCATGGGTTGATTGCTCTCACTGTCAGGAATTTCCTCCTTATTTCCAGGTTGAATCTCTCCTTGTTCATTTTCCATCCATTCTTCCCTGTCTAGCCTTCAAAGGCACTTTGGAAAACAGCTTGACCCCTTCCTCCTCTTGGGGCAGCCCCTCAAATACTGGAAGATGCTCTCCTGTCTCCCCTGGTCCTTCTCTTCACTAGACTAGCCAGGCCCAGTTCCTGCAACCGTTCATTGTATGTTTTAGCCTCCAGTCCCCTCATCATCCTGGTTGCTCTTCTCTGCACTTTTTCTAGATTCTCAACGTCTTTTTTTATAGTGTGGTGACCAAAACTGGATGCAGGACTCTAGGTGTGGCCTTACTAAGGCTTTATAGAGTGGGATTAGTACCATCACTTGATCTTGATTCCATCCCTCTGTTAATGCAGTTTAGGACTGCATTGGCTTTTTTGGCAGCTGCAACGCCCAGCTGACCATTTGGTGGGATGCAGGCTTTGCAAGAAGCTGAGATCAAATCGGTTGTGGGAATGGAGACTAGAAGGGACTTAAGCAATTGGTAATAAGCTGGGATCCTGAAATGTGAGAGTAGCGATGTATGGTTAAGAACGAACCGTGTTTCATAATACCTCCCTGTAAAATGTGTTCAAATGGTCGATGGCTTTAGGCGAATTACAGGCGGATAATAATTTGCGTCTCTCTGCACCGACATTTCTTCTCAGCAAAGAAAGGGAATACAGGTAGTCCTCGATTTACCACACTTCATTTAGTGACCAAAGTTACAACAGTCACTTAGAAAAAAGTGACTTAGGAGTGTTTTTCACAGTTCTTTGCAACACCCCCTCTGGCCATGTGATCGAAATTCGGATGCTTGGCAAACTGACTCATATTTATGATGGTTTCAGTGTCCCAGGGTCATGTTTTGTTTTGTTTTGTTTTGTTTTGTTTTTATTTTGTTTTTTTTATGGGGTCCCTTGTGCTCTCTGAGCTTGCTGGTTTTCTTGCAGACATCTCATGAACCAACTAGGTAACATGATCAGTGCAAGGACCCCACAGTTCAACCTTGAGGCACAAATATTTCTTCTATCTATTTTATTCTATTTTATTTTATCTTATTTTATTATTTTATTTTATTTTACTCTATTTTATTCTATTTTTATTTTATTATTCATTTTAATATTTATTTTATTTTATTCTATATTTTATTTTATTCTATTTCATTTCATTTCATTTTTTTATGTATTTATTTATTTTATTTTTTATTTAAAATTTTATTTATTTATTTATTTATTTTATATTTATTCATTTTATTTATTTTATTTTATTTATTTATTCTTTTATATTATTCTATATTTTATTTAATTCCATTTTATCCTATTTTTGTTTTGTTTTGTTTATTTTATTATTTATTTTAATATTTATTTCATTTCGTTTTATTCTATTTCATTTCATGTTATTTTTATTATTTATTTTTATTTTATTTTATTTATTTTGTTTTGTTCATTTCATTTTAATCTATTTCATTTCATTTTATTTCATTTTTTATTTTATTTCATTTATTCATTTAATTTTTATTATTTCATTATGTTTTATTTTGTTATTTATTTATTTCATTATTTTTTATTGTATTTTATTATTTATTTATTTCATTTTTTTATTGTATTTATTATTATTTATTTTATTTCATTATTTTTTTTATTGTATTCTATTATTATTTATTTTATTATTTTATTTATTAAATAGACTGGTATTGAAGTTGAGCTTCAATACCAGTCTGTGGTGCCCTGTGGGGAGTGAACACGCCTTCGCTTTTCAGCCCCAACTCAGCCTTGGCCGAGGAACTCTGCCTCCCTCCCGCTGCCCCCGCCCCCGGCGCCCTTGGCCGGATCCCCATGCTGCCTCTGGAGCCTCGGTTGCCGCCTTCCCTCTGTGCTGTTTGCTTTGGCAAGCAGATCAGTTTCGGGGAAGTGAAGTGCTGGCTGGGTCTTCATGACAGGAAAAAAAAAATCCGGTTGTGAAGACACTGCATGACAAAGCCACACGCCCTGTTGTTGTCGGAGGGGAGATTGTGCAAGGCCACACACCCGGCTCTCGCCCGAGCCCAAATTATGCTGAGAGAAGGGAAGGCTGGGCGTTGGCAGAAGGCGGCGTCCCTCTCTTGGGTCATTCAGTTCTCAAGAGATCAGAAGAGAATCTGCTCTTGTTCCTGGAGAGAAGTTCTCGGTTCACTGATGAGGCCTCTCTTTTTATAGAATCGTGGAGTTAGAAGGGTGTCAGGGTTCCGGATGGATGCCCTACTTAAATCATGAGCCTCGAGCCAAGCTTCAAAAGAAGTCCAGTTATTTATTAGGAGCTTCATGTCGGCACTTTCCCAAGTGAAGCCAGCTCTGACCCTACGTAATTTACGCCCCAATCATGACCCTGTTTCCCCCCTTCCCACAGGGTGTGTCACCAATCACATTCGCCAACGGAACAATTTCGCGGGTTGTAGAAGTCACTCCCTTCTGGCCGCTGTGGGTAACCCTGGGATACAGCCTTGAGAGAGATAAGTCTGGAATGTGCATCTGTCTTTGACTGTTTCGCTGGTTTCCCATCCCCCTTGCCTACGGCAACTCGAGAGGCCAGGGATGATTTGCGAGTTGACAAAGGGGCCTTTGAGGTTATTTAGCCCAACCCCTACTCAGTGCAGGAGCCACTGCAGTCTCTCTGATAGATGACTGTCCAGCCTCTGTAATGGTGTGTTCTAGGAATGAACTTGAGAGATAAGGACAAGATCCTGCCTAGGGGAACCATCAGATACAGAAGAACAGAGTTGGAAGGGGCCTCAGAGGTCTTCTAGTCCAACTCCCTGCTGAAGCAGGAGACCTTATCCCAGAGTGGCTGTCCAGTCTCTTCTTAAAAGCCTCCAGTGATGAAGCACCCACAACTTCTGGTGGCAAGCTGTTCCACTGGCTAAATACTATTCTCATTGTCAGGAAATTTCTCCTTAATTCCAGGTTGCTTCCCTCCTTGATTAGTTCCCATCCGTTTCTTCTTGTCTTGCCTTCTGATGCTTTGGAGAATAGGTGGACCCCCTCCTCTCTATGGCAGCCCCCCAAATATTGGAAGATTGCTCTCATATCACCCCTAGTCCTTCTTTTCTTTAGGATCCTGGAGGCTAAAACATACGATGAACGGTTGCAGGAACTGGGCCTGGCTGGTCTAGGGAAGAGAAGGACCAGGGGAGACAGGAGAGCATCTTTCAATATCTGAGGGGCTGCCCGAGAGGAGGAAGGGGGTCAAGCTATTCTCCAAAGCCCCCAAAGGCCAGACAAGGAAGAATGGATGGAAACTGACCAAGGAGAGATTCAACCTGGAAATAAGGAGGAATTTTCTGACAGTGAGAACCATCAACCGATGGAACAGAAGTTGCCTTCGGAAGTTGTGGGAGCTTCATCCCTGGAGGCTTTCAAGAACAGACGGGACTGTCATTGGTCAGAAATGGTGTAGGGTCTCCTGCTTAGACGGGGGTTGGACTAGATGACCTACAAGGTCCCTTCTAACTCTTTTAATTTGTTTTCGTTAAACTAGACATACTGGCCTAGACATAAAAGGGGCGGGGGGGGGGGGGAGACAGCCTCAATTGCATAACTGGAAGAGAAAGAAACTCAGAAAGGATCCACCCTCAATTATCAGGCGGTAAAAGGCGACTGTGAGAGATTTGTCCTTTCAGATCTGCAAGATTTCTGTTATTGTAGCTTTACAATAGAAATAGAATTAGCTCCTCATGTTTCCTGACCCACCCTCTTTCATTTCAAAGGCCCAAGTTTTCATTGTTTCTGTGACAATCCTCTATTTGGGGAGGACACAAAAGGGCCAACTCAACCATTTGGGGGAAATGACCCCATAATGAGAGGCCTGAATAAGTGGGGGAGCTTTTTTCTTCTCCCTAAAACATTCTTCTCCTTTGGGGAAACCTTTTAATTCTGTGCCCTTTTATCGCTTCAACTCAGGGTCTTCCGGAAGTGAAGTTCAGCCTGCTGTCAAAAGTTTTCAGTTTTTCACTTTTATACTCCATATTTATAAAACTCGGGAAAAGAGGAGGAAAAAGAGGGAGGGAGCAAGGAAAGAAGGAAGGGAGGAAGGGAGGGAGGGAGGGAGGGAGGGAGGGAAGGGAAGGGAAGGGAAGGGAAGGAAAAGATAGAAAGAAAGAAAGAAAGAAAGAAAGAAAAGAAAGAAAGAAAGAAAGAAAGTAAGAAGAAAGAAAAGAAAGACACACAGAGAGAGAGATAAAGGGAAAGAAAGAAAATAGAAAAAGGAAAGATAAAAGGAAGGAAGAAAAAAGAAGGAAAGAAGGAAGGAAGGGAGAGAGGGAAGGAAAAGAAAGAAAGAAAGAGAGGAGGGAGAGAGATAAAGAAGAAAGAAAGAGAGGGAGGGAGAGGGAGGAAGGAAGGAAGGAGAAAGAAAGAGAGAAGGGGAAGGAAGGAAAGAAAGAATGAAAGAAAAGGAGGGAGGGAGAAAGGAAGGAAGGAAGAAAAAAAGAGAGAAAGGAAATAGAAAAAGGAAAGGAAAAAAGGAAAAGAAAAAAGGAAAGAAGGAAAGAAAGAGAGAAAGAGTGAGAGAAAGAGAGTAAGAGAAAATAAAAAAGGAAAGAATAGAAGAAGAAAAAGGAAAAAGAAAGAAAGAAAGGAGGAAAAGAGAGAGAGAGAAAGAAAGAAAATAGAAAAAAGGAAAGGAAAGGAAAGAAAAATGAAAGAAAGCGGAGAGGAAGGAAGGAAAGAAAGAAATAGAAGGAAATAAGGGAGGAAGGCAAAGAAAGAGGAAAGAAAAAAAGAAAAAGGAAGGAAAGAAAGGAAGGAAGATGGAAAGAAAGAAGAAAGAAAGAAAAGAAGAAAGGAAAGGATAGGAAGGAAGGAAGGAAAAGAAAGAAAGAAAAGAAAAGAGAAAAGAAAGAAAAAAAGAAAGAAAGAAAGGAATGGAAGGAAGGAAGGAAGAGGAAGGAAGGAAAGAAAGAAAGAAAGAAAGACAAAGAAAGAAAAGAAAAGAAAAAGAAAGGAAAAGAAAGAAAGAAAGAAGAAAGAAAGAAAGAAAGAAAGAAAGAAAGAAAGAAAGAAAGAGAAAAAAAGAGCAGGCAAGGAGAACCTGCCTAACAGCTTCAGGGCAGAGAGTGCAGTTGGCCTCCCATCAACCGTCCTCTTTGCAAAACACCCAAAACATATTTGGAAAGTGACATAATTTAGAAGACGAAACGAACTCAGCCAGCCTAATGGTATGTCTTTGTTTATTTATTTCGAATTCTACGGGTAGGATTATTGCCCTCCTTGTTTTTCCTCTATTTCCATTTCGGAAGCTCCCCCCACCCCCCCGTCTAGTGATTTTGCCTCCTTTGAGAAGAAATTCCTCCTCCCAACTCTGCTAGCGCTGTGATCTCCAGATTGGCCCTGGGGGGAGAGGGGGGGGCGGCGTTATGGAGTTCTCGATTTCTGGATCCAACCCTCTCTTTACCCAACTCTCTTTCCGACACTCCCTGCTTGGACAGATGGCGGACCTGGTGCTGCCGCGGCCATCATTTCCTCAGGATCTTTGGCCCCCTTGGAGAAAGGGCCCCAAACTTGCCAGCGGCAAAATCCAGCGGCATCCGAGCCTTCTTCTCGGTTGCATAGTTGGAGGGGGGGGGCAACACCAGGGGTGGGGCTTCAAAAATTTTAGCAAGGGGTTCTCTGCCTGGTTTGGGGTGGGCGTGGCCCAGTCAGCCTCCTGCACCACGGCGGGCGGGTAGGGAGCTTTTTGCCCTCCCCGGGCTCTGGAGGCTTTTCATGAGCCTCCGCGGGGAGGCGGCGAAAAGGGCCTCCCCAGGCTCCAGAGGCCCTCTGGAGGCCGGAAACGGGCCTGTTTCCGGCCTTACCAAACTTCCGCTAGACCCGTTTTTCGCCCTCCCCGAACCTCTGCGCGTGCGCTGCACTTAGTGTGGGTCGTGTGGGGAATTCTGGGAGAGGCGGGGGCGGGGGAGGCGGGGCCAGCCAGGAATGGGATTTGGGGGTTTTCTCCGAACTGCACATAATCTTAGCTAGAGGTTCTGCCGAATCCCTGCGAACCCCCAGCGGCCCACCCCTGGCAACACCCACAAAAGGAAGGATATTGAAGCAACAAGAGAAAAACATTTCCACAGCAGCTGCCACTTCCGGAGAAGCTGAAGTTATGCACAATGAAGTCCCCGAGGATGGATCTAATCCGAGGACAGAGCAAGACTGAACAATTAAGAAGCGACGTGGCGCTCCCATGTAACACCTCTCCTGCGCGAGCTGCACTGGCTCCCGATGGTCTTCCGAGTGCGCTTCAAGGTTTTGGTTATCACCTTTAGAGCGCTCCATGGCTTAGGACCTGGTTATTTACGGGACGCCTGCTACCACCTTAGCCTCCCACCGACCAGTACCCTCCCATCGAGAGGGGCTCCTCCGGGTGCCGTCGGCCAAACAATGTCGACTGGCGGCCCCCAGGGGGAGAGCCTTCTCTGGGGGGGCACCTACCATCTGGAACGAGCTTCCCCCCGGAGATACGGAGGATCCCGGATCTGCGTACCTTCCGTCGCGCGCTCAAGACGTTCTTATTTCATCAAGCTGACCTGACCTAAGTCTTTTCCCTTTTTAAATGGAAATTTTAAATTTGGTTTTAAATTATTGGGGTTTTAAATTTGTTCAGGCCCAAATTATTTAATTCGTTTATTCTATTTTAAATTTTGTATTTATATGTTTTATTCTATGGCTGTTCACCCGCCCTGAGTCCTTTGGGAGTAGGGCGGTATACAAATTCAATAAAATAAAATAAAATAAAATTCAATAAAATAAAATAAAATATAAATAAAATAAAATAATAAAATAAAATAAATAAAATTCAATAAAATAAATAAAATAATAAAATAAAATAAAATAAAATAAAATAAATAAAATAAAATAAAATAAAATAAAAAATAAAATAAAATAAAATAAAATAAAATAAATAAAATAAAATAAAATAAAATAAAATAAAATAAAAAAGAATAATAATTGTTGGCACAATTTCCACAACTGAATTGAATTCCTTTATAATGCCTTGCTAAGACCACATTTGGAATATTGCATCCACTTTTGGTTGCCACAATACTAAAATAATGATGCGGAGACTCTAGAAAGAATGCAGAGAAGAGCAACAAGAGGATTGGGGACTGGAGGCTAAAACATAGGAAGAACGGTTGCAGGAACTGGGTATGTCTAGTTTGATGAAAAGAAGGAATAGGGGAGACAGGATAGCAGTCTTCCAATATCTCAGGGGCTGCCCCAAAGAAGAGGGAGTCAAGCTATTCTCCAAAGCCCCTGAGGGCAGGACAAGAAGCAACGGGTGAAAACTCATCAAGGAGAGAAACAACCTGAAATTAAGGAGAAACTTCCTGACAGTGAGGACAATTCACCAGTGGAACAGCCTGCCACCAGAAGTGGCACCAGAAGAAGAGACTGGATAAGCATTTATCTGAAATGGTGTAAGGTTTCCTGCTTGAGCAGGGGGTTGGACTAGAAGACCTCCAAGGTCCCTTCCAACTCTCTGCTCAATATTTTCCCCAATGATTTTTCTCAGCTGGGACTGAAGCTTGGAATATCCGAACCAGGACATACATTCATGTCCCTCTGACCAGGTGCAGAGTGCCTTCTACACATTGAGCCCTAATATTGACAGCTAGCTTTCAACCCTGCGAAGTAGACCAGACCTGAAAATCAAGAGAGGTGAAAACTACAGGTAGTCCTCGATTTACGACCACCATTGAGCCCAAAATTTATGTTGCTAAGTGAGACACTTATTAATTGAGTCCCTTCCCCCCTTTTTATGACTTTTCTTGCCACATTTGTTAGAGGAATCACTTGCAGGTGTTAATTTAGTCACCCTGTCGTTAAGTGAATCCATTGACTTTGCTTGTCAGGTCTCAAAAAGGGGATCACGACTGTCGTAACTATGAGTCACTTGCCAGACGTCTGAATTTTGATCATGGGACTATGGGGATAACTACAACGGTTGCAAGTGTGAAAAATGGTCATAAGTCACTTCTTTCAGTGCGTTGTAACTTCAAACGGTCACTAAACGAATCATTGCCGCATCCCCGCGGTCACGTGATCAAAATTTGAATGCTTGGCAACTGACTCATATTTATGACGTTTGCAGTGTCCTGGGGGGGGTCACACGATCCCCTTTTTTACGACCTTCTGATGAAGCAAAATCAATGGAGAAGCCTGATTCATTTAACAACCGTGTTACTCACTCCACAACTGCAATGATTCACTTAACAACTGCAGCAAGAAAAGTCGTAAAATGGGCCAAAAGAAACCCGCTTAACAAATGTCTCGCTTAGCAACGTAAGTGTTGGGCTCAACTGCGGTCGTAACTCGAGGACTGGCCTGTGCACAAAATGAGTAAGCGTTTGAATTGTGAAAATCCAGCTTTTGTCTTTACCGGTTGCATGAATCTGGGCCATTGCCTGCAGCCAGCCAGGACCTGGGATTGCAATATAAATTTGAATATTCTCCATTGCAAAACATTTTTGTGAGCTTGAAATAATTATTTATTTATTTGTTTGTTTGTTTGTTTGTTTGTTTGTTTGTTTGTTTGTTTGTTTCAATCTCTATACCGCCCTTCTCCAAATAGGAGTCAGGGTGAACAGCCAAAGTAAAAAACAGGACATACAAAATTTAAAAACAGTTTAAAATAATTAGATATTTTGGCCGTAAATTAAAACAACCAATTTAAAATCAATTTAAAATTTAACTCAAGCCAGCCCAGCTAGTTGAAATAAATAGGTTTTAATTATTTGGAACGAGAAGAGTTTTTCTCACTTAGCAACATCAATTTTGGGCTCAAATTTTAGTCGTACGTTGAGGACTACCTGTAGAACTCTAAATGTTACATGGCTATTGCTATAAAGTAAAGTTGAAAACTACAGCTTGAGTAAGTACAAATTCCCTACCCTTAGGAGCAGACATCCAGGTGCCCCGAGCAACCGAGATGAAGAAGTTTGGGAAAGCACTTAAAATTCCTCTCTTCAATACTGCAAAACATATGGCTCCTCCTAAGCCCGGGCACAGATTCTGGTTTTCCAAGCTCTTTTTTTTTTTTTTTTGCCACCTTAAGGACTAGCAGCTTTGATTCAAAACCGAGGAATAAAACTCAAGATCGCATCGCCTGCAGGTTCGACATTTCTGCTGCTTTTTTAGAAGCCTAATTACAGGTATTTATATCGGAGGTAATGATTTGAGGATAAACCTGCCACCTGTCGATTCGGCAAACGCAGCGCGTCGTTACTCACCGCCACTTCATGGCTGGAACAGGAGAACATTTTCTTCATGGTGGCTGCTTCCTTGCCAACCTCCCCCAAAAAAGGCCAAGGATCTCGCTCTGACCGGAGACGCACCGGACGGACGGCTCAATCCATCTCTGGCAGGAGAGTTTTTCCCAGGTGAGGTGGAATCCAGGAACGGTCAGAGCGCATCTCCGGAGCTGCAGCCGGTTCGAGATCCCGATTCGTGTGGCTGGGAGGGCGCGCTTGAGCTGCCTGAGGGCCTCGGCAGGGAGCTGCCCGGTCCTGCCAGGTGCATTTGCCGCACACCTGTTTCCTCGCTCAGCCAGGCCTGGACATGCCCCAGACGCTCATCTCGGTTAATCTCTCTCGTCGCCTGACTTGAAAGCGAAACATCTTCGGATCCACCCTCCTCCTCCTCCTCCTCCTCTTTCGGCTCTCTCCTCCTGTCACTAACCATCATCGGCATCCAAGAGGAAAAGCCACGATTCACAGTTACAGCTCTGCAAATCCACCAGCCTAAATGCAAGTGGAGACAGGGGCAAGATTTGCAAAAGTTTCCAGTGCAAGAATCGACTCTCCGGCAGCTTCATACCTATCAAGGAAGGAAGGAAGGAAGGAAGGAAGGAAGGAAGGAAGGAAGGAAGGAAGCAAGGAAGGAAGGAAGCAAGGAAGGAAGGAAGCAAGAAAGGAAGGAAGGAAGGAAGGAAGGAAGGAAGGAAGGAAGGAAGGAAGGAAGGAAGCAAGGAAGCAAGGAAGTAAGCAAGGAAGGAAGGAAGGAAGGAAGGAAGGAAGAAAAAGCAAGCAAGCAAGGAAGCAAGCAACGAAGGAAGGAAGGAAGGAAGGAAGGAAGGAAGGAAGGAGGCAAGCAAGCAAGCAAGCAGAATAGAGTTGGAAGGGACCTCGGAGGTCTTCTAGTCCAACCCCTTGCTCAAGCAGGAGACCCAGGGGTGGGCTGCTGGGGGTTCGCAGGGGTTCGGGAGAACCTCTACCTAAGATTCTGTGCAGTTCGGAGAACCCGCAAATCCGTCCTGGGTGGCCCCCGTCTACCCCTCCCCTCCCAGGAGTCCCCACGCAGCCCATTTTGGATGCAGGTAAGTGCAGGGCCACGCATGGAGGCTCGGGGAGGGCGAAAATTGGGCCTACCGGAAGCCCGGGCCCGTTTCCAGCCTCTGGAGCCTGGGGAGGCCGTTTTCGCCCTCCCGGAGGCTCGAAAAAAGCCTCCAGAGCCTGGGGAGGGCAAAAACGCCTCCCCCCCCCCACCATGGTGCAGGAGGTGGACTAGGCCATGCCCACCATGGCCACGCCCACCCAGCAACCGGGCAGAGAACCCCTTGCTAAACTTTTTGAAGGCCACCCCTGAGGAGACCCTATATATACCATGTCAGACAAATGGTTGTCCAATCTCTTCTTAAAAATATCCAGTGATGAAGCACCTGTCAGGAAGTTTCTCCTTAATTCCAGGTTGCTTCTCTCCTTGATGAGCTTCCCTCCATTGTTTCTTGTCCTGCCTTCGATTGCTTTGGAGAAGAAGTTGACTCTGTCTTCTTTGAGGCAGCCCCTCAAATATTGGGATATTGCTTCTATCTCCAATCTTTGCTTTCATCTGGCTTTTTAAAGAGATGTCTCTGCTGTTGCTGCTTTGCTTAAACACAGAGAGAGAGAGACAGAGAGACAGAGGGACAGAGAGAGAGAGATAGAAAGAGAGACAGAGGGACAGAGAGAGAGAGAGACAGAGACAGAGGGACAGAGAGAGAGATAGAAAGAGAGAGAGGGACAGAGACTCACACAGAGACAGAGAGACAGACAGACAGACGAACAGAGAGAGATAGAAAGAGAGAGAGGGACAGAGAGAGAGAGAAAGAGAGAGAGGGACAGAGAGAGACAGAAACAGAGACAAACAGAGAGAGAGAGAGACAGAGGGACAGAGAGAGAGATAGAAAGAGAGAGGGACAGAGAGACAGACAGGGACAGAGAGAGAGATAGAAAGAGAGAGAGGGACAGAGAGACAGAGAGACAAAGAGAGAGAGACAGAGAGAGAAAGAGAGACAGAGAGGGACAGAGAGAGAGATAGAAAGAGAGAGAGAGGGACAGAGAGACAGAGATACAAAGAGAGAGAGAGAGACAGAAAGAGAGACAGAGAGGGACAGAGAGAGAGATAGAAAGAGAGAGAGAGGGACAGAGAGACAGAAACAGAGACAAACAGAGAGAGAGAGACAGACAGAGGGACACAGAGAGAGATAGAAAGAGAGGGAGGGAGGGAGGGAGGGAGAGAGAGAGGGGGGGCACTGGTCCTCTTCCAAGTGACAGATGCAGCTCTCCTGTTTCCCAACCAGTGCTAAAGGGAAGGAGACCCCTTCTCGGAAACCGATACCCGTTGTGCAAAACCATTAACGATTTTTTTCCCGCAAGCATCTTTATTTTGGCCTTTTGACATCCTGACCCCTGACCGGAGGCGGTTTCGTGGGACTCTTTCTTTCGGCCCTCCGAGATTTCCTAAGGCCTCTGACGCCATCTCACCTTAACTCTAGAAACTTGGCTTTAGAAAGCAAAGCCCGGAAAAAACCAAGAGAGGCTGTCTGAGCTCTTGCACGCAACCGTCTCCAGACTGGAATGCGTATGTGACGAGGATGGACTGACTATCGGCCGGGAAGATCTTTGCCCGAGGCGATTGTGCCGCGGGATTTCAGAATAAGAGAACGGAATGACAGAGTTGGAAGGGACCTTGGAGGTCTTCTAGTCCAACCCCCTGCTCAAACAGGAGACCCTAGACAATTCCAGACAAATGGCTGTCCAATCTCCTCTTAAAAACCTCCGGTGATGGAAAACTCACAACTTCTGGAGGCAAGCTGTTCCACTGGCTAATTGTTCTCACTATTTCTCCTTAGTTCTAGACTGCTTCTCTCCTTGGTTAGTTTCCATCCATTGCTTCTTGTCCTGCCTTCAGGTGCTTTGGAGAATAATTTGACTGCCTCTTCTTTGTGGCAGCCCCTCAAATACTGGAATACTGCTATCATGTCCTCCTTAGTCCTTCTTTTCACTAGATTAAAGGTAAAGGTTCCCTTTGCACATACGTGCTAGTCGTTTCTGACTCTAGGGGGCGCTGCTCATCTCCGTTTCAAAGCCGAAGAGCCAGCGCTGTCCGAAGACGTCTCAGTGGTCATGTGGCCGGCATGACTCAATGCCAAAGGCGCACGGAACGCTGTTAATAATAATAAAATAATAATAAAAATGAAATAAAATAAATAATAAAATAGAATAGAATAAAATAAAATAAAATAATTAAAATTAAATAAATTAAAATTAAATTGAATTAAAATAATAAAATAATAAAATAAAAATAATAATAAAATAATAATAAACATGAAATAAAATAACATAAAATAGAATAAAATTAAATTAAAATTAAAAAATAAAATAAAATAATAAATAAATAAAAATAAATAAATAAAAATAAATAAATAAAAATAAAGTAAATAAAAATAAAAATAAAATAAAATAAAATAATAAAAATGAAATAAGTAATAAAATAGATAGAATATTTATAAAATAAATTTATATTATTTATAAAAAATTAAATAAAAAATAAAAAAGTAAATAATATAAAATAATAAAAATAAAATAAAATAAAATATGAAGATTTAAATTATGTCTCAAAAGGAATCGGTTAAAACATTTCCCCGTCAGCCCTAAAAATGCTAAACTGTGGATTGCTCCGCCCTCTGTTGGTTGAATGAAGTCATTGCGGCTATGTCGTCAATCTTCCTTTACTCAAGCCAATTCTAATGTGTTCAACAAAACCGTTTAGGGCAACTCATGAACTGAATTAAAAAATGAGAGGACTTTTATGTTTCTCCTGAGTTTACCCAGTATGCTGAACTATGGTTAGGTGCTTATGGGATAAGCCACGATTGACCGGCTTCATCGGTCCTGTGGATTACAAATTACATGACTGCCTTCACACAACAAATTACGGTATTTAGTGATGATGGATTCAAGAAATAAAACGGACAATGGACAGAATGGGTACTGTAGCTAAAGGAACGTTTCCTTTATGGCTTTTGCCTTGTTGATCCCACCACATCTTAAGAGACTTTTTCTTTTAAAATGTTTTAATTTTAATTTTGAATGTTTTAATTGGATTTTGTTTTAAATGTTTTTAAACTTTGTTTTGTTTCAAATAGAGGTTTGGATGAGTGATTAAGGCACCAGGCTGGAAACCAGTGAGGTGACTTCAAGCTTCCCCTTTAGGCGTGAAAGCTGGCTGGGTGACTTTGGGACAGTCCCTCTCTCAGCTCAGCCCACCTCGCAGGATTGTTGGTGCAGGAGTCGTGGTGGCGCAGTGGTTAGAGTGTGGTACTGCAGGCTACTTCTGCTGCCTGCTGCTGCCGGCTGCCTGAAATTTGGCAATTCAAATCTCACCAGGCTCAAGGTCGACTCAACCTTCCGTCCTTCCGAGGTTGGTAAAATGAGGACCCAGATTGTTGGGGGCAAGAGGCTGACTCTGTAAACCACTTAGAGAGGGCTGTAAAGCACTGTGAAGCGGTATATAAGTCTAAGTGCTATTGCCTTCCTTCCTTTCTGTTTCCTTCCTTCCTTTTCATTTCCTTTCTTCCTTCAATCCATCCTTCCTTCTTGTTTCCTTCCTTCCTTTTCATTTCCTTCCTTCCTTCCTTTTCATTTCCTTCCTTCCTTCCTGTTAAAATGCAGCATTGCAGGCTAATTCTGCCGACTGCCAGCAGTTTGATCCTGACTGGCTCATGGTTGACTCAGCCTTCCGTCCTCCCGAGGTCAGTAAAATGAGGACGCTATGTGCTAGTCATTCCCGACTCTAGGGGGCGTTGCTCCTTTCCGTTTCAAAGCCAGTCCGAAGATGTCTCCGTGGTCATGTGGCCGGCATGACTCAACGCCAAAGGCGCACGGAACGCTGTTCCCTTCCCACCAAAGGTGGTCCCTATTTATCTACTTGCATTTTTTACGTGCTTTCGAACTGCTAGGTCGGCAGAAGCTGGGACAAGGAACGGGAGCTCACCCCGTTACGTGGCACACTAGGGATTCGAACCGCTGATCTGCCGACCTTTCAATCGACAAGCTCAGCCTCTTAGCCACTGAGCCACCACGTCCCACGCAAGCCTGTTTACTTGTCCCCTAATATTATCTCTACATTTGGAAGTTTCACTTGGCCACAAAGACCTTTCGGTGAATTCTAGATCTTTCTAGAATAAGGCATAAACTGGTGGTAGTAAATGGACTACGGTGTGGAGGGAAAAAAATGAAGATGGTAAAGTATGTTAGATTCCACTCGGTCCCACTAAAATAATGTTGTTGCCCTAAGTCGGGTGTCAGCAACCTGCGGCTCCGGAGCCAAAATTGTGGAAACCTTTTGGGAAGTGTATTTTCTAAAACTTAGCTAATAAGCTAATAATAACCCCCCTTTTTTGGGGGAGTAGTATCATAAGATTATTTATCAATGGAAAGTTAATTTAATCTAGAATGTAATGCAATAACTTTTATGAGGGGTTTGCTATTAGAATAGCAGTTACAGTATAAAGAAGAAAAGGGAAATACGTAGAAAAAATGAGATATGCAAAAATTATCACCCTGTCAGTTAATCCTTAAATTGGGTAACCTTTAGCATGAATGAGGGCCTTACAACGTCTTCCCATGGAGGGAACCAAGTCTTTCAGTTCTGCAGCTGTTCTAATGTGAAACCAAGATTGAATGATGGCTTCTATTAACTGGGTTTTATTGCTGGGTCGCTTCTGACTAACCAGTACCTCGGTGCCTTCCGCCGTGCCCTTAAAACCTTCTTTTTCCAGCAAGCTGGGCTGGCCTAACACTTTTTAAAATGTTTTTAATTGTTTGTTATTGTTTTTAATCATGGGGCCAAATTTATATATCTCTTTTTAATTGTATTTTAATGTTTGTAGTTTATGTTTTTACTTGGCTGTTCACCACCCTGAGTCCTCAGGGAGAAGGGCGGTATACAAATTTAAAAATGAATAAATAAATAAAATTTTTAGTTGGCTCTATAGATTTTCAATTGGGTGAAGGTCTGGGCTATTCCCAGGCCATTCCAGCAGTGGAATAGGATTATCTTGAAACTCCAAAGAAAAAAAAAGTGGGTGTTATTAGCCATCAAACCTCAAAAATGCACTTTTCCAAAAAAAAGGTTTCCGCAATTTTGGCCGCTACTGTATTTACAAAGCCGAAAAAAAGCCAGCGACACAGCCAAGATGGAGACTATTAATGATGCGGGACCACAGCTCTTTGCAACTTTTTTATTATTGTTATATTTTTCTCTAAAAAAAAACAGAAAAGCATATACACCATAGCTCCAAGTGGATAAAAAACAAAGATATGACAGAATAAATAAGCCCGGGAGAGATTTGGCATAGCCTCCTCCGAAAGACAGAAAAGAAGGGGTCCAACTAGCGCAGGGGTCTCCAACCTTGGCAACGTTAAGCCTGGAGGACTTCAACTCCCAGAATTCCCGGCTGGGGAATTCTGGGTGTTGAAGTCCTCCAGGCTTAACGTTGCCAAGGTTGGAGACCCCTGCACGAAGGGGTTACCAAGTCAGCCTTTTTTTCACCTGCCCAGCCAGCCATTAGCTACAAACGGGGGTCTCGGCCTCTGTTCCTCCTGGCCCTTTGCCCTGGCCGAGGGTCTTCCCAGGAGACAAAGCGGCAGAGCAGCAGATCGGAGGGTGGTCGTCCCACCAACGGGTGGGACAGGGGGGAGGTAGGGGTGTAAGCCCCACCCCCACCCCCGGTCGGGTCTCACCGCAGCCAACTCGCCACGGGACAAGAGTTAGACCGATAATTGAAGAAACAGTGGAATAGAATCATGAAAGGAAGGAAGGATGGAAGGGATGAAAATGAAACGTGAATGCCAAAAATTAAAATAATGTTTTAAGTTATCTTGAATAAATTGAATTGTTGAATTGTCCCTGAAGGGTGTGGTCCGGCGGTGAGTTGGCCATATTGAGTTGGCCGCAGTGAGTTGGCAATGGCAAGTTGACCATGGAGTTGGCTGGGGTGAATTGGCCATGTTGAATTGGCCATTGAGTTGGCCATGGCAAGTTGACCATGGAGTTGGCTGGGATGAATTGGCCATGTTGAGTTGGCCGTGAGTTGGCCATGGCAAGTTGACCATGGAGTTGGCTGGGGTGAATTGGCCATGTTGAGTTGGCCATGAGTTGGCCATGGCAAGTTGACTATGGAGTTGGCTGGGAAGAATTGGCCATGTTGAGTTGGCCATGAGTTGGCCGCATTGAGTTGCCCATGATGAATTGGCCATAGCAATTCATCCCGGAAGCTTCTTCAGCTCTGAACAACTGAACGGAAGAAGCTTCTTGGATGAGAAGCGAAATGTCTTCAAAGGAAAAAAAAAAACCCAGAAAGGGGAAGCACCTTTGAGGCAACCAGAACTTGGGATGACTTGAGAATCTCCAGAAACAATCTATTCCACTATTTCTTCGATATTAGTGTACCTCTTGTCCCGCAGCGAGCTCTCTGTGGCGAATTGTCATAGGCCGCTCCCAGGAACACTTAAGAAAAACTTCAGCTGTCCCGGAAAAAAAACATTCCCTTTGATTGAAAACAGAAGCACTTGGAAAGAAAGTCACACAATGGATCAGGTGTGGCTAACAAAGCCGTATTCAAATTAACCCACAGCACTCGTAAAATGCGAATTCTGCCTTCTCCGCTTGTGGTTCTGGGAAATAATGCAGAAAGGTAAATGCCTTGAAAGGGGAAGCTTTGCAAAATTAAGAGTTTCCTGTAATTCTGCAAAGTAATTTTGCAAAGTTTTGTCATTTTTGCAAACCTCCTGAAGGCAGGAATTCCACGGTGGAGGCTCAACCACCTGGCTGGCTGAGGAGGCGGGAGGGGGGAGGCTGAGCAGCTGGACTCTGAAAACTTCGAACTGGAAAAACACACACACACACAAACTCTGGACACATACATAAATATATAAATAAGCTGTGCAATGGACGATGCACTGCCCCTCACGCTCGCTCACAAGTGTGCAAAGGATGTGCAACCTTCATTTAGTCCTCAAGAAAAAAAAGGGGAGAGGGGGGGAAAAATACAGAGAAAAAGATCTTTGGAGTCGCGTTATGTACAAAAAACTGAAAATATAGATTATCGTAATATAGATATGTGTATATATATATATAGATAAGATTGATAGATCTTTTCTTTCTCTGTACAGGATTGGTTGGAAATACTTTTTTAAGAGGGGTGGGAAATACGAGATCTGAAGTGTAAAAAAAATATATTGTAACAGCAATAACCTGCAGACCCAGGCAATCCCAGGAAACCGTCCCTCACAGCAAACGAATGGTGGGATTTTTGAAGGCAGGGTGGCAGGTGGTCCCTTGGTGCCTGAGGCCCCCCCCAGGGATGGGGAGCCCCCCCCTTCAAGTCCACTCCAGGCAGGCAGTGCCAGGTGCCCCAAAACCAAAATCCCAAAAGTACACCTAGCACATTGCCATCCCTATGGCGGCACGATGGCGGTTCTGTTTGGACTTCAGAGGCATTAACAAAAGAAATCCGATTTTAGGAGTGTCCGAGAAGAACTGTCTTCTGTTCTTGGGGTGGCAGCCTGGCTTCGCAGAAGTTGGGGTTCAAGCTTTGCACCTCAAACCTCTCTGGCAAATTGTCCTCTGTAGCTTTTTCGCCCCTCAGGACAGGGCAAGCAATCCCGTCTCTTCGTAGAGATTTCCAAAAAGGGTAGGTTTAGCTGGAGGGAGCACTGATGAGTAAACAGGGGAGCCCCAGAGGCAGAAGCGGGATGTTTTCCATCCTGCCGGTGGGTTTTTCTCCCTCTTCTCAAAAAGCAGCCCTTTTCCCTGGCTGCCTGTGGGAATTTCTCCCAAGGAGTCCTCAAAAATAACACCATTCCTTAGCGCATCGATGCTTCTTGCAACATTTACCTTACAAGGTCTTCTCCTCGGATGAACCGACTTATCAAGGGTATCAAATAAACACCCCGAGGGTACTCACCGTTGGCACAGCCTGGATCCTCCAACGTTAACCCCCCAAGTTCCGACCGAAAAGAAAAACGGGAGGGAATAAATTTTCACTTTTTAAAAATGAAAGTGGTCCACGGAATTTAAATTAGGTTTCGTTACGGGCATAGCCACTTTTTAAACGCCCGTGGCCTTCAAAAGCTAAGCTGGATCTTATCAAGTCGGATCTCACCAATGCCATGGTTAGGCAGCCTCGGCGCCTCCTGACCATGGTCTTCAACCAGCGTTGTAAAGAAAGCAGAGTTTAACCAGCATTTGTTATAAATAACCGTGGTTTGTTTGGACAAACCCCAACTGCCTGTTTTATACTAGGCAACATCCTGCATCACTTAGGCCAATGGTGAGAACGCAGCTGAGTGAAATCATAGTACTGTAAAAAAAGAATGAATGAAAAAGAGAGAGAGAGAGAGAGAGAGAGAGAGAGAGAGAGAGAGAGAGAACGGGGAGGAACGGAAAACAGTGGAATTTTCTGTGCAAAACTCAAAATTCCCTTGTTATTCCTTTGAACCTCTAAAGACGCTACTGGTCTTTTATAAGTACAGAAAATACAGGAGTGGCCAAAATTGTGGGAACCTTTTAAAAAAAGTGTACTTTCTAAAACTTGGCTAATAAAACACCATTTCTTTCTTTCTTTCTTTCTTTCTTTCTGAGTAGTACCATAAAATTATATTATCGATGGAAAGATAAATTTAATCGAGAATGTCATACAATAGCTTTTATGAAAGATTTGCTATTAGAATAGCAGTTACAGTATAAAGAAGGGAAACACGTAGAAAAAAACGAGATATACAAAAATGATCCCCATAGAAAAAACGAGATATACAAAAATTATCACCGTGTCAGTTAATACTTAAATTGGGTAACCTTTAGCATGAATGATGGCCTTACAACGTCTTCCCATGGAGGGAATCAAGTCTTTTAGTTCTGCAGCTGTTCTAATGTGAAACCAAGATTGAAGGATGGCTTCTATTAACTGGGTTTTATTGCTGGGTCGCTTCTGACTAACCAGTTTCTTTAGTCAGCTCCATCGATTTTCAAACTGGGTGAAGGTCTGGGCTATTCCCAGGCTATTCCGGTAGTGGAATAGGATTATCTTGAAACTCCCCCCCCCAAAAATGGTGTTATTAGCCATCAAACCTCAAAAAGACACTTTTCCCAAAAGGTTTCCACAATTTTGGCCACTACTGTACACGTTTAGGGATAAGGGAAAAAAAAAAAAACATTGGCCCAGAGCTTCCAAAGGTACGTGGGGTGCTCCTTTCCCACAGCCGAGCTCTGAAATATCATAAAAACCTGCAGATATTCATATGGGTCACAATTGGCTTAGCTGGGATCCTTAAAAAAAGAAATTTTGATTTCTGTGGTCCTGAAAGAAGTTCTCGATTCAAAACATTTGAACCTTCAAACCTCGGAGCTGAAAAGCGGCCTCTGGAGTTGGTCAGAAGGCTCTCGAGCAGGGGTGAAATGCTACCGGTTCGGGCGAAACCTGTAGTAAAAAAATGCTTTAAAAAGTAAAAAAAAAAAGCTTCACAGCTGTGCCGCACAATCGTCGGACTATTTTTTTTAACTTTTTTAAAGCATTTTTTTTACTACCTATTCACCGGAACCAGTAGTAAAAAATGCTTTAAAAAGTGTTTTTTTTTTAATGGCCACGCCCACCCAGTCACATGACCCCCACACACACCAAGCCACGCCCACGAAGCCACAGCCACAGAACCGGTAGGAAAAGATTTTTCATTTCACCACTGCTCTTGATCCAGCGAATCTTGTGCCAAGTTTGAACCCCTGTGTAGTCCGGACAATCTGTTCGGAGTTCAAGCCACGCTGGAATTTCAAATGCCCCTCCGAGGATCCCTTCTTTCTGTGCACTCCGAGATCATCCAATCCAGCCCCCCCTTAACCTGGGTTTCCATCACTAAGAAAAAAAAGTCCGGGATTTTCTCTGTAATTTGGGACCGATCAGAGTAGGTCATCGAATGCCCCCTTTTGCTGGCTTAAGGATCCCGTGAGCAAAATTTAGCTGTGATTCTTCTGATTCCGAGACTGATCCCCTCCGCAAGCTCCACGGACCGAAAGCTTGGCTCCCGGGAGAGTTTCTCATCTTTTTAAAAAAATGCCATGATTTTCGGTAAGACAGCGGCGCACACCAAGTAAAAACACTCTGCCATGTGTCTGTCTTCTCAGCTGCCGACACGTTGCCGAAAATTTCTGCCTTCCTCCAGAGAGGAATGGAGTCCCGTCCCCCCAAAAGGGCGTCTCCATCTTTAGTCCAGAGAGATGATGTCCGGCCGACATCCTGGCAGAGCTGGGCTGCTTCCCATGGCGCCGTGGCCCTCCCGCAAGCTGGCCGTGGGCGAAGAGACCACGCTGTTCATGCGGCTGCCGGTGGGGGAGCCGACCCCGCTGTGGGATCCCACCACGATCGGAGCCAGGGGGCTCATGAAATGCGGGGAGGGCCCCCGATACTGGAAAAAGTGGCTCAGGGAGTCCTGCTCGTCCAGGGAGGTGATGACGGAAGGGCTGTAATGCTGCAAGAGGAAGAGAAAATAAAAACATTTGGGGCCTTTTTTTTTTTGACCTCATAATCCCTTGCGGGGTGGAGTCTGGGCAGCTGAATGGAGCTGAGTGTTTCCTGGCCGGATGCCTTTCCTGTCGCCCTTGAGGAGTTTTGTTCAGCAGATATATTCTCACGGTGCCCAGAGAGAGAGAAATATCTGCCTCTACCTAGGATCGAACTCACAGCCTCCCGATTGGGAGGCGAGTGCACCACTCAACATTTGCTGTTTATGCCAGGGCAAAATACCCGTCGCTAACAATAGTAACAAAAAGATCCATTTTATATCTTGTCTTTTGCCCTTCACACACTTGCAATGCACGAGTCCTGTTCTGCTCCAGGTACGGATCCCAAAGAACGCAGGACACACAAAGTCCGTTCAAACCTTAGTTTACTAAATAAACCAGTCTTTTACAATGGCTGTTAATTAACTGCATTAACAGCCGCCAAGAATTCAAAGAATAATAACTGAAAGCTTACTATGGTTGGCAGAATGCCCAGAAGCAATTTGCAGGAAGCTGATAAGATAGGCAAGGCAAGACAAGACACGAAGGTATGTGAACAAAGTTGTTCCCTGCAAATTGCTTCAGTCAGCGTTCCTCCTTAAATAGGCTAAGGGAGTGGCCAATTAGCCCCAAGCCTTACTCTCGAGGAGACCTTCTCCTGAGGAGTCACTCCTGCCTTTTGGCCGCTCTGTGCGCCCGTGCATCGAGAAGAGGCTCCTCCTCTTCGTCCTCTTCACTTAAGGGAGCTTCTGGAGGTTCTGAAGGCCCTGTCTGAATCCCCGCCTCTGGCACCACATCTTCTCCAGCCTCCTCATTGTCCGACTCGAGCGCCAGCTGCACAGGCTGCTGGCGCAGCACCACACCAGCCTCCTCGTTGTCGGAATCAGCTACTAGCTGCACAGGCCGCTGATGGGCCACAAGAAGTCCTTAGGCTGAAGGAGGGGAAGCTACAGGGAGAGCTGTATTTACCTCTCTGTAATTGTTAAGAGTGCAGTATTGCAGGCTAACTCTGCCCACAGTCAGGAATTCAATCCTGACCGGCTCAAGGTCGACTCGTCCTTCCGTCCTTCCGAGGTTGGTAAAACGGGGACCCACATTGTTGGTGGAGCAAGAGGCTGACTCTGTAAACCGCTTAGAGAGAGCTATAAAGCACTGTGAAGCGGTATATAAGTCTAAGTGGTATTGGTATCTTCCTTCCTTCCTTCCTTCCTTCCTTCCTTCCTTCCTTCCTTCCTTCCTTCCTTCCTTCCTTCCTTCCTTCCTTCCTGTTAGAATGCAGTATTGCAGGCTGAATCTGCCCACAGTCAGGAGTTCAAGATTGACTCAGCTGTCCGTCCTTCTGAGGTTGGTAAAACAGGGACCCAGATTGTTGGGGGGTGGGGGGGGCAAGAGGCTGACTCTGTAAACCGCTTAGAGAGGGCTATAAAGCACTGTGAAGTGATATATAAATCTAAGGGATATCGCTGTTTGCTTTTCTATTCTTGTTTGAGCAACAGCTGTTCTGAACTCTGAACCTTGCAAGGTCTGAAAGAACTTGGAAGACCGTGGAAAGTAAGCTTGTTGGGTTATCAAAGGAATAATTTAATAATTTAACTGCTTTGATGAATTGCTTTTAAATGTTTTTTAGATAAATTGGATGTCTTAATTTGTTTTTTGAGCCTAAATTATTTAATCTGTTTTTAATAGTTTTTTAACTTTTGTATGTCTTTGTATTTTATTTTGGCTGTTCACCGCCCTGAGTCCTTCGGGAGTAGGGCGGTATACAAATATGATAAAATAAAATAAATAAATAAATAAATAAACCGAGCAAGCTTACCAACTCGGGATTGAAAGATTGAATGGAAAAAATTGGGAGATGGAAAAGAGGAGAGGAAACATACCGGATTTTCACTCTGAAGGAAGGAGAACAAATCCAGACCTAGAGAAAAGGAAAACCTTAATGGTAAAATGAACGTACTAAGACTAGGAGGGAAGGAAAATATTTAAAATTTTCAAATTCAGGATTTTCCAAATTCAGGAAGTGGCGGGCGGGCGAAGACATTGGATATCATAGCAAAGTGCCAACAATACCGTCCAGTTTCCGTCCTCTGGGTGGGATGGCAAGCCTCCCCCCACCCCAACCCTTGGGAAGGGCCAATCGGCTTTCTCTAGCTGCCTGGGTCAGAGTTCATCCTCTTCCCCTCCACTCTTAGCTCCAGAGTCTGTGTGTTCTGACCTAGGCATTCCCAAGAGCAGGAAGCAGACTCCTTGTCCCGACAAAAATCCCTTTTTATTAAGTTACTGTGAATTCCTCTCATTCATATCCACAGCAAAGTCTTTCAAGGAAGAATTTACAGTCACAGACCTCATCTGGCTTGGAGAGCTGCCAGGCCCGATATCTTCAAAACTTGGCCAGGAGTCTCGGAGAGTCACAAACCAATTAGGCGAACTAATTGTCTCCTGCAAACTCCCCTCCCCTTTCGCTCCTCTTTTATTCCCTCTGGGAGGGGCCATTCATCGTCCACCTGTGGCTTTACTCCTGAGTCGACCCTTCTTCTTTAGCTGTTCCCTTCGTCTGGCAACTCTGCATGAGCTCTCTCTCTCTCTCTCTCTCTCTCTCTCTCTCTCTCTCTCTCTCTCTCTCTCTCTCTCTTTCGCGACCTTTTCACAAGCCCATGGGGGAGGCCAGATTCATTTTAACAACCGTGCGACTCACTTAGCAACTGCAGTGATTCCCTTAGCGACTGTGTCAAGAAAAGTCGTCAAATGGGGCAAAGCTCCCTTAACCAAAGTCTCACTTAGCAACATAAATCTGGGACTCAATTGTGGTCGTAAGCCGAGGACTACCTCTTGGAAAAACAACGAGCCAGGAAGAATCTTCTTTCTAACTAACTTGAGATGGATGTCACTGGGGTTCTTCAGAGGGGGCTAACAGTGGTGGGATTCAATGCTGTGGCCCGCCAGTGGAGCTGGCAGCAGAGCCGGACAGTGAGCAGGTTGGGGAGGAACGTGGGCCAGTCCTAGAGTCTGGGGAGGGCTCTGCGTCAGAGGCAGAGAGGAGGCCAGGCCGAATGCCAGTCATCAGCTGCCTTCAGCCCATTCCCAGTGTGTGCATGCGCAGAGTTGCCAGACGAAGAGTACAGCTAAGAAGGCAGGGTCGATTCGGGAGTAAAGCCACACCTTGGAGGTGATTGGCCCCTCCCATAGGATACAAAAGAGGAGCGAACGGGGAGGGGGCTTTTGCAGGAAACAATTCATTCGTTCCGTGACTCTGAGAGACTCTGTGCCAAGTTGTGCCTTGTACTAACGTTTGGAAACTAGTTACCTGGCAGCTTTCCAAGCGAGATAAGGTCTGTGTTGATAAGTATTCCTCTGAAAGACTGTTTGGACAGGCCTTGCTGACTGCGAATGAAAGGGATTCACAGTCGTGTCAATAAAAGGGGTTTTGCCGGGACCAAGACTCAGCTTCGTGCTTTCTAAGGGAGCCTAGGTCAGAACATTCAACCGGTGTTAACAACTGGTTTGCTTTGTGCACGCTTCACGTGCACCAAATGGGCAGTCTACGTGTACGCAGTACATTTGAAAACAGCACCTTCTACTGCAGCTCCGGTGAATAAAACAGCTGATCCGCGCCGATCAGCTGGGCTTCAAACAACAGAAATAAAGATAGGTATAGCGCAGGGGCAGGCTCAGGATGGGCTCAGCTGATCATCGGAGCGAACCGGTTCGCTCTCAGCTGATTGTCGGAGCTACCGGTACACCCGAACCGGTCCGAACCGGCAGAATCCCACCCCTGGCTAACATCACAGGATAGATGTGATGTTAGCTTGCTGACCAAACAAGGGCCTTGGGCCCCTTTGAGGGCTGTTTTTACACGCAAAGCTGAAAGACCAAGAAGTCACAATACCGCTAAGACAGGTGAGCCTTAACCTCGGTTCTTTTTCGTCTCCGGTTCTCCCCAGTTAGGGAAGAGAGCCCAAGCTCGGGGCCCACCTGAATCCCGCTTACCTTGGATGTCCGAAGGGACCGAATAAGAAGGGTGGTAGTCGGACAGCGGGAGGCTGGAGAGGTAATCGCTGCCCACCGCAGCCATTGGAGGACTCCGCAGCACCGAGGAAGGCTGGTGGTCTGTGTTTAAAACCCTGAAAGGAATGGAAAGGTTAGTGGAGCCGGAAGGGCGTTTGGGTTCTGGGGGAGAAAGGGATCATTTGCAGCAGCCTTGGGGGAGTGGGGGGGTCGATTCTATTTCTTTGGGGGGGGAGGATTGAGGGTCAGAAACCTGTGGGAGGAGCTGGATGGAGAGTTTCGTTCTTTCTTTCTTTCTTTTTCATTGTTTTCATTGACTTTTGGAATTTGGGCAGTTTTCAGCAATTGTGGTCAGATAATGGAATTATGAGCTAGATAAACTGCCTCTCAAACTACCACCCTCCCAGACAGGGCCTGGGTCTTCCGAAGAATATTACATTCCAAAGAAAGAAAGAAAGAGAAGTTAAAAAAAAAAAAAAAGGAAGCCCCTCTAGTACAAAGCTCACTGCCAAAGTAATTACTGCAGGTTCGAATCTCGCCAAGGCTCAAGGTTGACTCAGCCTTCCATCCTTTCTAAGGTAGGTAAATCGAGGACCCAGTTTGTGGGGGCAATAAGCTGACTTTGTATAAATATATAAAAGAATGAAGGCTATTGCTTAGCACACTGTAAGCCGCCTGAGTCTCCGGAGAAGGGCGGCATATAAATCAAATTTAAAAAAAAAAAAAAAAAGTAGAAAATTCCTCTCCCAAACCTCAACGACCCACAGCGCTTACTGCTGCCAGCCTGGCCCATGGGGAGACAGCCAGGGAGGTGACAAAGGACCTGGCCTGCTCCTCGGATCCCGATGCTCCCCCTACAAAAAAAAGTGTGGGGGGGAAGAGGGTCTATTCCCCAAAATAGCGTTTCTCTTAGCACCTGTCAGATAGGTAGACTTCAACTCCCAGAATTCCTGCCCCCCCAAGCCAACGTGGCTTGCCTCCAGAAGTTGTGAGTGCTCCTATCACTGGAGGCTTTCAAGGAGAGGTTGGACAGCCCTTGGTCCCAGATGAAGTAAGGACCCTTGCCTTGGGTTGGACTTGGAAGAGCCTTGGTGGCGCAGCGGACTACAGTGCTGTTAAAAGTAGCACTTAGCGGCCAGCTGCCTGCAATTACTGCGAGTTCGAATCTCACCAGGCTCAAGGTTGACTCAGCCTTCCATCCTTCCGAGGTAGGTAAAATGAGGACCCGGATTGTGGGGGCAATAAGCTGACTTTGTATAAAAAACAAAAAGAACACCGCTTAGAAGGGGCCGAAAGCCCTACTAAGCAGGTATATACGAAAGTATGAAGGCTATTGCTTAATGCATTGTAATCCGCCCTGAGTCTCCAAAGAAGGGCGGCATATCAATTGAACCAATAAATAAATAAATAAGACCTCAGAGATCCCTTGCAGCCAGGGGTGGGATTGAAAAACTTAACAACCGGTTCGCTGCCCAGTTGCTGGGGGGGTGGGGTGGCCATGGGGGCGTGGGTTACTCGGCCTCCTGCACTATTGATGGGGGGGTGGCATTTTCACCCTCCTGAGGCTCCAGAGGATTTCTTCGGCCTCCAGGAGGGTGAAAACAGCTTCCCCCGGGCACCGGAGGCCGGAAACGGGCCCATTTCTAGACTTCCGGTAGGCTCATTTTTATTTTATTTTATTTTAGTTTATTTGATTTGTATACCGCCCTACTCCCGAAGGACTCAGGGCGGTGAACAGCCAAACAATAAAATACACAGATACAAAAAAATTTAAAAACCAGATAAAATCAAATTAAATCATTTTGGCCCAGACAGATTAAAACACCCCAATAATTTAAATTTTCACCCTCCCAGAACAGCCACGCGGTCCCTGCAGTTACCTCGCATCCAAAACAGGCCGCGTGGAGACTCCTGGGAGGGGCGGGGTGATCCAGTCCTTGTAACTACCGGTTCGGCAAACCAGATTAAAATGAACATCCGGTTCGCCGAAACTGGTCTGAACCGGTTGAATCCTACCCCTGCATGCTTGCAGACATGCAGCGTGCATATGTCCCAAGAGCTTTCCCATCACGAAGTCCGGCTAAAAGGAATCAGCCAAGCCAGAAGGAGGGAAAGGCCCTCCGAGCCCCCCCCTACCCTTTTGGTCCGGCGGATGACGGGATGGCAGCAATGGCGACAGGACAGACTTTCTTGGCAGGGGGTTCCTCTTCGTCTGAAGAGCTGTCCAAAGTCAGGTCGATCACCTCCACCTTCTTCTTGTTTTCGGGCAGCTGCTTTCCATCCGAACTTACTGTGTACAGGGAGGCTGTGACACAACGACGACAAATGCTCAGAAACTTAACTTCACGTGATGACCTGGGGCACAGCACAGAGGTCGCATAGGCAGCTGGCAGTTCAAACCGACTCTTTATTGCTCCAAATTTCCCCAAATGCTCCCACGTTTCTGGTAAGTCCCAGAGCAAAGTGATGACAAACCCCCCACACACACACCTCAAATAGTCCAGCCCAATGCTGTGAGCACCACGGCTGCAAAGCAAGAAATCCAGAAAGAACGCAAGGAACCCAGGAATTCAGCGCTTGTTCCCGACAAATTCCCCTCCCCACAGCGTCTCCTTAAGTCTCAGTCCCCAGGTGTGCCTTGTGAAGAGGAGCGGGGCGCTCTCCTCTCGAGTAGTCGGGTCAGTCTGCGCTGTTCTCGCCTTCTCTCCACTCTCCATGCTTGAGGATCAGGAGGGGGTGGTCCTTGCTCATCGCCTGAGCCCTGTCTCTCATGTTCACTGCTTAGCCTCTCTTGGTTATTCTGCCCCTCCTTCCTCCCTGCCTACAAGCTGTCCCAATCCTGAAAGGCCCTGAAAACTGACTGCCTGAAAAAGAGGAGGTGCTTCCAACAATTAACACCACAGTTGTGCAGAGGAACCTCCGTGTACACAACGGGAGCAAACTGTTACAGACAAGCTTCCAGATTTGGGACTTCTTGCACCAAAGACCTCTCTCTGCTCCTGGCACCACAGCCCGGCCAGCCCGGCCCAAAGCCAGGCCCCTCCTTTCATGCCCAAGGGCCACGGCCAAGCGCTTCAAAGCCCAGCCTTTGGCCTTACCTTCCAGTCCATTGTAAGAAGACGTCTGGCAAACCTCCTGGTTCTCCTTCTTGGGCTTCATGGGGCACCAGGAACCGTCTTCCATGAACTGGATCTCATCGCAGTCCGTAACGGAGTTCAGGATCTCCATGAACAGCCTGGGGAAGGAGAGGCAGGGAGAGTCTGAGGAAAATTTTTGTGCTAGTCTGATGAAGAGAAGGACTAGGGGTGACACGATAGCAGTGTTCCAGTATCTCAGGGGTTGGTGCTCTCTAGAAGGCCAGATCCTGAAGAGGAAACTCAAGTCCTTTGGCCACCTAAGGAGAAGGAAGGACTCCCTGGAAGGAAGAGCCAAATGCTGGGAAAGACTGAGGGCAAAAGGAGAAGAAGGGGACGGCAGAGAAGGAGGTGGATGGACGGAGTCACTGAAGCAGTCAGCGGGAGCTTAAATGGACTCCGGAGGATGGTAGGAAGGCCTGGAGGAACGTGGTCCATGGGGTCTCAAAGTCTCGGACACCACTTCGCAACTAACAACAACTAACAAATTACACTGCAATAGCTTCATCTCATTCATCGTTTTGATGACACCCAGCTTCTCAACCTTGGCAACTTGGGAGATGCGTGGGCTTCCGTTCCCGGAGTTGGAAATTGCACTGGTGGCAAGACGCATCCTAGGCCCGCCAGTGAAAATGGATCTGGGAAGGATGGACGAAGGGAGCAGAGCTCTTTCCCATTTTTAACTGGCAGACCCAAGGGTGCGTCTTGAAAATCGGGAGCAGCTAGGTCAGTGGTGAAATCCAAATTTGTTTACTACCAGTTCTGTGGGCGTGGCTTGGTGGGCATGGCAGGGGAAGGATACTGCAAAATCCCCATTCCCTCCCCATTCCTGCGGGAAGGATACTGCAAAATCCCCATTCCCACCCCACTCTGGGGCCAGACAGAGGTGGCATTTTCCGGTTCTCTGAACTGCTCAAAATTTCCGCTACCGGTTCTCCAGAACCTGTCAGAACCTGCTGGATTTCACCCATGAGCTAGGTCATCCCCAGATGGCCTCTTCCTCCCCCCAAGGACCTTCTGAAATGCAGCAACGAGGAGAGGGAGCCCAGGGCCTCCCCAGCATTACCCATCAATGATCAAGCCTTCGTAAGGAGCTTTCTTGTCGCAGACGGGGCACGTCCAGGTGGACTTCTTCTCGTTCATCTGCAGGTACAGGGCGGCGTCGAAGCACTGCAGGTGGGTGCAGGTAAAGGCACGACAGGGAACGATCAGCCGCATCTTGCCCAGCTGGACCGGGGGGGGGGAGAAAGGGGTGGCAAGGGTTAGAAAGGACTGAGACACCCCCGGCAATCCCCTCCCAACACGGCATCCTCACCCACACCCGATTCCAACGTTCTGCATGCACCTCGCTGTCCCTCAAGAACTGGGAACATCCCCCACCCCCAGACGTTCCAATTCAAAATCAAATGACGGGAGCAATGTGGCGCTCTCATGTGACCCCCCTCCTGCGCAAGCTACACTGGCTCCCGGTGGTCTTCCGGGTGCGCTTCAAGGTTTTGGTTAAAGATAGAGCGCTCCATGGCTTACGACCTGGGTACTTACGAGATCGCCTCCTGCCACCAATAGCCTCTCACCGACCAGTTCGCTCCCATAGAGAGGGACTCCTCGGGGTGCCGTCGGCCAAACAATGTCGACTGACGGCCCCCAGGGGGAGAGCCTTCTCTGTGGGGGCACCTGCCATCTGGAACGGGCTTCCCCCGGAGTTACGAAGGATCCAAGACTTACGCATCTTCCGCCGTGCCCTGAAAACGTTTCTATTCCAACAGGCTGGTCTGGCCTAACTCTCCCTTTTAAATTGGCTTTTAAATCGGGTTTTAGATCTCTTTTAGATAAATTTGGATGTTTTAATCTTTGAGCCTAAATTACTTAATCTGTTTTTTTAATAGTTTTTAACTTCTATATGTCTTTGTATTTATTTATGGCTGTTCACCGCCCTGAGTCCTTCGGGAGTAGGGCGGTATACAAATATGAAAAATAAATAAATAAATAAATAATAAATCAGGTTTATTACAATCAGAGACCAGAACAAATAAAAACACTCCGTGAATATCCAGTTAAAAATTCTAGAACGGGGGTGTCAAACTCGCGGGCTGGATGCATCCTGCGCTGGCCATGACCACCTCCGGTTTAGCGAAGGGCGGGGGGGGGGATGTTTCCATTCCCCACCATCCAGTCAGAGCTAAAGAAGCTTCTGGGATGAGAAGCGAAATGTCTTCAAAAAGAAAAAAAAGCCAGAAAGTCCAGTTGCCTCTTGGGGAAAAAAAACCAAGCACCTTCGGGACAATTGTGTCCTTGGATGATGGAGCATTTCCTCAGACGAGAGATAAAATCTATATTCAAATCCAGTCTGCCAGTTACACATGGCCTAACTCTGTGATGGCGAACCTATGGAGCCATACCTTCGGGCATGTGAGCCGTTGCCCTAGCTCCGTGATGGCGAACCTGTGGCACGCAGAGCCCTTTCTGCCGGCACGACAGCCGTCGCCCCAGCCCAGGTCCACCGCACATGCGCGCACCTCCAATCGGCCAGCTGGTCTTCTGGTCTCTGCCACAGAGGCAGGGCCTTCCCCGATCTCTGCAGGTTCTACCCTCTGCAGATGCCTCTCCGTGGCAGGAAAGCAGGAGAAAGTTAGCACGCGATGGAGGGAGAAACTGCAAAGATCTGAGGAGGCACGGAAGGCAAGAGGCACTCAATGGGGGAGGAACTTTGGAGATCGTGGAAGGCAGGAAAAAGCTAGGATTCCATGGGGGAGAAACTTTGGAGATCGTGGAAGGCAGGAGGAAGCTAGGATTCCATGGGGGAGAAACTTTGGAGATCGTGGAAGGCAGGAAAAAGCTAGGATTCCATGGGGGAGAAACTTTGGAGATCGTGGAAGGCAGGAAAAAGCTAGGATTCCATGGGGGAGAAACTTTGGAGATCGTGGAAGGCAGGAGGAAGCTAGGATTCAATGGGGGAGGAACTTTGGAGATCATGGAAGGCAGGAAAAAGCTAGGATTCCATGGGGGAGGAACTTTGGAGATTGTGGAAGGCAGGAGGAAGCTAGGATTCAATGGGGGAGGAACTCTGGAGATCGTGGAAGGCAGGAGGAAGCTAGGATTCAATGGGGGAGGAACTCTGGAGATCGTGGAAGGCAGGAAAAAGCTAGGATTCAATGGGGGAGGAACTTTGGAGATTGTGGAAGGCAGGAAAAAGCTAGGATTCCATGGGGGAGGAACTTTGGAGATTGTGGAAGGCAGGAGGAAGCTAGGATTCAATGGGGGAGGAACTCTGGAGATCGTGGAAGGCAGGAGGAAGCTAGGATTCAATGGGGGAGGAACTCTGGAGATCGTGGAAGGCAGGAAAAAGCTAGGATTCCATGGGGGAGAAACTTTGGAGATCATGGAAGGCAGGAAAAAGCTAGGATTCCATGGGGGAGGAACTTTGGAGATTGTGGAAGGCAGGAGGAAGCTAGGATTCAATGGGGGAGGAACTCTGGAGATCGTGGAAGGCAGGAGGAAGCTAGGATTCAATGGGGGAGGAACTCTGGAGATCGTGGAAGGCAGGAAAAAGCTAGGATTCAATGGGGGAGGAACTCTGGAGATTGTGGAAGGCAGGAGGAAGCTAGGATTCAATGGGGGAGGAACTCTGGAGATCGTGGAAGGCAGGAAAAAGCTAGGATTCAATGGGGGAGGAACTTTGGAGATCGTGGAAGGCAGGAAAAAGCTAGGATTCAATGGGGGAGGAACTCTGGAGATTGTGGAAGGCAGGAGGAAGCTAGGATTCAATGGGGGAGGAACTCTGGAGATCGTGGAAGGCAGGAAAAAGCTAGGATTCAATGGGGGAGGAACTTTGGAGATCGTGGAAGGCAGGAGGCAGCTCTTTAGCACAGCTAAAGCACAGCTCTTTAGTCAGATCTCTTCCCCCCTACAAGCGCGGCTCTTTTAAACAGGGAAAGAAGACGGGAAGAAGAGAACGAACACGTTTAGCAGGAAACTTTGGAGTTGCCTGATCGTCAGCCAAGCCATCTTGGCAACGCCATGCGCCGGGCGGGGAACAGCTGTCTCACCAGGGAACGGTACCTAGTTGTCCGGTATGCCGGGCCCACTTGGAAAAAGTGGGGAGGGGGCGCGCATTTGGGGGGCATGCATGCATAGTGTGGGCGCATGTGTAGAGGGAGCATGGGGGTTGTCATGCACACATGCGTAAATGGGGGCGCGCATTGCATTATGGGTTCCGGCACGCGGGAGCGCGACAGTGCACGCACACTTAAGACTTTTGGCACACAATGCCAAAAAGGTTCGCCATCACTGCCGTAGCTCAACTCCAGTGCGCATATGTCCGCCGGCCGGCTGGTTTTCGGCTCGCCCCGCCCACGCCTCCCTTCCCAGGAGTCTCCATGTGGCCCGTTTTGGATGCTAGGTAAGTACAGGGCTCCCGTGGAGGCTCTGGGAGGGCGTTTTCGGCCTCCGGGGGAGATGGGGGAGGCTGTTTTTGCCCTCCCCGGCCTCTAGGAAAGCTTCTGGAACCTGGGGAGGGCGAAAAGCGGGCCTTCCGGGCCCACCGGAAGTTGGGAAACGGGACTGTCAACTTGCAAAGGGGAACGTAAATCTACGTAGGATCAGTCCTAACTGCATCCGAGTATTGCCGGAATGTTGCTCCTAATAAATGTATATATTTCCTTTGAAGTTTGGCTCATGGCTCATGAATTAATTAGGGCATCTTTCGGAAACTTGACAGGGACGTTTCCTGCCTCCGGAGGGGTGGGGGAGGCCGTTTTTGCCCTCTGGAGGCTTCAAATAGGCCTGCTAGACCCAAAACGGGGCACGGGGGGCGCATGCATGGAGGGGGTGCAGGGGGGTATTGAATTATGGGTGTGGGCACGCGCATGCGTGACCCCCCCCGCTTTTGTCCCGCGATAGCAAAAAGGTTAGCCATCACTGGCCTAACTATACGGTAAAAGCATAAAACTGTGAGGCTCGTAGCCATTAAAATAGTAAAATGGAAAGGAACAGCAATGGAAAAGGGTTTGCCACATTTGTCGTATAAAATAGCTACGAGGGATTAGCCACGTGTTTCCGACATCCCAGTTATAAATCACACAATTTATTTATTTTATTTTTTTATGTAGAAGCGACTTGGGACCGCGGCAGCATCCCCGTAGTCCCGTGATTTACATCCAGACGCTTGGCAACTGACTCATATTTACGACGGTGGCAGCGCCCCAGGCGGTCACGCGATCCCCTTTTTGCGACCTTACGACAAGCAAAGTCAATGGGGGGAGGGGGGGAACCAGATTCACTGAACAACCGCGTGACTAATTTAACAACGGCGGTGATTCACTTAAGAAACGTGGCCAGAAAAGTCGCAAAATGGGGTAAAAAAAATATATCACTTTAACAAACGTCTCGCTTAGCGACATAACTTTTGGGCTCCATTGTGGTCGTTAAGTCGAGGACTGCCTGTGATTACTTCCAGCGATTTGCAAAGCAGCGCCCACAACAAGCCATCGGTTCGCTTAAGGACTCTGCGGGGTTCGCTTAACGACGGGAGTGGCTGTTTTTATGACCGCTGCGTTCTTTTAACAACCACCACACAAAAAAGGTTGTAAAATCATGTGAGGTCGAGTTTTAAATAGAGGATTACCTTTGTCTAAGGTTTCAGGGGTGGAAAACTATCCATCTGTAAATACAGATGGATAGTTTTACGGGGTTTCTCTTGGTATTAAGCAGATCAGATTTCTTTCCCCCCAACTATTAAAAAGACTAATAGGGAGCATTGTTAGCAAACATTACCGGACACATGAGCGACACTCGCAAACTGGTGGTGGCAATTTCACTGTCAGGATCGGCTGTCAGCTTTTCTTTGACTGCAGGGGAGGAAAACAAAAAAGCTTTTTAAAACCCTAAGTACAAATAATACACAGAAGAGAGTTAATTTACCGTATGGAGTAACATACATGGACTTACGGCATGTATTCACATTTTACCTAGATTTAAAAAAAAAAACACAATAATATAGGAATGTTAAAAGGAGGGATGACAGATAGATAGATAGATAGATAGATAGATAGATAGATAGATAGATAGATAGATAGATAATTTAATTATTTATTTACTTACTTACTTAGTTACTTACTTACTTACTTACTAACTAACTAGTCGCATTTCTATGCCACCCAACTCCCTTGAGACTCTGGGCGGCTTACAGAAAAAAAAAAGATATAGAGATAAAGATAGATAAAATAGATTGGATTGGATTGGATTGGATTGGATTGGATTGGATTGGATTGGATTGGATTGGATTGGATTGGATTAGATTAGATAGATAGATAGATAGATAGATAGATAGATAGATAGATAGATAGATAGAGGATCTATATATAGAGAGAGGAGATAGATAGATTAGATAGATAAAATAGATAAATAAGATAGATAGATATAGAGATAAAGATAGATAAAATAGATAGATTAGATTAGATAGATAGAGGATCTATATATAGAGGAGATAGATAAAATAGATTAGATAGATAAAATAGATATAGATAGATAAGATAGGTAAAATAGATAAAATAGATTAGATTAAATAAAATAGATTAGATAAATTAGATATAGATTAGATAAGATATAGATCAGATAGATAAGACAGATATGATAAATAAAATAGATAGATATAAAGATAGATAAATAAAATAGATTAAATAGGTACGATAGATAAGATATATATATATATATATAGAGAGAGAGAGAGAGGGAGAGAGAGGGAGAGAGAGAGAGAGAAATAGTAGTCCTTGACTTACGACAATTGAGCCCCAAATTTCTGTTGCTAAGCGAGACATTGGTTAAGGGAGTTTTGCCCCATGTTATGACCTTTCTAGCCACATGTTAAGTTAATAACATGGTTGTTAAGTGAATCTGGCTCCCCCATTGATTTTGCTTGTCAAAAAGCCACAAAAGGTCACATGATGTTGGGACATAGCAATGGTCGTAAATATGAACCAGTTGCCAAGCATCTGAGTAGTGATCACATGACCATGGGGCTGCTGAAACGGTCGTTAAGTGTGAAAAACAGCCTTAAGTCACTTTTTTCAGGGCCGTTGTAACTTTGAACAGTCACTAAACAAACTGTTGTTAAGTCGAGGATTACCTGAACTCTTTGTTTTGGCCCAGGGGCTATAAAAGTAACATTTGCTTCCATCCAATGTTGCTCCCATTCTCCGCCATGGAGTTATTTCTCATGTTTTAAAAGAGTTTCCTCGGTAAAAGTATGCCTAGCTTCAGAATTCTAGCATTCGACACACACTAATTTAACAAGGTAACTAAAGGCTTATTTTGAATTCCCACTGCTTGTAAATGCACACGAAAGAAATACGGAACGAAAGGCCCAACCGGAGTAAAACGAAGGATTGTTCTGTTCCATGTTGGGAAAGTACAAACTGCCGCATCCATTCCTGCAATGGTACAAATCATACAGAAATACAGAATACCAGAGGTGGAAGGGACCTTGGAGGTCTTCTAGTCCAACCCCCTGCTCAGGCAAGGGACCCTTTACCATTTCAGACAGGTGGCTGGCCAGTCTTTTCTTAAAAATTTCCAGTGTTGGGAGCATCCACAACTTCTGGTGGCAAGTTGTTCCACTGGTTGATTGTCCTCACTGTCAGGAAATTTCTCTTTATTTCTAAATTGCTTCTCTCCTTGATTACTTTCCACCCGTTGCTTCTTGTCCTGCCTTCTGGTGCTTTGGAGAATAGCTTGACTCCCTCTTCTTTGGGGCAGCCCCTGAGATATTGGAAGACTGCTATCCTGTTTCCCCTGGTCCTTCTTTTCATCAAACTAGACATACCCAGTTCCTGCAACCGTTCTTCGTATGTTTTAGCCTCCAGTCCCCTAATCCTCTTGGTTGCTCTTCTCTGCACTCTTTCCAAAGTAGAATATAATTATTAGAATTAGAATTAGAGTTAGCATTAAGGATAGGATAGGATAGGATAGGATAGGATAGGATAGGATACAAAAGTATGAAGGCTGTTGCTTAACGCATTGTAAGCCGCCCTGAGTCTCCGGAAAAGGGCAGCATATAAATCGAACCAATAAATAGGATAGGATAGGATAGGATAGGATAGGATAGGATAGGATAGGATAGGATAGGATAGGATACAAAAGTATGAAGGCTGTTGCTAACGCATTGTAAGCCGCCCTGAGTCTCCGGAAAAGGGCAGCATATAAATCGAACCAATAAATAGGATAGGATAGGATAGGATAGGATAGGATAGGATAGGATAGGATAGGATAGGATAGGATAGGATACAAAAGTATGAAGGCTGTTGCTTAACGCATTGTAAGCCGCCCTGAGTCTCCGGAAAAGGGCAGCATATAAATCGAACCAATAAATAGGATAGGATAGGATAGGATAGGATAGGATAGGATAGGATAGGACGGGAAGGGACCTTAGAGGTCTTCTAGTCCAACCCACTCAAGCTGGAGACCCATTGATTCTATCCTTCTGTTAATGCAGCCAAGATTGTGTTGGCTGTTTTGGCAGCTGCTGCACATGGCTGTCTGATACTTAAGTGACTGTCCACTAGGACTCCCACAATTACTACTACATAGGATACCACCTACGCCAGGAGTCTGCAAACTTGGCCACTTGTGGACTTCAACTCCCAGAATTCCTCAAGCCAACATGGCTGCTTGAGGAATTCTGGGAATTGAAGTCCCCAGGTCTTCGATTTTGAAGACACCCGACCTATGCTCTACCTGGGCTTTTTGGTTTTCCTTGCCTAAATGTAGAACCTTACTTTTTTTTTTTTTCACACCACTGAATTTCATTTTGTTAGATGGTGCCCTGCGTTCGGGTCTGTCATTTTCAAGACAATCCCAGGCAAGTTGTGAGGGCAGATGCTTGCCAGACCCTGGGGGCTGCTGGGAGAGACATCAAAAGAACCGGGGGACTCACTCAGGGCTCGGGAGTGGTCGGGGTTCCGGATGCCCTTGGCCCTCAGCTTCTGCAGCAACGTTACCGAAGTCAGCTGCTTCACCAGGTAAACAGAGAGGGAGTAATTCTAGAGAGAGAGAGAGAGCAAAAGCAGGATTACCGTATTTTTCGGAGCATAAGAAGCACCAGACTATAAGACCTTTTTTTGGTGAGGAAAAGAAGAAAAAGAAATCTCCCTCTGCCTCCCAGCAATTTTGCCTCCATGCAGCAAACAGCAAACAGCCTGCTTTACTTTCAGTTTCGTTTTCAGCATAGCTTGATTAGCACAAGGAGAGAAAAAAAAAAAAAATCTGCTCCCAGCAATTTACCTCCTTGCAGCCAGCAGCAAAGGCCCGGGCAAAACAGCTGAGAGCAAAACAGCTGAGAGTCGGGAGGCCGATCCAATCAACTTGTGCTAATTAGGCTGTGCTGAAGCTGAAAGGAGCTGTTTCTTCTTGCTGCTTGCTTGCAAGGAGGTAAACTGCTGGGAGGCAGAGGCCAAAGCGTGGGGGCCCTACATTCGGTGTATAAGACGCACCTAAATTTTCACCCCCTTTTTAGGGGGAAAAAAGGTGCGTCTTATACTCCGAAAAATATGCTAGGTCATGGAGAGGAAGAGATATATTGAAGGAGATGGGCTCTGACTTACATTTATAAATATGTTCTATGTCAGCGTGTCAGTGGAAGGGTTACCCCTTGTCAGAAGCTTCCTGGGTGAAGAGCAGAAACATTCAAGCTGACCGCCTTATAGCTAAATTCCATGCAGATCATCCGGACAAGCCGGGAGGGGGGTGGGACACACCCTCGGACGGGATAAGATACTAAACTTGTTGTTTGTCTCGCGCAGGCCTCACTGGGAGAGTGAAGGGAGAGGGGCCAGATGTCAGCGTCTCAGCACTGACCTAGAAAAGGGAGGATGAAGCCTGAACTTTTGCCTGCTAAATCCCTTTGAAGATTCGGTCTCCTTGGAGATGAGGAGGGGGGGGGAAACATTCCTGTGAACTGACGGGAAAAGGAATCAGGAGAGCGACTTGGAAGATAGCCAATGAGAAGCAGAGAATTGGGGATCGGAAAGGGAGGGATTGGGGGCCAAAGGTCAGTATTGACCGTGAAGAGCCAGGATCCGGTTGCTGTACTCGAATAAAGAGAAAATTTCCTTAAAAACTGGCAGTTTGGAAGTTCATTTATTTTGAGATAGCATCGAAGCCTGGCATTTTATTTGCTTAAGCAGGAGGCTTCGTTCTGATTGTCATGTGTTGGCTAGTTTCTTTACTCATTTAAAGCAGGGTTTTAGAATGGAATAACCGAGTTGGGAGGTGCCTTGGAGGTCTTCTTGCAAGGAAACCCTATACCAGGGATGGCTAACCTTTTCGGCACAATTATGTCGCTGCCTCCATCGGCAATACCGCTTCGGAGCCCCTCTTACCCTGCCAAACTCCGATGACCAGTTGACCACAATGGTGTTGGGGACCGTGGCCGAAAGGCGCACCAAAGGCGTGATGTTGATCGGTCGACTCGGACGCTTGGGTTCCGCGCCGTTTTTGGTGGGAGGGAGGTAACCCTGCATCGGCAGAAGAAAAACAGCAGCGGTCAGGCCTACGGTCGGCCACACTCACCATCATCACAAGACACAGGCAGGCAGGATACGGTTTGCTTCAGTATGGGTTGTTTGATAAACCAACATGGGCTGGGTTCAAGCCTACGTTAAGCCATAAACCAGGTAGATAAAAATCGATTGTTTTTAAAAAAAAAAAATAAAAATTCTTCCTTCTCCCTTCACCTTCTTCCTTCCCCTTCTTTCTTCTTCCTTCTCCTCCTTTCCCCTTCTCCTTTCTCCCTTCTCCCTTCTCCTCCTTCCTTTTCCTTCTCCCTTCTCCCTTCCCCTTCTTTCTTCTTCCTTCCCCTTCCTTCTTCTTCCTTCCCCTTCTTCAACTTCTTCCTTCTCCTCCTTTCTCCTTCTCCTTTCTTCCTTCTCCCTTCTCCTCTTTCCTTTTCCTTCTCCCTTCTTCCTTCCCCTTCTTTCTTCTTCCTTCCCCTTCCTTCTTCTTCCTTCTCCTTCTCCTTCTTCCTTCCCCTTCTTCAACTTCTTCCTTCTCCTCCTTTCCCCTTCTCCCTTCTCCTCCTTTCCCTTCCCCTTCTTTCTTCTTCCTTCCCCTTCCTTCTTCTTCCTTCTCCTTCTCCTTCTTCCTTCTTCCTTCCCCTTCTTTCTTCTTCCTTCCCCTTCCTTCTTCTTCCTTCTCCTTCTCCTTCTTCCTTCCCCTTCTTCAACTTCTTCCTTCTCCTCCTTTCCCCTTCTCCCTTCTCCTCCTTCCTTCTCCCTTCCCCTTCTTTCTTCTTCCTTCCCCTTCCTTCTTCTTCCTTCTCCTTCTCCTTCTTCCTTCTCCCTTCCCCTTCTTTCTTCTTCCTTCCCCTTCCTTCTTCTTCCTTCTCCTTCTCCTCCTTCCTTCTCCCTTCCCCTTCTTTCTTCTTCCTTCCCCTTCCTTCTTCTTCCTTCTCCTTCTCCTCCTTCCTTCTCCCTTCCCCTTCTTTCTTCTTCCTTCCCCTTCCTTCTTCTTCCTTCTCCTTCTCCTTCTTCCTTCCCCTTCTTCCTTCTCCTCCTCCTCCAGCAAGCTCAGAGAGCACCCAGGACCGCTCAGAGGTGAGAGAGGACCCAACTCCATGGCTACCTGGACAATCCCTCTTCCCCACCACAACCGAGAGAGAGAGGGCCCACCAAGGAAGGCTGCCCATTCCCAGCCATCTTGAGGGCAGGTTGAATTCCAAACAGGGAGCCACCGAGTTGGGGGCTGCCTCAATCATCCAACTGTTTTACTTTCAAGCGTGGGGAAACAAGAGAGGGGAGAGCGGAGGTCTACTCACGGGCAACGGGCAAAGCTTCCCATTGATTTTCACGAACAAATTGGGAGGGAAGTAATCTTCTTGCGGGCAGCTGGTTTCACATAAACAAAACCTGGCAAAGAGATAAAGACAAAGCCAGAAGAGTGAAGGGGAAGGAAATGGAACCGAAGAATCCCAGATTCTATAGCTGAAATCCATGAAGGAGGCATTGACCAGTAACAGCACAACAAACCTAGCACAACATGTGAAAACGAGAGGTGGCATTCAGCCGGTTCGGACCAGTTCTCCCGAACCGGAAGCAGCCCTCCCAGCCACCCCGGCTCTATGCCAACCTATTGAGGCACGTTTTTGAGTCCAGGCGCATGCACGGAAGGCAGATGCGTGTGGGACCCGGGCGCGCGCGTGCACACGAAGCGAGCGTGTGCATGCTCTGCGAACCGGTAGTAACATAATGTGAAACCCACCGCTGGCAAAAACATACACTTGGCGAACAATGTTAGGGACTAAAATCAGACAAACGTGGAAATGGCCAAATTGTCAATATGTAGCAAACGATAGAAATTGAACTAAGTTTTAAGCAAGAAGGGCTCCCTGAGAGATAGCACAGAGCAAGAATTAGCCTGCAATACTAATTCTAACCACTGGGAGGGGAGGGAGGGAGGGAGGGAGGAAAGGAAGGAAATGAAAAGGAAGGAAATTGGAAGGATGGATGGATGGAAGGAAGGAAGGGAAGGGAAGGGATGGAAAGGAAAGGAAGAAAGGAAGAAAGGAAAGGAAGGAAGAACGGAAGAAAGGGAGGGAGGGAAAGAAATGAAAAGGAAGGAAATTGGATGGATGGATGGATGGATGGAAGGAAGGGAAGGGAGGGAGGGAAGGAAGGAAGGAAATTGGAAGGATGGATGGAAGGAAAGAAGGAAGGAAAGGGAAGGAAAGGAAGGAAGGAAAAAAGGGAGGGAGGGAAGGAAGGAAGGAAAGGGAAGGGAAGGGAAGGAAGGAAGGAAGAAGGAAGGAAAGGGAGGGAGGGAGGGAGGAAATGAAAAGGAAGGAAATTGGATGGATGGATGGATGGAAGGAGGAAAGGAAGGAAGGAAAGGGAGGGAGGAAATGAAAAAGAAGGAAATTGGAAGGATGGATGGATGGAAGAAAGGAGGGAAGGGAAGGGAAGGAAGGGAAGGAAGAAAGGAAAGGAAGGGAGGGAGGAAGGGAAGAAAGGAAGGTGGGAGGGAGGGAGGGAGGGAAATAGCAATAGCACTTACAGACCGCTTCACAGTGTTTTACAGCCCTCTCTAAGCGGTTTACAGAGTCAGCATATTACTCCCCCAACAATCTGGCTCCTCATTTTACCCACCTCGGAAGGACGGAAGGCTGAGTCAGCCTTGAGACTGGTGAGATTCCAACTGCCAAATTGCAGGTAGCAGAAATAGCCTGCAGTACCGCACTCTAACCACTGAGCTGCCGTGGCTCATAGTATCCTGCCTTGGGCGGGTGGGGTTGGACTAGAAGACCTCCAAGGTCCCTTGGTGACGGACGAGTCAAGATCTCTCCTGCCCACTTATAGCCGCAGCAAATATTTTGCTGCTTTTTTTCAAACCTTCTTTTAAATTAAAATTCTTTTCTTACCTCAATTGCACCTGTACGGTATAATCACATTTGGCACCAGGTAAGATATCTCTGGAAGGGGGTGGGGGGAGAGAGAGAAGAAAAAGAAGCTTAAATTTGATCCGGAAAATAACAAAAGCAAATTTTGGAATCCCGTGCGTATCTATACATAACAATTATTAGACCTCTCGCCCCATTGGATGAACTTCTGTGACGTCACAGAACGCCGGCGACATTCTGACAATCGGTAGGTAGGATCGGAGCTCATCAGAGCCGCTGAAAAGGAAAAATGGGTGGGTGGATGCACAGAGGATGGGAGGGAATCTTTGTGTGTGTGTTGTGTGTGTGTGTGGGGGGGGCTGTTGTTTGACATTCCAGAATATCGACAATGAAAATGAATATACTACCTAGAATTCTATATTTGTTCCAGACAATTCCAATTAGATTGAGAAAAAGATTATTTTGGAGATTTGAACAAAATAATGTTAAAATATATTTGGCAGGGTAAAAAGGCGAGGATAACATTGAAACTCTTGCAAGATGCCAGAATAAAAGGTTTTGGTTTGCCTAATTGGGAACTTTATTACCAAGCGACAAGTTTGATGTGGATTAAAGAATGGGTACTGCTAAGAAACGCAAGATTAGTGACTTTAGAAGGACATGACTTGTTGTTGGGATGGCAAGCTTTTTTATGGTACAAGGGAACAAAAACACAGGGGTACTTTAGAAGACATTGTCAAGTTTCCAAAAGATGCCCTAATTAATTCATGAGCCATGATCCAAACTTCAAAGGAAATATAGTCATTTATTAGGAGCAACATTCCGGCAATACTGGGATGTAGTTAGGACTGATCCCACGTAGATTTACGTTCCCCTATGACCCTGTCTCTCCCCTCCTCCCTGGCCATGTCATAAATCACATTCTCCAATTAACCACTTTGGCTGGCTGTGAAACCTAACACCCTCCTTCTGATTGCGGTCAGGAAGAATGTATGGAATGCACTTCAGTTCTCCCTCCCTCCTGCTCATGGCAACTTGAAAGCTTTGCAAGTTGACAGACATTATGTACGTGAGGCCTTTAAAACAACACTATTTAAAAATCCCAGTCTGGTTATCAACGATTGAAGCATTTTCATACTCAATAATATTTAAAAGGGAACAAATCGTTAGATATAGTGAACTACTGAATGAAAAGGGTGAACTTAAAGCGAAGCAAGAATTGGAGGAACAAGGTTTAAAGATGAATTGGTTTTCCTATATGCAAATACATTCTAGATATGACAAAGATTGTAATACGGAAGATTTTTATAATATTTTTTTTTTTCAATTTGATTTATATGCCGCCTTTCTCCGGAGACTCAGGGCGGCTTACAATGCGTTAAGCAATAGCCTTCATACTTTTGTATATTTTATACAAAGTCATCTTATTGCCCCCACAAACTGGGCCCTCAATTTACCTACCTTAGAAAGGATGGAAGGCTGAGTCAACCTTGAGCCTTGGAGAGATTCGAACTTACAGTAATTGCAGGCAGCTGGTCTTAATAACCAGCTTAATAACAGGGTGCCTTAGACCACTGTACTACCAAGGCTCTACTACCAATTTGACTAATTTAGATAAAATTTTAACAGGTCCTGATGACTATGTAATTAAAAAATCATATGGTTAAAAGTGGAAGAAGAATAAGTTAAAGAATGATTGCAGGGGGGAAAAATTTTGGTTATGGAATTGATTTAAAGAAATGGCAAAAACTGTGGATGGAAAATTATAAAACGACATTCCAAATTTTAGCCTGAAAAAAATAATGAAAAGAACCCAAGTGAAGGGGTCAACAGAACAGTGTTTCTCAAACTTTGGCAACTTGAAGAGGTGTGGGCTTCGATGCCCAGGCTGGCTGGGGAATTCTGGGAGTTGGAAGTCCACACCTCTTAAAGTTGTCACAAAGTTGAGAAACTCTGCCCTAGAAGGTATTCCTGAAAAGCCAGGTGTGGCGATGAAAAGGCAGGCCCGTTTCTTCTAGGAGGAACGACAACTCAAGAGGATTTTGCACCAAGCCAAGAGGGAACGACACGAAATCCTTTTTCTGAAAGCATCGTTCCTGCAGGGTGAATTTTAAAATCAATCACAAGAGAGTCCCAAAGATGCTTTTTTTCAAGAGACAATTGGGCTTTCTGGGTTTTCTCTGAAGACGTTTCACTCCTCCATCCCAGAAGCGTCTTCAGTTCCGACTGGATGGTGGGGGAATGGAAGGATTCAGTCAGAGCTCTCAAAATAAAACAAAATTCAAATCAAAACCTACAGCAAGTCATCAAAACATTTAACAATTAAAACTGACAACTAAAAGCTTGCAAAAGAATGAAAATCAGGAGAAAGAAAGAAAGAAAAGGAAGGAAGGAAGGAAGGAAGGAAGGAAGGGAGAGAGAGAGAGAAAAAGAAAGAAAGAAAGAAAGAAAGAAAGAAAGAAAGAAAGAAAGAAAGAAAGAAAGAAAGAAAAATCCTTTTTCTGAAAGCATCGTTCCTGCAGGGTTAATTTTAAAATCAATCAAGAGAGTCCCAAAGGTGCTTTTTTTCAAGAGACAACTGGACTTTCTGGTTTTTCTCTGAAGACGTTTCGCTTCTCCTCCAAGAAGCTTCTTCAGCTCTGACTGAATCCTTCCATTCCCCACCATCCAGTCGGAACTGAAGAAGCTTCTGGGATTGAGGAGTGAAACGTCTTCAGAGAAAAACCAGAAAGTCCAGTTGTCTCTTGAAAAAAAGCACCTTTGGGACTTCTCTTGTGATTGATTTTAAAATTAACCCTGCAGGAACGATGCTTTCAGAAAAAGGATTTCTCTTTCTTTCTTTCTTTTTTTCTTTTTTTCTTTCTTTCTTTCTTTCTTTCTTTCTTTCTTTCTTTCTTTCTTTCTTTCTTTTTCTTTCTCTCTCTTCCTTCCTTCCTTCCTTCCTTCTTTCTTTTTCTTTTTTCTTTCTTTCTCTCTCTCTCTCTCTCTCTCTCTCTCTCTCTCTCTCCTGATTTTCATTCTTTTGCAAGCTTTTAGTTGTCAATTTTAATTGTTAAATGTTTTGATGACTTGCTGTAGGTTTTGATTTGAATTTTGTTTTATTTTGAGAGTCGTTGAGGCCACTTGGAGGTTGACCTGTGTCCTCAGGGTCACCCGAGTAGTGCAAATGGAGTGTGGAAGGAGCCATTTATCTGAGGACACAGATAAACCTCCAAGTGGCCTTAACGCCTCTCTAAAAAGGACGCAAATTTCCAGCTGTCTGCAAGGAGGATAAATCCTTCCATTCCCCACCATGCAGTGAGAGCTGAAGAAGTTTCTTGGATGAGGAGCGAAACGTCTTCAAAGAAAAAACCAGAAAGTCCAGTAGCCTCTTGGAAAAAAAACGCACCTTCGGGACAACCAGGACCTGGAGGACCGAGAATCTCTGTAATAAATAACAAGAGAGGAAAAAAGGCCCCCTTACCTGGAAGTGAGTATCTGTTGCACCTGTTGAGGAGTGAGGGCGAAGGTAAAATGGGCTTCCTCGAATCTCTGGCTGTTCACCGAAGCTGCAAGGAGAGAAGCACAAGTATCTTACCAGACAAATACAGTAAAAGGAAGGAGCCTGGTGAGTTCAAATCTTACCAGGTTCAAGGTTGACTCAGCCTTCCATCCTTTCTAAAGTAGGTTAAATGAGGACCCAGTTTGTGGGGGCAATAAGCTGACTTTGTATAAATATACAAAAGTATGAAGGCTATTGCTTAATGCATTGTAAGCCGCCCTGAGTCTCCGGAGAAGGGCGGCATATAAATTAAAGCAAAATAATAATAATAATAATAATAATAATAATAATAATAATAATAATAATAATAAATAATAATACAATGTCAATGGTGGGATTCAGCCGGTTCGGATCAATTCAGGCGAACCGGTTGTGCCGCCCACCCGCAATCCCGTCCTATATCGCTGTGTTTTTGATGCTGCACGCATGGACGGCGCGCGCAAGCAAATTGCCGTGTTTTGTGACACAGCACGCATTTGGGCGTGCGAGCGAAGCCAGCGTGCGTGCGAACACGCTCACATTTCCAGTGCTGGGCAAACCGGTGTTGTGGTCTGCCAGCAGCCTGCGGAGCTGGCAGCGGAGTCGGACAGCAATGAGGCTGAGGAAGAACACGGGCCAGTCCTGGAGGCTGGGGAATACCAGATGAGGGCTCTGTGTCAGAGGAAAAGATGGAGCCAGGGCCATCAGGGAGTGAGGTGCGGACTCCAGAGCCTCCAGAGACTGATAGGAGTGAGGCAGAGAAACAGGAGGAGCCTGTTCCTAATACGTACGTGAGCAGAGCTGCCAGAAGGCAAGAGCAGCTCAAGCAAAGAGGACGATTCGGGAGTAAGGCCAAGAGATGATTGGCCCCTCCCATAAGGCTTAAAACTTAAAAATTGGTAGCTTCGTCTTCTTTGTCTACGTCTTGCATTTATTTTTGTATCTGTGACTTCTGAACGTTTGCCAAGAAAGGCCTTTGGCAGTTTGCCTAATTGGACCAAGGTTTGCGATAGGACTGAGGAATTCGTGTTGGGAGGAATTTGCTTTAATTTAGTTGAAAGACGCTGGGAATGAAGTAATTCTCAGCTGTTCAAATAAAGTTTGTTTGTTTTTTTCACTGACTTGATTTTCCTACTACTTACTTGGGCCTGGATCACAACAACTGGTTGTTAGAGTGTGTGAAGCCCACCTCTGGAATACATATTTAACTTTACATGTGTTAACAGCAGCTACAATTGTGTTTGCACAACAGTAGGAAAACGAAGAGACCCCCAACAGAGGAAAATGTAATTTTAAAAAAATATTAGAATGTGCAGAAATGGATAGTTTAACACTTAAAATGAAGGCGAAGGAAGAAACTGAATGCTTTTTAACTTGGGATTTGTTTTTAATCAGTGGCTAACTAGCAGAAACAGAAGTTAGGAATTTAAAAATGTAAGAGAATGATTAATTATATAAGGAAGGTTCACTAAAAGGGATAAGCAAATATTATTGTTATGAATACTATCGTTATGATTACTTCTTCTTAAAATTAACTGTCCCCCGACAACAGACTGTTTATGTAGACATTGAATTTTTTATGTTTAATAAAAAATAAATAAAAAAATAAAAAAAGAGAAGCACTGGTGATTCATGCCCACCCTCTGAATTTTAAAGGATGCCCGGAATTATGCCAAACCGCGCCCCCCCCTTTTGCTGCTAGGATGAAAACGGTGATGATGATGATAGAACGGAACCCAAAATCTCTGTTGTTCAGTGAGACGTTGGTTAAGTTGGGTTTGCTCCATTTTGCGACCTTCCTTGCCACTGCTGTTAAGCGAATCAAAGTAAAGTTAGGAATGCGGTGGTTAAGTGAACCGGGATTCCCCCGTTGGTTTTGCCCGTCACAAAATGGAAAAAGGGAATCACGCCTGACCCCGGGACACTGCGACTGTCATAAATATGAGTCAGTTAGCCAAGCGTCTGGATTTGGAGCACAGAGATGCTTGCAACGGTCGTAAGTGTGAAAAACAGTCACAGGTCCCTTTTCTCCAGTGCCGTTGTTAACTTTGAGCGGTCACTAAATGAACTGTTGTAAGTCGAGGACTACCTGTAGTAGGCGTCTGTTCAGGGGTGGGATTCAGCCGGTTCGCGAGAACCGGATGCTAATTTTACATCTGGTTTGCCGAACCGGTAGTTGCAAGGGCTAGCTGGCCCCGCCCCTCCCAGGAGTCTCCACGCGGTCTGTTTTGGATGCCAGGTAAGTGCAGGGCCCGCGTGGAGGCTCTGGGAGGGCGAAAAACGGGCCTACCGGAAGTAGCAGAAGTCTGAAAACGGGCCCATTTCCAGCCTCCGGAGGGCCTCCAGAGCCCAGAGGAGGCCATTTTCGCCCACCCCTGCGTCTGCTGCCTTGAGTTAGTATAAAAATAATAAAGGTGGGATAAAAGTTTCTGGGATGAGAAGCGAAACGTCTTCAAAGAAAAAACAAGAAAGATCAGTTGCCTCTTGAAAAAAAAGCACTTTTGGGATAACCTCGGCTAGACAGTGTCGGCTGGCGGTCCCCAGGATGAGGGCGTTCACTGTGGTCGCACTGACCCTCTGGAATGGGTTGCCCACCGGGCTCCGGACGGCCCCCCGACCTCCGCACCTTCCGCGCTGACCTAAAGACATGGCTCTTTCAGCAACTTCCCTGATCTGCCGTGGATTTTAACTTGGGGATTTGGGGATTTAAAATTGGTTTTTAATATTATTTAATCTTTATCTATTGTCGGGTTGTTTTATTGTTGTGAGCTGCCCCGAGTCCTATGGGAGAAGGGTGGCATATAAATCTGACAAACAAACAAACAAACAAATAAATAAACAAACCAAAGACCTGTATGATTTAAGAATCTCCATAGACCAGGGGTCTGCAACCTTAAACACTCAAAGAGCCATTTGGACCCGTTTCCCACAGAAAAGAAAACACCGGGAGCCACAAAACCCTTCCCGTGTCTGAACTATTTCTTGAGCGGCCACAAAACGAGCATATGTAGTCGAATTAAACGTTCTGTTTTCTTCTGAAACTTTCCTTTTCTTGGATTTATCCATGGTTGGCCTACCGGGGGTTGAAAAGCTCAATAAACCTCGTACTGGAGGGTGTCGCACATTGGCAGTTGTGACGCATATTTTGAGTGACAGGGAGCCACAGCAGAGGGGTGAAAGAGTCACATGAGGCTCCAGAGCCTCAGGTTGCTGACCCCTGCCATAGGCATTCCTACCCGGAAATGTTAAGCACAGCCCAAGCCTGCCCTTACAGAGGACTCACCCAAAGTGGTAGGTTTGATGAGTTCGTCGTAAACGTCGTAGAAGGGGAGCCGACGCATCTTCACATCCGGATGGACAGGGTGGATGGGGGGCGAGATGTGAGGCACGTCGGCCTCGTGTTTGGACCCCAGCATTGGCACGGGAGGCAACATGCCGGCCGGCACTCCGGACGCCACCCCTCCATTGTCATAAGGCATGTGGCATATGGCGCCTTGAGTCAACGCCGTGGCCGAGGGCAACTGCCCAGCTTGGAGGTGGAGCATGGACAAGTCCGAAGGGGTGAGGATCTTGCGGGGGAAACGCCTCCGGTAAAGCTCCTTGATTTTCATCTGGACGGCGGAGCTGCAGCCCGACTTCAGCAACTGCAGCGCCTTGGTGAGCAGCTCGTGTTTACGCCCGCTCTTGTTGCGCCCGGCGAAGCCCAGAAGCACCTGCAGCTCCGAGACGCGGAAGCTCATAACCATGTGCTGGAGGACAAACGTAGATTAAAGAGGAAAATTAAAAGTGCGGATAACGTAATTGTATTTTTTAAAAAAATTAAGAAATATTAAGATATTAAATATTTATATTAAATATTAAGATTGTCCTCCACTCGTGACAGTCCAATTAGGGACGGTTCAAAGTTACGGTTTGGTGTTTTTATTGGGTTATCCGATAAAATAAGATGCAAAATACAAAAGTAAATAGGAAAATGGTGGGAGAGTCATATGTGGTGGACATGTCCAGAAGCGAGAAATTATTGGACTAGAATTAAAACATGGTTAGAAGAAAAGCTACAACAACATATAGAATTAAAACCTGAGCTCTTCCTATTGGGTATTCTACCAGAGAAAATTAGTAAAGAAAATATATATTTGATTATACATGTAATAACTGCAGCGAGGATAGTATTTGCGTAAAGATGGAAAGCAGAGAAAATCCCTTCAGAGGGGGAAGTAATTAAAAAAATATTGGATTGTGCAGAAATGAATAGATTGACTTTGACAATTAAAGAGAGGAATCGGAATATTTTAAGGTATGGGGACAATTTTACCATTGGTTAGAGAAGATATATAGGTATAATATAGATATTATATATCTATATTATATAGATAGGGTAATATAGGGTAATGTTGCTATGAAACAATGGAAGAAGAAAGGGGAGAGTGAAGATAGATAAATGTATTAATAGTAAGCAAGAAATATGGGGAGAATGTTATAATAAAGGAATAATGTGGGGAGAATGTTATAACAAATGAATGGAAAATATTAAGAAATGATGAAGATCGGAGGAGCAAGAAGAAGTCACAAAAGATGTACCAAGATGATTATGTATTGTATGTTTGTTTGTTTATAAAATTAAAAAAATGATTTAAAAAAAAGGAAAACGATGGGAGAGAAAGAAAAGGAAGATTTAACATGAATGGTGGTGGACTTTAGGAGAAATCCTTCCGTACTTCCACCTCTCACAATACTAGACAACACAGTATCAACAGTAGAGACGTTCAAATTTCTAGGTTCTACCATATCTCATGACCTAATGGACACCTAATATCAAAAACGTCATCAAAAAAGCACAACAAAGAATGTTCTTTCTGCGCCAACTCGGGAAGCTCAAACTGGCCAAGGAGCTGCTGATCCAGTTCTACAGAGGAATTATGGAGTCTGTCATCTGCACCTTAACTGTCTGGTTTGGTTCTGCAACCCAACAAGACAGACGCAGACTTCAGAGGATCATTAGAACTGCAGAAAAAGCAATTACTAGCATCTTCCGATATTTGAGGGGCTTTTGCAGAGAGGAGGAAGGGGGACAAGCTATTCTCCAAAGCACCCAAAGGAAGAATGGATGGAAACTGACCAAGGAGAGATTCAACCTGGAAATAAGGAGGAATTTCCTGACTGTGAGAACCATCGACCCATGGAACAGAAGTTGCCTTCGGAAGTTGTGGGAGTTTCTCCACTGAAGGCTTTCCAGAAGAGACTGGGCTGCCATCTCTCAGAAATGGTGCTTGGGCGGAGGGGTTGGACTAGATGACCTACAAGGTCCCTTCCAACTCTGTTAATCTAAATCTAAAAAACCCCCAAAACCTGCCTTCCATTGAGGACCTGTATTCTGCACGAGTGAAAAAGAGGGCTGTGAAAATATTTACAGACCCTTCGCATCCTGGACATTAAACTGTTTCTACTCCTACCCTCAAAATGATGCGATAGAGCACTGCACACCAGAACAACTAGACACAAGGACAGTTTTTTCCCAAACGCCATCGCTCTGCTAAACAAATAATTCCCTCAAAACTGTCAAATTATTTACTAAGTCTGCACTACTATTAGTCTTCTCATCATTCTTATCACCCATCTCCTTTCACTTATGACTCTATGACTGTAACCTTGTTGCTGGTATCCTTACGATTTATATTGATTTTTTCCTAATATGATTCGATTGCTTATTTGTACCCTATGACTATCATTGAGTGTTGTACCTTATGATTCTTGATGAACGTATCTTTTCTTTTATGTACACTGAGAGCGTATGCACCAAAGGCAAATTCCTTGGGTGTCCAATCACACTTGGCCAATAAAGAATTCTATTCTATTCTATTCTATTCCATTCCATTCCATTCCATTCCATTTGATGTTAATGCCTTATTTTAGGGCAACAGAGAGAGAGTTGGAAATCAATGTTTCTTTTTCTTTTTTTTTTCTTATCCTCCCTCACTTCTCTTCCCCCTCTTCCTCCCCACCGGTTTCCTATTTACTATGGTGATATTTCAAAGTTACGACGTTACACTGAAAAAAGGAGGAACTTATGACCATTTTTCACATTTATGACCTTTGCAGCATCCCCGTGATCACGTGATCAAAATTTGGACGCTTGGCAAGCCGGTTCATATTTATGACGGTTGCAGTGTCCCCATCAGTCCCACTGATGATGTTCCCTAGTTGGGTCATGAAACGTCTGCAAGAAAACAAGCAAGCTCAGAGACCACCAAGGACCCCATATTCTTCCTCCTCCTCCATCACCCCCACTCCCTTTTGCACTGATGATGTTCCCTACTTGGGTCATGAAACGTCTGCAAGAAAACAAGCAAGCTCAGAGACACCCAGGACCCCTTCTCCTTTTCTTTTTCTTTCTTTTTCTTTCTTCTTTCTTTCTTTCTTTCTTTCTTTCTTTCTCTTTCTTTCTTTCTTTCTTCTTTCTTTCTTCTTTCTTTCTTTCTTTCTTTCTCTTTCTTTTTCTTTCCTCTCTCTCTCTTTCTTCTTTCTTTCTTTCTTTCTTTCTTTCTTTCCTTTCTTTCTTTCTCTTCCTCCTCCTCCTCCTCTCTGCAAACACCTCCCACTTCTAGCACTGATAATGTTCCCTAGTTGGGTAATGAAACGTCTGCAAGAAAACAAGCAAGCTCAGAGACCACCAAGGACCCCTCTTTTCAACCTTGAGCTACCACCATTCCCCTTTAATGGAACACTTGCAAGAACAACCAAGACAGACCCCCCCCCACAAGACATCAAGGTCCCCCCAGTTCAGCCCTAAGCTACAAATATTCTCCCCTATTGTTCTGACCATGTTAAATGTAAGGCAAATGTTTTTTCATCACCACTTGTGAAACAAACCATCATGGTGCCGCTGACCTCTCCCCGACTCTTCATTTTGGGGGGGGATGACTTACAAACAGTTCATTTAGTGACCATTCGAAGTTACAACGGTGCTATAAAAAGGAGGCTTATGACTTATAACAACTGTGGCAAGAAAGGTGCTAAAATGGAGCAAAATTCACTTAACATCGATCTCACTTAGCAAAAAATAATTGCGGGGCTCCACTGTGGTCGTAAGTCGAGGACTACCCGCAGAACATTTTCCAGGGCTTTTCTAAGTCTCTGAGCCCCCCAAGAACAGATTTGACAACTGATGATCACAAATTGAGAGTTGTCGCAAGTAATGTAATAATTATAATGTAATGTAAATTACATTACGTAATGTAATGTAAAACAGCATTGCCAAAAAGGCATTAAGAATTGTCAACCTAATCCTACGTAGCTTCTTCTCTGGAAATACTATACTGCTAACCAGAGCATACAAAACCTTTGCTAGACCAATTCTTGAATACAGCTCGTCTGGCTGGAACCCGCACTGCATATCGGACATTAATACGATTGAGCGAGTCCAGAGGTATTTCATGAGAAGAGTCCTCCACTCCTCCGCTCGCAACAGAATCCCTTATGCCACCAGGCTTGAAATTTTGGGCTTAGACAACTTAGAACTATGCCGCCTTCGGTGTGACCTAAGCGTAGTACATAAAATTATCTGCTACAATGTCCTACCTGTCCATGACTACTTCAGCTTCAACCACAACACACGAGCACACAATAGATACAAACTCAAGGTAAACTGTTCCAAACTCGATTGCAGGAAATAAGACTTCAGCAACAGAGTGTTCAATGCCTGGAATGCACTACCTGACTCTGTAGTTACATCCCAAAACTCCCATAACTTTAACCTTAGACTGTCTACTGTTGACCTCACCCCATTCCTAAGAGCTCTGTAAGGGGCGTGCATCAGCGCACCAGCGTGCCGTCTGTCCCTGTCCTAATGTCTCCTTTTATTCGTATCCATTTCCTGTGTTCATATTCATGTTTTATACTTATATCTGTTATCAAATACATGCTTGACGAAATAAATTAAAAAAAAAAATGTCGTTTTCTCCATTTCTTTCGAAAGCGCAATCTCTCATACACACAAAACACCCCATCGTGGTCCTCCCAGCAGGCAGCTAGAGCAAACCTCCCCCGGCTAATGAAATATGGGACAAACAAGAAACACAAACACACACATACACACATACACACAGAGGGATGAATCCTGCCTGCTGTGAAGAAACCTTAGTTTCCAAGAAAGAGAAAAGGGTAGGAAATTGAGAAGGCAGCCCAACGTCTCGGCTTATGGGTGGCCCCACTCAAATCTTTGGATTTGAGGATTCCCGCAGCCCTCAAAAGGGACCCTCCTGTCTTACATGTTGTTTTGATCTGCCTTCCTTTTCCTTTCTTTCCTCCTTCCCTTTCCTTCCTTCCTTCCTTCCTTCCTTCCTTTCAGGGGGCTGGAATAGATGACCTCCAAGGTCCCTTCCAACTCTGTTAATAGGTTAATAAATGGTATAGGGTCTCCTGATTTGGTGCAGGGGTGGACTAGATGATCTCCAAGGTCCCTTCCGACTCTTTTGTTATTCTCTTATACCAAAAGGTTTGCCTTGCATCCAGGACTCCTTTCACCCCTTGAACTCCTGGGGCCGGACCCTTCGAAAGGTGGGGTGGGGGTGTCTCTCAGCCCCCCCCAGCTGTGCCTCCTGCCTATATTCCACCCCTCCCCAAAAAATCCCCCTCCTCACCATCTGCTGCACCCTCCCTGGGCAAATCCATCCATGCCCACCGCCCCTTTTTTGCAACCCCCCTTTCTTCCTCCGCCTCCCCCTCCTCCTCCATCCAGGGACCCCAGCCC